TTTACAAAATAAATTATGTGTGGGTTAATAATTATTAATTATTTAGATTCCTCCGGGTTTAAATTCACGTTTAGGAACGTAAGCTGTTTGACTTTATTCCTCGAAAGTCTTGTTCGACGATCATTGTACCTCTAGCATAAAGCTATTACCAGTGATACCAACTGTTCAAAAATAATACTTCTAAATAAATTCGAAAACCCACTACAATTGACTAAATTAAAAAAACTTACTCAATTTAAAATCACGATTTTTTTATACTATTCAGGTAAAATTAAAACATTACCTGATTAAATAAAAAAATTCATTAAAAACAGAAATTGAAGTAATTTAAAAGTGATTTATTTTAACACCTTATATATCGCTTAATAATTGACTTTAACATATTCTTAGAACACGCAATCATGAGTGACAATATTTTCATAATTTGTGTAAGAAATAATACATTCAGTATTATAACTTGGGAGGTAGAATTTAAAATATACACACAAAGCACATAAACCTTGGTCTGATTTCCTACCCAAGCAGCACAGCATTATTAAATTATATTTTTCTTTTTGTGTAGTTTTATTTTTTTCCAAAAATATTAATATAATTTAACTAATAAAAATATTCACAAAAAATTTACCTCCTAAAAAATTTCCATTTATATTTTTCTTCCTTAATTTAGGCAGAAAATTCTTAAGTAGTAAGTTGGCATCCCTTACTATTACGTGCTAGGTACCAATGCAATCCAGCTCAAGGTTAAACAAAATTTAAAGACATCGTTAATACCGTAATTCGTATTTAAATGCAACTAAAAATGTTTTTTTTCCATGCTGTTAAGATTCAAAATTACTTAACTGCGCGCTTTGTCGCCCGTTACGGCTCAAGGCTAAACAAAACAATAAAAATATACTTAAAAATATCGTTGTAGTAATCGTTGATACCATGATTAGTATTTAATTGAAACGGATCTTATTTGCATGGCATTAAGATTCAAAATTACTTAACTTATTCAAAATATCTGTTTAAAAATCTGATATTGTGCCTTGCTTGCCGTACTGTTCTAACTAGTGTAATATTTGTATCTCACGCGCTTTGTCGCTCAAAATCTGTTTAAAAATCTGATATCGTGCATTGCTTGCCGTCCCGCTCTTACTAGTGAGTATTTACATCTCACGCGGTTTGTCGCTCGATATCTGATGTCGTGCATTGCTTGCCGTCCCGCTCTAACTAGTGAGTATTTGTATCTTACGCGCTTTGTCGCTCGATATCTGATATCCTGCATTGCTTGCCGTCCCGCTCTAACTAGTGAGTATTTATATCTCACGCGCTTTGTCGCTCGATATCTGATACCGTGCATTGCTTGCCGTCCCGCTCTAACTAGTGAGTATTTGTATCTCACGCGCTTTGTCTCTCGAAATCTGTTTAAAAATCAGATATTGTGGCAAACGCATATGATATCGCGATTCGTGTCGGTATAGCGAGCGAGCACGTTCCATCAGATTTCGGAAATATCAGGTATTGTAAAATACATAGATATTGAACGAGCCAGTAAGCGATATTCGGATATTGTACTAATATCTAGTTTTCATATCTGATACGATTTGTATCGCCCACTTCTACCTGCAACATTCTATACCCGGTGCTAAAACCCAGTGTCAAAATACCTATAGGTATTAGTTATGTTCAGGCCTCCTTTTGGAGACGCGGTCGAATCAAACGAATTGAACCTTTGGTTGGAATTGGAACATTTAAATATTTTTTAGCAATCAGTTTTTTTAAATTGAGATTTAATCAGTCTAAAATAAGCTCCATCTTTACAAACGTAAAGAACCCTATTAATCAAAAAAAGAAAGAATAAAAAAAAGTAATTCAAAATAAATATTACTGTTTACTGTAACCTTATTACGCAATTATTTATTTAACTTATGGTCATAGAAACAAAGAATAAATTTATCTCAAGGAACTTTTTGGTATAAAATGCCTAAATCATACGTATCAATCCGGGCATGATCGGGAAGAGCCGCCGTAAGCGTTCGGGGAACTTCGTACTATTCGGCCGGCGGGTTGTCGCGAGCGTATATACCGCCACCGTCGGACGAGGCGGCCATCCATACCTATCGGGTATGGAACGGGCCTCTACCGTACATACCCGGTGTGCGGGCGGGTTGTCGCGAGCGTATATACCGCCACCGTCGGACGAGGCGGCCATACCTACCTTACCTTACTTTTTTTTTTTTGGGCTTGATGAGCCACTGTTGGCCTTAGGGGCCTTTACAGTTCCGACGGACTTGAGGTGGCCGGGCGCTCGAGGCGCCTAGCCTGAACCTCGCGTATTTATTATTACGCGTTATGGTGACTAAGCTCGAGGGCTCCCGAAAGAACCTCGGCTCGGGCCGTCACGCTATTTAATTCACCGGTTTGGGAGGTCGCCAAGCTCTTAGGGCGCTTTGGCGGGGGCTCCATGGAGTGGTCAGGCTCAAGGGTCCCCGAGAGGGGACCTCGGCTTGGGCTGTCACTCAACACGCGTTTAGCATTCCGATTCGAGGGTGCCCGGAGCCGAGGCCCGAGGGCCGGGCCTCGGCTCGATCGGTAGCTGTTATCTGACTGGGGGGATCTCTAGAGCTATCGTTACTACCACTTCGTAAAGCGTTGGCGCTGGGAGAAGAAGTGGCGGAAGAAACTCCAGCAACGCTTCTATCTTGAACTGGGGAGAACCTCCCAGGTACGTGGCGGAACCTAGTGTATGTTTGCCGCACTCGCCGGCGAGTGCGGTTTGTGTTGGTGTGTTTGCGAAGTTTTTTAATGCTTTCGATGGCGATAGTCGTCTCATCGTCAGGGAAATCGAGAACGTGTCGCAGTCTACGGTAATTGCGGCGGAACGTACCTAGCGGCAGGGGTCTGTAGGTGGCGGCACCTACGATTAGCGGGTTGGGATGCGCGCGTACTGGTATGTTCATACTGGGTATTTATACCTGTGCCAGTATATACGCCTCGTCCCTAGTTGCCGTCATATCGGTAAAGTTTCTCACAATTTGGCATGTCTCATCACCAGATTGCTGTAAACCCGGTAGCAAAGAATATTTTCGCTTATAAGCGGACTGTTAACTTAGGAGAAACAGCGTAGCTACGACTCGACCGATAACGCTGACACGGCTTCTTTGATAACTTTAAACTGTGTATATATCGCTACATCGAATTCACTCGATGTTTACCGTACCACGGAAAAGAAAATCAAGCTATTTATTATATGTGTGGCTTCCAAAAACGCTAAAGCGCCATGCACCTCGTTTGCCAACTTATTAAATTAAAAAAAGCGAACTGGTGGTTCACCTGTTATATGTTAAACTGTAAGTGCAATAAAAAAAATCTGATTACGTTTACTAAACGTATACATTATTTTGTATTAGCTGTGTTCATATATTGCTATAATTATTTATAAGGCCTTACCCCGTCGTATAATTAAAACATTATTAGCTCAGATATACTGAGTGTCGTTACAATAGTGACTATAAATAAACACACATTTACAGGATAATCTTTAAAATTTTATTAAACATTTACATTCTTTTAACATCAATATTTACCGAGTTATTAAATTTTTCAAAACAAACAATTTTAGAACAACCTAACATATAAAAATGTAACGTAAATTTCATTTGTAAAGGTCACATAGCATATGAATGGGTAGAATGAATTTAAAAGAGATAAAACATACTGTTAGAAGGAAAGATTTGCAATGCGACGCTGTTGCAACGATTGAAAAAGTCTCATAGTATATGAATCAGTCAGTTGTATTTCTGTTACAAATTTTGTTTATTGTTTATTTAATTAGTTTTTAAAAAAAAAAATTTTTAATTATGGATTTTTTATGATAATTGGCAAGTAACGTTAGACGTGTGTTCATTTAATGTCGCGGTTGTAACGACACGCTGTGTCATGGCCTGTAAAAATAATTTAGAATTTGATACAACGAAAGCCTAGTTGAAAACGTGCTAATAACTAGAAAAAACTAATGTGACGATGATAGAGAACAAATCAAAAATTTTATTGACAGTAAAAATGTAATTAATGTAATTGCGAACTATGGTATCAAATTTCAGAGGTCACTATCGGCGGCAAAAATTGAACAGCCTATTGGCGGAAAATTTTTAATCAGAGAAAATACAGGGCTCCGTCTACTAGCGAGGGTAGGGTGACTTATTAATTAAATCTTTATTCATCACCTTTTTGTACTTCTGCGCGATAACGAACAGAATTAACCCCCAACGACTATGTTTCTTTCCTTTTGTTATTACCTTACGATTGATTGTATTTTAGTGCTTGCTAGGATAATGCCTTCTTAAATATTGCCCATCGTACGGAGATGGCGGATATACATCTGTAATTCAGTTTATTCATCTGAAGGTTGCCGATGTCTGAAGCTTCCTTCAAGGTGTGATATATGAGTGGGCAGTGAGAGTTCAGAGTTTTAACATTCATTTTGAGATAACATCGGAGAAAAAAATTACATCAACAAAAATTGTAATAAACATAAAAGAGGCGTTCGTAAGTTTAACATAGTCATTTTTAATGGCAAAAATACGCGAATCTAGTCAATCAAATATTGAAACGAGTTACGATACGAGTGGCGCTCTAGCTGAGTTGTCAAAAACTTGGCAAATAATCCATCTGTTTTATTTTGTTGAAGTCTATTTTCCTATCTTAGAGTGATAAATAATTTACATTCATGTGAGATTTTGTTATTAAACACCTTTGAAAAACATTTTTTAAACATTCTATAACGTGTACAGAATCTTTTCACGGTATTATCCGAAAAGTAAAAATTGTCTCATTCACAATTAGAATATATCGTCCAAATTATTAATTTCAATAGATATTTATAATTCATCTCATCTAGTCTAACAGTAAATTAATAATTTATTTTCAGTCTAGTTGTTAGAAACGTTACAATAACAAAGTAGTATTTAATGACAATGGTGTAAATCTACGAAATCGAGTGCTACGAAATACCAAAAATGGATAAGACAATGGATTCACCAACGGATGGAAGTCCCCTATCAGAAGCTGAGGGTTTTGTAGAAAGTGAAACAGACTATTCCAGCATCAGGGGGAAGGTATTTGCTCTTACGAATATTTCACGCTTTATTTTGTAACCGGATAAACCGCGAGGCTAACATATTTTTTTTTTTGCAGAAAGTATTTTTTGCATATATTAAGTTCAGAAATCATGCTATGTTAATTCACATAAAGCACATATAATCCCCAACTTAATATGATTGTTAACAACTATATTATGTTGCAATTACTTTATGATGAAACTTTATCATCACTGTATGTAACATTGCATTTTTCCCTGACATTTGGGTTGTTCTGTCATTGTAAACAATATAATTTAATGGTTAATCCAATAAACATCATAACATACTTTATTTTTGTTATAAAATTCATGATTAGTAGAAATAGAGAGTGAAATTGACATATACAATTATCAATTGCTTCTTTTAGAATGTATCGCATCATTATTTGTAATATAATCGTTCATCATCATATTAAATTAAAAAACAAATTTATTCGAACATTTGATACGAGTATGTCAATGCCCACTTCCAATATTTATCATGTTGGCAGTATTCTGTTTTTGAAGTCAAATTAATAAAATGGTGGACTTTCTTAGTGAAAATTACAAGTTTTAAAAATTTTTAAGTGCTGACTTATCACTTGCTCCGCGGTGAAGGAAAACATTGTGAGGAAACCTTGCATATTTTCGAAATAATAACAAAAAAATGTATTTCGAAGATATGTGAAGTCCTCCAATCCGCAGTGGGGCCGCGTGGTGGACTATGCCCTGATACCCTCTGTATAGAAGAGGCCTTTGCTCAGCAGTGGGACATGTATAGGTTGTTACTTTACTTTACATTCCATTTCATGTTTCATAAGATTTTGAAGAAATTATAGAAAACACCTTATTCAATTTTTACACATTTGGCAGAAAAAAAATGCCTTAGAGTGCTTGGTACTCACCTCTGTAACCCACCAAACTTACAGTGTACTTAAACTGGGGGGTTTGATTCAAAACCCTACCCCTTTATTCGTTTAAAAATGTATTTTTTACTTTATTCTTTACATGTTATTTATTTAAATTACAATGGACCATTGACAATTATGGATTTTCTAATGAAATAAATTTTCATTACTGTCAAATATAAAAGTAGACTGCAAATTGTCTTGAATTTCTTTATAGATGATTCTGGTAAGTCCCACAGCCGATGAGTATGATCTTCTGAGAAAACAACTTCTGGAAAGGTTAGAGGCTGGCAATGGAGAGATCATATACGATATTGGACAAGGAGAAGGTAATTTTAGCAAAAAATTTAAATATAGAATTTGAATAAAACAGAAAGAGGAGGATATGTTGGATGATGTGATTAGTTTCTACCAGCACTATTTTATGAACCTAATATAATCATTAAATCTAAATCTAATCTTATCTACTGATAAAATACTTCCCTCATTCATATACTTATGTTCAGATGGGCAAAAGTATTGACAATAATTAAAAGCAAGAATGGTAAGTAATAATAACTATAATCACACATTAGTTTTTTTTTCTGGTGTGTTAGTTTAATTATTTGTTTTCTGAACATTAAAACATGTAGAAAAAGTACGAAAAGATTGTCGCTGCTGGGGGAATCAAACCCACGTCTTCGGCATTCGCGGCCTGACGCTCTAGCCACTGAGCTAAACGGCTGATGTTCAATCTTAAGTGCAGAGATTAGCACTATAAAAAACTTTAAAAATTTATTTGTTTTCTGATTACAATTTTGGACTCAGTAACGTAATTACTAAGCTATTTGGCTTCGGCGCCAGGGTTTATAGGTTCTATTCCCATGCAGAACAAAAATTTCAGTGACCCACATAATTGTTCTGGATCTGAGGGTTTATTGTATTTATAATACAAGGAAGATTGACATCAGACAAGTGATCATAAAAAAACCTACCTAGCAAAATAACTCAGTTTTGGTGACCCCAACTAAGTAAGCTAAAATGAGTGCAGTGAAAGGAAATGGTCAAATTCCTAGGGGACATTTTCAACTCGCAATACTATTAATCACATGGTTCACATTACACCAATCCCATCTAGGCGGGATAAGGGCAGTAGAAAAAACAAACCATGGTAGAAGTAGTTTGCATTTCAAATAAAATTAACTTCAATGTAAAATTAACTTCCCTAAAACATCCTTTGTACTCCATTCTCCCTCTCTCTTTTGAAGTAATAAGAACTACCTATCGTTCTGTGTTTACAATCAAAGAAAAGAAACCGTTTCTGGATATGTTGGTAGTTGGGTAGACCAATCGCATCATTAGTTACTAGTGTTTTATATTATAATTCATTACGACAGACGGCAAGGGCTTGAACGAAGACGAGTACAGCGCGTCCGTCGCGACGCTCCAGTCGCTGGTGAGCGGCGAGCGAGTGTCGTGCGTCGAGCTGCGCCGATGGGAGTGCGGCTCCGGCCTGGTGGGCCAGTACCTCCTGCGCACCGAGCTCGACCACACAGACTTCATGGAGATCCGGTATGGCAATGGATGTACGAAACAAACTTACTCCTCGAGGGGTGTTAGTTCGTCCAGTATGTGCGATAGTGGTTCTCACACTTTCACAATTTGAGTATAAATGTTTTGTAAGTGGTTCAAAATTAGGCTACATATAATTTATTTAATTGGTTTGGAATTCGTAAAAAACTGTTGTTAATTCTTAATATTTGATAAATTATTAATGAAGTGCGCCCAGACGCTAATACTCCAACTCAGTTAAGCGGCAGAAAACCTTACGGTGCGCAAAAATCTCGACAACTATCCATTTTCTTGGAATAATTTGAGCGACGCTTAGCGTCAACTACGACGTACATGGTAGGTCTACGGAACAGCTTCTGCTGTTCCGCGAATGGCAGGCGCATCCCGGGTGGAACCGTTAGAAACTGTTACATAGAAGTGTTAATCTTTAGCGTTTCGTCTGGTGAGTCAGGTAACTGGGTCCCACTTTATTAATAAAGTTGACAAGTGATTAAGTAGTTATCTCCAAGCCACCAGGTTTTGTAGATTTCCATGCGTGGCAGTATTCACTTAACATCATATGAACCGCCTGCTGGCTTGAAAAATTTCCCAAAAAAAACCAGAGACGGACAAATGTCCACGATTTTCGTCATTAAAAAGGTGGCATTTACTCCAACGAGAGTTCTCTCGGTAGAGTGGCGGTGGTGGGGAACGTGGACGCGGGGAAGTCCACCCTGCTGGGGGTGCTGACCCACGGCGAGCTGGACAACGGGCGGGGGCACGCGCGCCAGCGCCTCTTCCGCCACAAGCACGAGCTGGAGAGCGGCCGCACCAGCTCCGTCGGCAACGACATCCTCGGCTTCGACAGCATGGGTCAGCGTCCACCGCCGTAAAATTAATTTCCCCCAATAAAAAACTGAAATGTGTAGAGAAAAGTACGAAAAGTTTTTCGCCGCGGTGGGAATCGAACCCACGTCTTCGGGATTCGCACTCAGACACTTTAACCACTAAGCTAAACGGCTGATTGCCATACCGACGAATATCTCAACGTTTTTTATCTACATTGGTTTTTCGCATTTCAAGCATCGCCCCATGCTAAAATTTCGATCAAGACATCGTTGTAAGTACACGTAATTTATTGTCGTCGATCCACATCCAAGATCAGAGTTACTAAGAATGGACATAGCTAGGGCATAAAAATAGGAACAAATAATTATAATTTTGCATTTCTACTAGGGTTTCTTATAACAGTGGCACACCCATTTTTAAAATGAGTGTTACACACTTCCCCACACATTATAAAACCAAGTTACAACTATCTATCTCGTCGTTATTAAACATTTATTTACAATACTTATAAAGGTACACAGTGCCATAGTCTAATCTAATGCAATTTCCCATACAGCTGGCATTAACATTCTACAATTTACAGGCAATGTGGTTAACAAACCTGATCACGGGACATTGGATTGGGTGAAGATTTGCGAGAAGTCGTCTAAAGTTATCACGTTCATCGACCTAGCCGGCCACGAGCGGTATCTCAAGACTACCGTCTTTGGCATGACGGGACACGCTCCAGACTTTGGCATGCTCATGGTAAGTGAAACGCAGCAAAAAGAAATATTGCACAAATCCCACTAGGGGTTTCTAAAAAAACAACACTGTAGTGCTGTAACATATTGTTTTTAATATAGCAATAGAGGCAAGCAAAAGTTGTTTAAATATTTTGTGCTTTCATGTTTCATTGATAATATATTCTACATATTTCACTAAATCCATTTTTATGCCATAATGGTAAGCCAAAGTAATTAAACGCCGACCAAGGGTTAAGGGTTGTGTATTGTATGTATATGTTGATTGGGATATTTTTGAAATGGAGAATTTTCACAATATTAGTGATCACTGCTGAAAACACTGACTACATTGACCAATGACCTATACTAATGACCCAAACAACAGTCTTATCAACCACATCTACATTCGCAAGAATATTGAAATGAGAATAATGTAAAGAACAAGTAAACTGTAATAATATTGTCATTTATCGTCATCTGTTCTTTTAGATCGGCGCCAATGCAGGTATCGTGGGTATGACGAAGGAACACCTTGGCTTGGCGCTAGCGTTGTCCGTGCCAGTGTTTGTGGTGGTCACTAAGATTGACATGTGCCCGCCCAACGTGCTACAGGTGATATATTCGGAAGTGTTCATTCGAAACCTGCTGTTAAAACCATGTTCTTTGTTAGTAGTTAGTACCTGTAGAGGTAGTGTTTGATAGTAGTTAATAATAGTAATTCAAAAATTATAATTGTATACAGGGTGGCTTTTCTAAAGGTGTCCAAATTCACACAGGAGGTTCAGACTCGTTAGTATAATCGCTTATTGAAATTTTTTTCTAAAAAAATTGCAATTTTATTCCCAAAAAATCAAAACTTGTTGACAATGCGGTAGTCATTCATAAATGCGTCGTATGCTTTTGAATCGAACTTGTGTACGTGTTAGTTATGAATGATCGTGCGTAAAATAAATAAGTTGCCCATTAATCACGCACTTTTTGAGATAAGTTCAAATGGATGTAATTAATTAATTACGAGTGATTTTAAATATTTATCATTTTTTATATAAAATTATTTATGTCAAGAATTGAATAAAAAAAATGAATGCACTTAGAAAAGCCTCCCTGTATATGTATGCAGTCTCAACATTATCATTTCTGTGAAAGTTTGTAAGTTCTGGACTAAAAGCCTATAGGAAAGCATTTACAAAATTTGCTGGATTGATTCTTATTACAGGCACTACAATCATTAATGACTCATTGTCAAATTAAATCGTTTTCATTGATTTCATTCGTTTTAATACATAATATTTTAAAGTAATATTAAATTCTTGATTTTGTAGGATAATTTGAAAATGCTGATTAGAATTTTGAAGTCTTCCGGATGCAGGAAAGTGCCTGTGATGGTGAAAACGAAGGACGATGTTATAGTCAGTGCTACGAACTTTGTATCGCAGAGGTAATATTTATCAGTCCAAAAGAAAATAATAAACAAAAATATATAAAATTTATTGTAGATGCTTGATAAGCACATTCATTTGCAGGCTATGTCCTATTTTCCAAGTTTCAAATGTGACCGGTGAAAACCTTGAGCTACTGACAATGTTCCTTAACCTTCTGAAAACCCGTATGCCCTCACAAGACGACAAGCCCGCTGAGTTCCAGATAGACGACACTTACTCAGTACCTGTAAGTTAAATACCATTAGAATAATTACATTATATATTAAAATATGTAGAAAAAGTGCGAAAAGATTGTCGCCGTTGTGGGAATCGAACCCACGTCTTCGGCATTCGCGGCCTGACGCTCTAGCCACTGAGCTAATCGGCTGATTGCCACACCGACGAAAATCTTAACGCATTCTTCTACATTGTTTTCTTAGCATTTGAAGCAATGCTTGGCGCCATCTATTGTTATATCCTTTCCAGCATACAAACAATTTCGAATATCATTTTACAACGATAATTCGAACGAGAGATGTTGCCATTGCTTTTTTTTAGAAATTTAAATTGTTTATAGTGCTAATCTTTGCACTTAAGATTGAACATTAAAATATGTAGAAAAAGTGCGAAAAGATTGTCGCCGTTGTGGGAATCGAACCCACGTCTTCGGCATTCGCGGCCTGACGCTCTAGCCACTGAGCTAATCGGCTGATTGCCACACCGACGAAACACTTTCTTCTTTTCTACATATTTTAATGTTCAATCTTAAGTGCAAAGATTAGCACTATAAACAATTTAAATTTCTAAAAAAAAAGCAATGGCAACATCTCTCGTTCGAATTATCGTTGTAAAATGATATTCGAAATTGTTTGTATGCTGGAAAGGATATAACAATAGATGGCGCCAAGCATTGCTTCAAATGCTAAGAAAACAATGTAGAAGAATGCGTTAAGATTTTCGTCGGTGTGGCAATCAGCCGATTAGCTCAGTGGCTAGAGCGTCAGGCCGCGAATGCCGAAGACGTGGGTTCGATTCCCACAACGGCGACAATCTTTTCGCACTTTTTCTACATATTTTAATGTTCAATCTTAAGTGCAAAGATTAGCACTATAAACAATTTAAATTTCTACATTATATATGTTAGAAAAATAGCAGCTGTGGTTAACCGAACACACGACCCGCGCCTTACGATTGCATCAGGTGGTTCTTAGGTACTGAATGTACGGCGATGTAAATTCCAATCCCTTGACCAATGGATATTTTAATATACTGTTGCAAAAAATTATATTTTATCATATTTTTAATATCTGTTATTCAGTCGCTCTAGCTACTGCCCATTGTTGCCAGTCCTTCTCTGAGCAGGCCCAAGTTTGTGAGACAGTAGCAGATCGCAACAAAGCCATGAACCACTTTGGTCCCCCCATAGACCCGCAAGAGGTGCCAGAACAAAAGCTGATTTGCGATTCAGCCTCGATAGCTCGGTATCTGGCCAGCCACCAATGAGAAAGTAATTTTTGAGTGCCACACCATCACCGCGGCGACGATGTGCAGGGCGTGGGGACGGTGGTGTCGGGCACGACGCTGGCGGGCACGATCCGGCTGAACGACACGCTGCTGCTGGGCCCCGACGCGCTGGGCCGCTTCGCGCCGGTGGCGGTGCGCGGCATCCACCGCAAGCGGATGCCCGTGCCCGAGGTGCGCGGCGGACAGACGGCCAGCTTCGCCCTCAAGAAGGTCACCTCTCTTTGGCCTCCTTGGCCTCCTTGGCCTCCTTGGCCTCCTTGGCCTCCTTGGCTTCGCAGTCGTCGCTGTTCGTTCCTCCATTCGAGCGAGCACATTGTACTGCTCTGTATGACGACACCAGCGCACCGAAACTGAAACACTGGTCAGCGTAAAAGTTAACTAATCAGCTCAATGATCACTGTTTCAATTGGTGTAATTAGATTGCAATTCTATATACTGTTATCTCTATCCGTACCATATGTTCTATACTATATCGTCTGTCACATTCACTGATACGTGTCATATAATTAAAGCGGAACAAATTTTAACCACCTTGATATTGGCAACATTATCAAGTTATTCCCTGATGGAGCCATTATACTAAAATTTGAATTGACTTGAAATTTTAAACATTACGCGGTATGGACATCATCTTTATTAAAACATCATTGGCATCATCTTTTCAGATTAAACGCTCACAGATACGCAAGGGTATGGTGATGGTCTCGCCTGCGCTGAATCCGCAGGCCTGCTGGCAATTCGAAGGCGAAATCCTTGTACTGCACCACCCCACCACCATTTCGTCTAGATACCAAGCTATGGGTAATGTTTTCGAATTCAAAAGTCCTTGTTTTATGTTTTTATTTGCCTTGACTTTAGACGTGGGTGACTCGGACCGGCCAGGTTTCTCTCTGCTTTGTTACGGTGTTCCGCCATTACCACAGCAGATGGTACGGCGGTTCTTGGCATTTTGTAGGTAATGCTACTCTCACATGTCACGATTCCCACCAAGAGCAGACCCTGGCTCCCCCCCCCTGTAAAACTGCTGAGTATATAAGAATACTACTTAGCGGGATGTTACAGTAAATATTCAAAAGTGTGTCCTTCACAACAGTGCACTGCGGCAGTATCAGGCAAACCGCGTCAATCCTCTCGATGTCGCGCGACTGTCTGCGCACCGGCGATAAGGCGCTGGTACGATTCCGGTTCATCAAGCACCCGGAGTATCTCAAGCATGGACAACGCATGGTAAGAAAACTCATCATAATATGGGCTCAACTATTCATTCACTCATTCATAGCTCATTCTATTAAAAACATTAATTCAATTAAAAAAAACTAAAGGAACAAAATGCCTTTGCCCAGCACTGGGACATATATAGTAGACTATGTGTCCAAGTGCTGTGCAAAGGTTTAAGTGTAAGATGGACAGGTTTCTTCACGATGTTTTCCTCCACTGTTTAGTAGGGTCGTACCCGAGACCACCGTTACGACGCCCTGAAATCATTAGTAAAGTAACAGCATGTACATACCTTACTGCTGCATGAAGGCCTCCTCTGTTCTGTACAGTACGGGTATTAAGACCAAGTCCACCACACGACCCCACTGCGGATTGGCGTATTTCACATAACTTCGAAATATTTCTTTTGTCATTAGATGCTTTCCTTCACCATTGGGCACATGATCACTCAGCACTTAAAATTGTGAATAACAATTTCTTGAGCGCTGGCACCGGGAGCACTCCGATACTGATCTATCAGGGCTCAATTGAATTCGACTGTCATATATGTCATATACGTCAGGTGTTCCGCGAGGGTCGCACGAAAGCGGTGGGCAATGTGCTGCGGCCGGAACCCGTGGCTGCCGGCAGGGCGGCGCCGCCGCGCCACAAGCACGACCTCCACCAGCCGCAGAGCCAGCACAACCAGCAGAGGCGCCAGCCCGACCACGAAGTGCGTATAGCGGCAACACTCAAGTGTGCCTCCGGATATAATGAGTATCCAGGAGGTGTGGGGGGGTCCGTTACTATCCCTGCAATCATAATTGCTATCCGTCCCGCATGTAGTGGGAGACCATATAGTTGAGGACAACCTTATTGTATGGAATTTAAAAAAGTACACCAATGTTCAAATAGCTATTTGCAAATAAAAACTTTATGGATAGCCTTAGAAAAAACTTAAGTTCAAATGGAATGTGTACATAATTATTGATCTTGTATTTGATCTTATTTTCTGCACTAAATAATTCCTGTGCCACACTTTTCTTCTTCACATCAGAATCATCACCACTTTTTGAGTACATACATTTTTGGCTCATGTGGTGCTCAAACATCGTCTTAACGATCGCAGGAAAAACGTGAATGCGATACGCTCAGGACAGGGATGAATGTCGCTAGAGGGAGGAGGCCTATGCCCAGCAGTGGGCTGATACGGGCTGACGATGATGATGATGATGGTGCTCAAACACAGAACACTATGTATTATAACTGTTTGCTAAGTGACTACCTGCACCATTGTATTATTATATTCTAGCAACAGGACAAAGATGCTGACGTAACGGCTGTTGATTCACCATTTGAAGTGCAAGCGGACAAACGTAGTGCTGGCGGGGGACGGCGCCCACGCAAGAGACACGACAAGACCAGCCAGCAACCACAGCCAGCCGTACAAGCCTAAACTAGAATTTATCTTATTTTACCACTACACTGGATATGACATCAAACTTCTTTGACATCTGACATAAATCTTTTACACCTTCCTAAATTGTAAGTTTATATCAAAGATTTTGCGACATAGTATGTAGAAAATCTTTAGGAAAATATTTTAAATTATCTAGAGCAGATTATTTGTGTAGAAAAAATTAGAAGAAAGGCAAAGGAAAATGTTTCTACTGATGTAGCTAATATTTTTTTTATTACCATAATCCTAGACTATCGTAAATATAAGTCACTTAAAACCTTGTCTGATGGTTATTAAGTTAAGCTTGACTAAAGATAAAAACAATTATGATTTCAAATTTTTAAAAAAGTCTAAAATCCTCAAGTTAGTAAAGTTTAATGTTAAAAGTACAAGCTGTTTATTTGATGTTTAAATAAGTAGATAAGTGTGTGTGAACTGTTCACAGTTTTCTTAATAAATAATAATAATGATAATAAAATAATTACATTATACAACGTGTCGTTACCATCGCGACAATAAATGAACACACGTCTAACGCTACTTGCCAATAATCATTAAAAAATATTAACGTTAAACAAAATCCATAATTAAAAAAAAATATATTTCAAACAAACTAATTAAGTAAAAAAGAAACAAAATTTGTAACATCCTATACAACTCGCGCCACAGCGTCGCATTACAAGCCTCTCTTTCTAACAGTATGTTTTGTCTCTTTTAAATTCATTCAACCCATTCATATGCTTTGTGACCTTTACAAATGAACTTTACGTTACAGTTTTATACGTAACGGTGTTCTAAAATTCTTTGTTTTGGAAAATTTTATATCTCGGTAAATATTGATGTTAAAAGAATGTAAATGTTTAATACAATTTTAAAAAGTTATTTTCTATATGTGTGTTCATTTATTGTCGCGGTGGTAACGACACGTTGTATATAATATAAGATGTGCACCTCATATTTTTATAGATACACAGTTTTCATCTTTTCAATCAAATGCACTATTTTTCATCTACAGTTTGTTTCTTATGGGTCTAAATTTTACAATTGATATTTTTAGGATCTGAAAAATTTACTGTGTAATTAAATTGCCGGAATATTCTGTAGTGCTGTAAAAAACCAATGATGAAAGGGGTTAGCCCTTTCATGATTGTTAATATAAGAAAATATTTTAATTATACATGTTGATAATGCACAGCAAAATGTTCATGAGGTATATATTATTACATATTATTTATGTTATTATAGTAAGTAGCATATCAGTGTGTTGTGAAATGTCAGTAAACTAATGTTTTTCACATTAGCTATTCATATTTTTAAAAATTAATTCATATTTTCAAAAAATTATATTTTAAAGAATTTTCAAATTATTTACCGTTTTTGAATTTAAATACATTTTGGTTTATTGAAAAATATTTTTTTAATATATATTGGTCTGTTTAGTCAATGTTGAATTGGTAATTAAGATTTAATACATTTATACAGTTGACATTAATAAACAGATTCAAAGTGTTGAAAATGCTTTGACCTAAATAAGTCAACATGAAATGGTATTAGAAATATATAATTTTTTTGTAAAAACCACAAAAAAATTACGGTGAAGATTAATAATAGTAAGAAACTCCAAGAATTCCATACCGCTACTAGCATGTCATATTTTATGCTTGCTTTGGCTATATGCCATCCTTATTTATAGTAATAATATTAAAGGGAGTTTTAAATCTGTTATCTATTTGTTTTTAAGTGAGACAATATTCTTTTACAATACTTCAGTATTCAATTTTTCAGTACCATTGTAATGTGATTGCTTAGTTTAAGTAAATGGATATTTTGATTGACATAAAGATTAAGTAATTAAATAGCAAAAAAATTGAAGGTTTTTTTATTTTATAGCATTTAAATGTGCTATATGTACATAATATGATTTTTAGTTACATTTCCACATCAATAAAAAAATTAAGACATTTTATTACGCTTTTCCAATATATATAGTACACAATTCAGTGGCTTATAAAGAAGTAAAGTGAACCTGCCAAAAAAGTTCTCATTAATCATACTGCTCCATCTCCTTACTTGTAATGAAACTTAATTACAATATTATTATAGTGTAAAACAATTGTAAAAGAAAGAGCAGGTATTGGCTTAAATTAAAATTTTGCCAAAACCAAGTAATTTTTTATATTCACAAATGTAGTATTAGAACTGTCTTGATAAGATTGAGAATGATTGTATTTTTATTGAGGAGGAAAAAACAGTAACTATCTCATTTTTTCACTTGTTTTTTTGCATCTTCAATTCCTTCCTTTAAATTTTGAGTAAATCTTCTAAAAAATGACATTAATGAAGTGACCTTTTGTGGATCCATTTCAGACATTTTCTCTTTCCCTCTATAAAATACAGAAATTGCTAGTTGTGCTGCTCTTCTTACTGGATATGAATCAGCAATTCTTTGCACCAGGCGCTCATTGTTGGCTAAATATTTGAGAATAGCACGAAGGGGCATTTTAGTTGTTCACTTAAATGATGTTTCAAATGAACACATATTCCGATATTTTTGGAGTAATTCACGCTTCAAGCGCAATTGTGTTCTGAGTATTTCAAATTGCTTCAGTTGGTCTTGTTTGTTATAATCAATTCCTGGAAGACGCTTAATCTGAAAGTAAATAGGTCACAAAATCTGTATTTGTAATATGGAATGGTTCCATTCCAAGAACATGTTACGACAAATTAACATTCTTCTTGTAGTTACAAAAGGGTGGTAAAGAAAGCTAGCAATAACCACTATTGCCAATTAACTTGTTACTCATCACTTTTAAAATACAGTCTTGGAGGTAAGGAAAAACATTACCTGAGATCGTGCTACGTCAAATTTCTTTTGCAACTCCAACACCTTTTGGCTGCAGTCTTGTGATTCGCGTGCTTTAGCAGAGTTGTCGTGAAAATCCCGCTCGACGCTATTTAAGAATAATACCAAAAAAATATAATATAGTTGTTCTGTATATAGATAAGAACACCTTAAAAAAAGGTACGCATCAAAATACCTTCGTATAATTTCGTACACAATCGGTAAAAAGTCTACATCTACATCTTGTACTGATAAAGGACTGAAATTATTTGGATCTGAATGATCCGCATTGCCCTCCATGCCAAAAACTTGATTATAATATTTATAAAAATATATAAAACACTTGCCTATACAGAAGCAGTTATTTATAAATAATTCTAAATACAAATACTTTTTAATCTGATTGTTCGACAATCAGTAAATTTCATTTGACACTGACAATCAAAGAATATAATACTCTCTATAGAGTGCTGACAATCATTTTAATTGCATAATCCTTTTTGTTTCGTTTATCGATTTATAAGAAGAGGCAAAGCCATAACCAAAATACGACAAAATAACGTCGTTCACTTCGCTCATCGCTGCATGTCCGTGTTAACGAAAGATGCACAATTTTATTAATAAGCGGGGAATGGTATAATCCAAGGGTTTGATGGAAGTTTAATCTCAACTTGGACCACGATAAGGTCGAAAATGCACGAGATATAATGCGAAAACAATATTATTATAAAAACAATTAAGTTTACATCAAATAATTTACAAAACAAGATTTACGGAAAAAATATCTTCGAAAGTTAAAATAGCTAATGAAACGACGCAAAGTGTAGCAGTAGCTTAGTTAGTTGTAATAATATTGTAAACATTTTCCCTTCCATAAATTATTATTTATAAAAATAACTGCAGCTTATTTAACTTCATAGGAAGCAATATTATAACTCTTGACTGTTGTCTTATTTAAAATTAAAACACATCAATCAATGTTTGTCTTCGACTTCGTTGACGTTCACAGAGTACTTTTGTATCATTGATAAAAGAATCTAAGAGTAAAGTTGGCATCCCTTACTATTACGTGCTAGGTACCAATGCAATCCAGCTCAAGGTTAAACAAAATTTAAAGACATCGTTAATACCTTAATTCGTATTTAAATGCAACTAAAAATGTTTTTTTCCATGTTGTTAAGATTCAAAATTACTTAACTGCGCGCTTTGTCGCCCGTTACGGCTCAAAGCTAAACAAAACAATAAAAATATACTTAATAATATCGTTGTAGTAATCGTTGATACCATGATTAGTATTTAATTGAAAAGGATCTTATGTGCATGGTTTTAAGATTCAAAATTACTTAACTTATTCAAAATATCTGTTTAAAAATCTGATATTTGTGCCTTGCTTGCCGTACTGCTCTAACTAGTGTAATATTTGTATCTCACGCGCTTTGTCGCTCAAAATCTGTTTAAAAATCTGATATCGTGCATTGCTTGCCGTCCCGCTCTAACTAGTGAGTATTTATATCTCACGCGCTTTGTCGCTGGATATCTGATATCGTGCATTGCTTGCCGTCCCGCTCTAACTAGTGAGTATTTATATCTCACGCGCTCTGTCGCTCGATATCTGATATCGTGCATTGCTTGCCGTCCCGCTCTAACTAGTGAGTATTTATATCTCACGCGCTTTGTCGCTCGATATCTGATATCTTGCAGTGCTTACCGTCCCGCTCTAACTAGTGAGTATTTGTATCTCACGCGCTTTGTCTCTCGAAATCTGTTATAAAAATCAGATATTGTGGCAAACGCATATGATATCGCGATTCGTGTCGATATAGCGAGCGAGCACGTTCCATCAGATTTCGGAAATATCAGATATTGTAAAATACATAGATATTGAACGAGCCAGTAAGCGATATTCGGATATTGTACTAATATCTAGTTTTCATATCTAATACGATATGTATCGCCCACCACTAGCCACTAACCAGTATATATTATGAAATATGTTATGTTGACGTTCCTCAAATGTCATCAACATCATCGTGTTTAATGGCAATACGAAATTGCTTAAATGCTTACCTTCTATTTTGTTTAAGTATTAATTAATTATTATAGTGTTCCAAAATGGATGAAGTTGCGAAATTAGAACATCTATCTCTAGTATCTAAAATTTGTACAGAATTAGATAACCATTTGGGCTTAAATGACAAAGATCTTGGTAAGTGTCGCTTTGGATTATACATTGTATTTTCTTGATCCTGATTTCGATTATGAAATCTCAAATATTTTTCTGACATGTTTCATTATAATATAAGCCAGCTTTCTTAAATGTTCTATTTTTATTACGTCTAAACTAACATTCCTAACTTTTCTTTTCAGCTGAGTTTATTATTGATTTAGCAGACAAAAACCCAACTTTTGATTTATTCAAAAAAGCACTTATCGAGAATGGTGCCGAATTCTCCGACTCCTTTATGACCAATCTGCTTCGTATTATTCAGCACATGAAACCAGTGAGTGCTTCTACTGAGAAAAATGACAGAGTAACTTCTAACTCCAACCCCTTAGCTATGAAGTTTCCTGGTTTAGCTATTCCTAACGAGAAACCACATTCCTTTGTATCTGATGAAAGCAGTGAGGAAGATGAGAAACAAAGTAAAAGGATGACATCAAAGGATTTGTTTAAAGAAGAATGTAAAGTAAAAGAACCAAATGGTAATGTTGTTAAACAGGCAATGGCAGAGCTGGAAGCACTTGCACCTTCTAACATGAATTTAAAGAAGGAAGATAAAAAGGAAATACAAAAAGATCAAAATGACACTAAGATAAAAAGGGAAAGGTCCAGAGATAGACATAGAAAACGCAGCAGAAGTAGAGAAAAAAGGAGTAGAACTCCGGACCGTAGGAACAGAAGTAGGGATCGTGATAAGGAGAAGAGGAGGCGCTCAAGAAGCCACCATCGTCATAGATCAAGGTCTAGAGATAGACATAGGAGATCTAGGTCTAGGGGCAGAAGATCTAGGTCTAGAGGCAGAAGGTCTAGGTCCAGAGGTAGAAGATCAAAGTCAAAATCACAATCAAGGGTTATAGATCGGGAAGGAAAAGACAGATATAAGGATTTTGAAAAGAGACCAAGGAAGAGAAGCCCTGAAGTAGAAATGAGTGAGGATCCTGAGCCTGGAAAGGTACATATGCAAAGATTTATGAAATTATAATCTATTCTGAAATAAAATCTTATGTTTATGTCATATCTTGATTATAAGTAGATAAACAAAAATACATATTGAGCACTTGTCCATGGGAAGTAGCAATTTTTAGTTGGATTTGTTAAATTTATGAAATATAACAAATTTAATGTCTGTTTAATTGATAAATTGTAGACAAAAAATCTCATATAAATTTCATCTTTCACAAAGACTAGCACAAAATATAAAATAGAAATAGATTCTATCTATCAATTGTGTTTTCTCTTGTCAAATTAAATTGGACATAATTTTAAAATGTGTTATTGTAATTTTAGCTCTGTCCTGCTTGATTTTCAGATCTACAGTGGTCGAGTTGCAAACATAGTACCATTTGGATGTTTTGTTCAAATTGAGGGGCTGAAGAAGAGATGGGAGGGCTTAGTTCATATCTCTCAACTTCGCTCAGAGGGGAGAGTGACAAATGTATCTGATGTTGTATCCAGAGGAGATAAGGTTAAGGTATGTTAAATGGAATTTTTGTGTTGTCTTTGAATGATCACACTTCTATTTAAACTCCCTATAACTGCAAATTAATTGGGTATTCCCATTCAGATCAAAAAACATTCATACAGAATGGTTTTTAAAATGAAAGATAAAAGATTAACCATTCCATATGAATGTCAGGACAAACCAAAACACTATTTCAAACACCTTTTCTTTTTGCAGAACATATACAGTAATTCTAGTACATAGTAAATAAATGAAAATTCATGCCTCTCATTTAAGGGCTTCGGTGAATTGAAAATAATCTATGTGCAAGTATGAAAGCAGATGCAAATACTTGAATACAATTTTCCTGTCATTTGATAATAAAACCCCCATCAAAATTGTGGTTGTCGATATTTTTATATTTTGTACATACAGCGTGTCGTTACCATCGCGACAATAAATGAACAAACGTCTAACGCTACTTGCCAATAATCATAGAAAAATATTAACGTTAAACAAAATCCATAATTAAAAAATATATTTTTCAAACAAACTAATTAAGTAAAAAATAAACAAAATTTGTAAAATCCTATATAACTCGCGCCACAGCGTCGCATTACAAGCCTCTCCTTCTAACAGTATGTTTTGTCTCTTTTAAATCATTCAACCCATTCATATGCTTTGTGACCTTTACAAATGAACTTTACGTTACAGTTTTATACCTAAGGGTGTTCTAAAATTGTTTGTTTTGAAAAATTTAATAACTCGGTAAATATTGATGTGTGAAGAATGTAAATGTTTAATAAAATTTTAAAAAGTTATCCTCTATATGTGTGTTCATTTATTGTCGCGGTGATAACGACACGCTGTAGATTAGGAAAAGAAGAAAGTAGACAAAAACTGAAAAAGTTCACATGGTTAAGATAACATTTAATTTGAAATATTTTCTGATTTCCTCTTCACACACCTTTTTGATTTCTGTAATGAAGGTAGGTTTCTGTAACCATTAATGATGAATTATTATATTATTTTAAAAGAAACTACAGGTGAGAAGCTTCAACCTCAAGTAACATCTAATTGTGCAATATTGCAACAACATGTTTGATCACATTAGTAATTACATAACTAGGTGATAACTGTGACTTTGCTAATTATATCAGTCAATCACTGAAAACATGGCGCTTTTAAAGATCTAAGAAATAAAACTTAGATGAATTAGTTGAAAAATATTTTACCTAATTTATGTGCATACACAACAGCAGATCTCTATTATTTTATTTATATAAATTAAAAATTGATTATTAATGTATTCTTACACTGAAAAAATGTGATACAATAATCATATTTGAAATTTTTAGGTCAAAGTGTTATCGCTAACTGGACAAAAAGTGTCACTCACTATCAAGGATGTTTGCCAAGAAACGGGAAAAGATCTGAATCCTACGTCCCATGCGCATCTAGAGGTATGCAGTTTTGAAATATTCTTGAATGACAACATGGTTTTTGCATATAAGTAATCCCAAAAGTTCTAAATCTACCAATAGCAATAGGTATAATATTAACAACGAATGTATGGCTATTCACAGGCAGAGCGAGAGGGACGTAACCCAGATCGACCAGCTCCTGCCGCAACGGTACTTGCTGGTCTTCAGGGGAACCTTGACCCTGATGAAGACTCCAGTCGGAAGCGTGTCACAAGGATTTCCAGCCCGGAGCGCTGGGAGATTAAGCAGGTATTTATTTAATAAAATAAAGAAGCCCTTTATCATATAGCTTAGCCCTGTAGCCTGTATTCCTTCTAAAAATAGACAACTTGCAGATTTAAGAATCCACAACTTATCTTACCCTTAACAACATAAATAACGAGTTTTATATACCTATCACGTTTTTCATCCCCAACCATTACAAATTTAATAACTCCATATTTACACAATTGCACAGATGATATCCTCCGGTGTTATCGACAAGAGCGAAATGCCCGACTTCGACGAGGAGACCGGCCTACTGCCAAAAGACGAAGACGGCGAGGCTGACATCGAGATTGAGTTGGTGGAAGACGAGCCTCCATTCCTTCAAGGGCACGGCCGGGCACTTCACGATCTGTCACCAGTGAGAATCGTCAAGAACCCTGACGGTTCTCTGGCGCAGGCTGCAATGATGCAGTCGGCTTTGGCCAAAGAAAGAAGAGAACAGAAAATGCTCCAGAGGGAACAAGAAATGGAAAGCCTGCCCACAGGTCTTAACAAGAATTGGATAGATCCACTTCCGGAAACGGATGGTAGGGCGCTCGCGGCTAACATGAGGGGTTCGGGGATAACCCCACAGGATCTGCCGGAGTGGAAGAAGCATGTTATTGGAGGAAAAAAGTCCTCATTCGGCAAAAAGACTAATTTGTCCCTGTTGGAGCAGAGGCAGTCTTTACCCATTTACAAGTTAAAAGATGAATTGATAAAGGTATGTGATTAGTGTTATAGTTTATTTATGTTAGTAAACATTTTTACGCCAGAGTCAGTAAATTCAAGATTTATGTCTAACTTCTTTTGCACTGGAGCTGATGTTATGTGATAAACGCCACCTAATGACATCTACTAGAATAGAATGTACTTTATTACACACAAGAAGCTCGTCTTTGTACAGTCTTTTTTGTAATACTTTATTTGTTATTGTTATTTCTTTTTTTGTGTACAATAAAGAATAAGATTAAGAAAGTCCTACAACTGAAGGATGACACACAAAAGTACTAATAAGCTTTTATTTCACGCCATGCTTGCAAGAGCAGTGTCAGTTGATGCATAGCCCTACCACATTTTAATTTCACGATTTGAATGCTGTCTATTTATTATGATGATTAGTGTTGGTATTGTGTAATCTGAAATATTACTTTTATATTTTATTCCTTATGTTTATATGCATCCTAGCTGACCCGGCAAACATTGTTTTGCCATATAAATTATTTGTAGGGTAAAAAATATGTTTGGGGTGGACACCCTTAGGGTCTGGATTTCATCCCTACTACTACTACTAAATATTGTCTGGTATACATAGTGTTTTTCTAGTGTCTGAGTGTTTGTATCATATCATCTCATCATATCAATAGTTATTTTCACAAAAATGAATATGTAAATATATAGTTACCTAGTATCCATAGAACAAATGTAATCGGAATTTAATTACCTTGTTTGAAAATAAGGTAAATGGTAGATAAATAATAAGATCTGTCAAAAACTTCTTCACTTGCTACTTAACGTAACGTAACATTGTTTTAATGAGAATAATAATATTGTTCAAATATGTCCCGTCACCCCACCTCCGTCACCCTACCTTCCGCATTGTGTTTACAGTGGCACGCAACAGTCTTCAATGTTGCACAAATGGGCAGGTCCATCGCCGATTACCACGACCTTAAAGGTGGCAACGCATTTATAGCCCAACGGGTGTTGCAAATGTCCATGGGCGGCGGTTATCGCTTAACAACAGATGAACCGCCAGCTCGATTGCCACTTTTCCACAAAAAAAAAAAATTCAAGCTCGCGGATGTTGCAAATGTGAATCGCTCGCTAGCCCATAAAAAACGCTCGTCGTCGACAGGCGGTGGCGGACAACCAGATCCTGATCGTGATCGGCGAGACGGGCTCGGGCAAGACGACGCAGATGACGCAGTACGTGGCGGCGTGCGGGCTGGCGGCGCGCGGCAAGGTGGCCTGCACGCAGCCGCGCCGCGTGGCCGCCATGTCGGTGGCCAAGCGCGTGGCCGAGGAGTTCGGCTGCCGGCTGGGCCAGGAGGTCGGCTACACCATCCGCTTCGAGGACTGCACCGGCCCCGAGACGGTCATCAAGTGAGCGCGACGCGTAGAAACGGTGATGGTGACGCGCCGTATGTTGCGGTGGTAGGGCCACGCAGCAGCCTCGGCTGTTGCACGAATGGGCAGGCCCGTCCGGGTAAGTACCACGACCTCACAGAAGACCGGCGTAAAGTGAAAGTATGACAAATACTTTCGCGTTTCGTCTGGTGAGTGAGGTAGCCGGAGCCCAATTTTCAAAAGGTTGTCAACGCCTCTGTAATCCTCGGGTGTGGCAGATGTCCATGGGCGGCGGTATTCACTTAACATCAGGTGAACCGTCTGCTCGTTTGACAACTTTTCGCATAAAAAAAAAAAAAAAAATACAGTGTAGTACTTTCGCGTTTCGTCTGGTGAGTGAGGTGGCCGGAGCCCAAATTTCAAAAGGTTGTCAACGCATCTGCAACCCTCGGATGTAACAGATGTCCGTGGGCGGCGGTATTCGCTTAACACCAGGCGAATCGTCTGCTCGTTTGGCAACTTTTCATATAAAAAATAGCTTTTTTTTATAATAGAAAAGGAGGCAAACGAGCCAGCAGATCCCCTGATGGCCATAGCTAAGAAACTCAAGGAAGTCGTTTCTTGGTAGATATGATTTTTGGTATTACCCATTTTGTAATATGAATGATTCGAATGAACAAATTCGAACATTTTGTAAAAGCAGCTTCTATGGATACGTCTATTTAGTGAATCGGTGATAGTTTTTTGACGTTCAATAAGAGCTTAAAATAAGCCTATATTGAATAAAGAAATTTTGACTTGACTTGAAAAAGAGTCCCATCCGCCCTCTACTACTATCGATACACCTTTGATTATGATTTGTGTGGAAGGGGCTGTAAGTCCCAACTACCTCCTAGAAGACTATAGTCTTCACTTCGAAACATTCCCCTTTACAGTAGGATTATACTATCCTGTGTTGTGAGGATGTTATGCGTACATGAATTTCACGTGGACAAACACTCGTGGAATCGAATCCACGACCCCGGCGCCGAAGCAAACACCTTGACAATGATAAAACCGCTTCCAATTATTGTTTCACGAAATTTCTTCACGGCTTTGTATGAAATTTAAAACCGGTAAAATCACCAGGTACATGACGGACGGCATGTTGCTGCGCGAGTGCCTCATGGACCTGGACCTGAAGAGCTACTCCGTAATAATGCTGGACGAGGCGCACGAGCGGACCATCCACACGGACGTGCTGTTCGGACTGCTCAAGCAGGCCGTCCAGAAGAGGCCCGAGCTGAAGCTGATCGTGACTTCGGCCACCCTCGACGCGGTCAAGTTCTCGCAGTACTTCTTCGAGGCGCCCATCTTCACAATACCCGGGCGGACGTTCCCCGTGGAGGTGCTCTACACCAAGGAACCGGAGACGGACTACCTGGACGCGTCCCTCATCACCGTGATGCAGATCCACCTGCGGGAGCCCCCCGGCGACATCCTGCTCTTCCTCACCGGCCAGGAGGAGATCGACACCGCCTGCGAGATCCTGTACGAGCGCATGAAGTCGTTGGGGCCCGACGTGCCGGAGCTGATCATCCTGCCCGTCTACTCGGCCCTGCCCTCGGAGATGCAGACGAGGATATTCGAGCCCGCCCCGCCCGGCTCCAGGAAGGTCGTCATCGCCACCAACATCGCGGAGACCTCGCTGACGATAGACGGCATTTACTACGTGGTAGATCCGGGGTTCGTCAAGCAAAAGGTCTACAATTCGAAGACCGGGATGGACTCACTGGTGGTTACGCCGATCTCGCAGGTACCGCCTCACTTTTTGTCAAACATTATTCATGCCAGAAAGTGGCGACTTGTGTAACTATTATTGTCATAATGAAACTTACAAAAAAGGTTTTATAAAAAATTTATAAGATTTACTTAGTGGAAGCTGACTGAACTCAGTGATATATAAATGGGCCTTTTGAGATATCAGTTTTCTTACATGAGAAGTATTTCTATATAAGAATCAAAGCCTGGACAAAGGTTTTTTGTTTAATTAAGACTCATTCTGAACACTTATACTGAACTCATTCTGATAAACCTTAAATAATTGTCGCCAAAGATGTTACTTATTTATTAAAACAACATCGGTGCGATAACATGTTAATTTATATTTATATTGCTGCTCTCTCTCGAAACCATAAGATGCGGGTTCGAATCCCTCAGCGCCGAAAGTATTTGGTCATTTATCTACAAAAATTTACAATTCAAAGTTGTTATTAAATTAATCTGCAGGTGCCCTGCTGCTCATATTATATTTCCGTCTTCATAATCATCATCATCATTTGAGCTAGTTTGAGTCCACTTCTGAACATACCCACAGATTGCCTCGCAGCACGATGTCGAGCTACTGGCGTCCATCGACTTCCCGCACATTTGCACTCCATCTAGTGTTTACGCATCTGTTGAATATCATATGTTATAGAATTTAATGTTAGTTAATTTGCACCATCTAGTGTTTACGCATCTGTTGAATATCATCTTTCATAGAATTCAATGTTAGTTTGTTGTAAATTCATTTAGAAATAAATATCATTTCACGTGCACCGAATTGCAGGCGGCTGCGAAGCAAAGAGCGGGCCGCGCGGGTCGCACGGGCCCCGGCAAGTGCTACCGGCTATACACTGAGCGAGCATACCGCGATGAGATGCTGCCTACCCCTGTTCCAGAGATACAGCGCACGAACCTTGCCACCACGGTATGTCCTTTTATCTAAATATAAAAAAAACCTCTTTTATCTCGGTAAACCCTTGGTGATATCTAAAATAAACTTGTTTATCTCAGTAAACCACTGGTAATAAAGAAGAACCTCTTTGAAAAAGATGTTTATATATGGATATAAAATATTACTCTGTAATAATTATCTGGCATGTATAATATTTTTATTAGCTCCACAAAAGTTTGTGTTTTATTTTGGTTGATTCAGAGGAACCTTAAGTACAATATTTAACCAACAGCAACTTTAGAAAAAAATTTTAAATTTGATGTTTTTGTTTCAATTTAAGCATTTCTTTGGCTCAATGTTCAAAATTACGTATTTTGAGTCTGTCATATTTTTATACAGTCTAAATTCAGAGTGTATTTTCTGATTTCACAGGTACTCCAATTGAAGACTATGGGCATCAACGATCTTCTGCATTTCGATTTCATGGACGCGCCGCCCGTCGAATCACTCATCATGGCATTAGAACAGTTACATTCCCTGTCAGCTCTCGACTCGGAAGGGCTGCTGACAAGACTTGGTAGAAGGGTGAGTATTCAAGCTTATATCACTGGAACCGCTGTTACATGCTTATATGTGTGTGAACACTGTGCAATTTATTAAATTTTCTTTCCAATTTCAAATTTTCATCTGAATAATCTCGAATTTCTTAATGGGTTATATTTGCTTCGGAAGTATTCATAGAAATCGTATTGCTTATTATTATATTAATCGTATTATTTTTAGAGTGATAAGTACTTGATTTCTAAGAAGCGTTCAATAAATAATCCTTTTCCAGATGGCGGAATTCCCCCTAGAGCCCAACCTATCGAAGATCCTTATAATGTCGGTGGCGCTGCAGTGCTCTGACGAGATCCTGACGATCGTCTCGATGCTCAGCGTGCAAAACGTGTTCTACCGGCCCAAGGACAAACAGGCGCTCGCCGACCAGAAGAAGGCAAAGTTTAACCAGCCCGAGGGTGACCACCTCACTCTACTCGCAGTGTACAACAGCTGGAGGAACAACAAATTCTCCAATGCATGGTGCTACGAGAACTTCGTGCAGATCCGGACCTTGAAACGTGCCCAGGATGTGAGGAAGCAATTGCTCGGCATCATGGACAGGTGAGATTAATAAAAGCCGATTGTCCTTAATTCTTTAGAATTGCTCAGTCTGTTAGGCCCTTAAGCATAATGATGTTATATCGAAACTTTTGCCATACTTTAAGCAGATAATATGTAAATTTCATGTAAAAAAATCCTTAGTACTAGTGGTAATCTACCACTGAATTTTATATATATGTGGGGCTGTAATTGATTTATTTTTTCATTGTGTAATTTGTTCTTTAGGCACAAGTTGGACGTCGTGTCCGCTGGGAAGAATACAGTGCGGATTCAGAAGACGATATGTTCCGGTTTCTTCCGGAATGCTGCAAAGAAGGATCCACAAGAGGGGTACAGAACCCTCGTCGACAGTCAAGTAGTTTACATTCACCCCTCCAGTGCACTGTTTAACAGGCAACCTGAATGGTAAGTTTTTTTTACCAAAGTTTTACTATTTATGTGCACTTGAATTTAATATCGTTTCATTAATTCATTTAAATTTCTGTTCACAGGGTAATATATCATGAGTTAGTTCAAACTACAAAGGAATATATGCGCGAAGTAACCACAATAGACCCCAAATGGCTTGTGGAATTTGCCCCGGCCTTCTTTAAATTCTCCGATCCAACAAAACTTTCCAAATTCAAGAAAAATCAGAGACTGGAACCTCTATATAACAAGTATGAAGAGCCGAATGCCTGGAGGATATCAAGGGTCAGAAGGAGAAGAAATTGATTACACATTTATGTCATGTGTTAATTTTCAGTGTCAGAAAATTATACCTGATGTTTCTACACACATAATTTCTGTAATTTTCTTGAAGAAATCCTTTCCCTGTGAACACCTATTTATAGTTTTTCCATTCATTAATTAATGTTAGTTAAAAAAAGTTCAAATATAGTATGAAATGGTTACAAGATTTCAATCTTTCTAGCTATAAATGATGGTTAATATTAGCTATCACAATTTATTTTTTCAATAACAAATATTCACAGAAATGACCCTAAGTTATTTATGCAGGGACTTTTTATAATCTCTATAAAAGCCACATGGAAAATGACTACTAAACATTGAATTGTTGATAAGATTGAACTATGGTCCACAATAGCCACAAAGTTAAATAATACAACATTTATAGAAAGTTTGAACTCGGTGATTTCTGGCTTGGCTATGTTGCAGGATTACTCTTAGATTATTACCGCGTAAACAACGAAACTTACATGTCTATATGTAGCGAAATTCAAAAAAGAGGCCCAATAGGATCTTTGAAAGTACGGGAATAGATGAGGCTTGCAATGCCTAATGCAATACTAGCCTTAGTAGGTTTTGAGTCCAGCTATGTATTAAAATCAATGGGAGACATTTCGGGCAATTGATTAGTTTGATAGACGTAACGTAGCAAAATATATGTAAATTTTTTATATCAGAAAACATGGAAGACGCAGGTTTTCCATTCGTTTTCTGTTCACATTGCGAACGGGGAAGTTCTCGAGGTTTCGTAATGTCCTCTTTACTGACTCGAGAACAACTAGATAGTATTTCGTACTCTCATCTTAAAAATTATAGCAGTACTTGTGTTATGGATAGAAGTGGTTGGCGAGTGATTTATCGCCAAACTTTTAAGGGGATACCCTACTACACGGCTGTTATTTTAGCGCAAAGATTGCGGCAAAATCCGTATCGCAGTTCCTGATACCCTAATGGACAACAAATTCGATTTTTGAAGTGATAAGGCTTTGTAGCCACTTTTGCTATTACAACTTGAAAGTCCAAGAGATTATAGGAGGTAGCTGCTGCCCTGGATATTCGTCGCCGGATACCTCTGAGTCTGGCGAGTGAGGGAACCAGTGCTGAATAATGTAAAATTCGGCAACGGTGGCAACTCGGGCTTTCTTTTTTTGGTAATGGCTGCACTAAGGACAGTCAGCCAATCCCTCATGAAATACGGAATGGGTTTGAACGACAGACAATGCCAATGGGCTCTTGAATGGTAGATGTGGCTAATGGGATCACTTTCAAACCAAAAACACACTTAGGGCTGATTAGAAAACTATTTATTTTAACTTAAACGGTACTTCACGCCGGGACAGCTTCTTACTCTATATAAGGCTCAAGTCTGATCGTGTGTGGAGTACTGTTGCCATATCTGGGCTGGGGCTGCAAAATGCCATCTAGCCGCCTTGGACTCAATGGAGAGGCGTGCGGAAAGGCTCATTGGTGACCATAACTTGGTTAAAACCAATCTCACTAGCCTCTCGGTTTTCTACAGGATACATTTTGGAGAGTGTGCGTTGGAGTTGCATGATCTTATTCCTCCCGCACCTTTCCATCATCGGACAACCAGGCGTACGGCGGGGCTCCACCCTTATGCTGTCGACGTTCCACGTACACGAACAAAGCGATTCGCTTCTTCATTTATCATCCGTACAGCCAAGGAATGGAATAACCTGCCGGCGTCCGTCTTTCCGTCCGATTACAACGTCCGGTTTTTACTGAGCTAGCGCGCTTACCATCAACGACTGCATCGCCACTTACCATCAGGTGGGATGGCAGTCAAGTACAGGCCAGTTTTGAAAAAAAAAAAAAAAAAAAAACATTTTTGAATTTATTTTTGATGGAACAATCATTATGAAATTTACTTAGATACAATACAAGACTTATGTCAGATAACTATACATGTTACTTCTCCAAGCAATTTTACGGAATCTATCAAATATGACACAATTCAGTCTGAACAAATAAAACTAATATTCCAAATTTAAAGTAATTCAAACATAATTCATAAACCAAACAGATCAGAGTTGACATCAAAAGAGCATGTATAATCTTAGATTACCAATCAACATGGGCCACTGGCTTTCAACAAGCTATACAAAAAATAATATCTTTAAGAAATATTGTATCGACATGATTATAACCACCGTGCAGAATGTTTGAGACTTTTGCTATTAAAAACAAAACCACTTTGACACTAACTAAATGTCAAAGTAGGAAGTGTCAAATATCGGGACGTAACGTATACCTATGTATCTACCTATATTAGGAAATTTAAATTAGTTAATTGTTACATTTATAAATCAAAACAAAATGACAAATTAAGCTCTTATATCTAGAGATATTTGGCAATTTAATATGGATTTCTTTTCGGAAATAATAGGTGAAACCGTTATTCTAGGAATCGATTCTCTTATTTTAGGTTTCTGTGTAAAACAGCTGAGCAAATGTAAACATATCTTAAATGCCTTGCAGGTTATTTTATTTATTTTATTTAAAACACGTTAATGTTTGTACTATAACCAAAATATTTTTATAATTATATATCATATTTATTTCTATAGTATATTCATATTTATTAATATATATCATATTTTTTTTAAATATTGAAATCACCTCTTAAAGAATTTATCTTAATTATGAGTATATACGAATTTAATGTATTATGTCACTTATTGCAGAAATCTCCAGTTCTAGATATAGATTCCTCATTGAATAAAGAGATCAACAAATATCCAAACAACACAATACCATATGTTGTTATTAGAGGCCTTGTAAAGCCTCTGGGTAATCCCATTGTAAGCAATTACAACAATTCTGTGACAGGAGTTATACAGAGGTAAAAATCTGAGTTTTGGATTTGTAAGGATCACAGTGTATCTGTAACTGATGGTGTGTAATGGTTCTCGAGTGGTGGTCACGAACTGGAAGATGTAGCATTGGAAGGCCTCCCTCTAGGTGAACTGACAATATCGTAAGATTCGCAGGCAACCGGTGGATGCAAATGGCAAAGTGTCCTTTGTTGTGGCGTTCTAAAGGGGGGCCTATGTTCAACAGTGGATTCTTGCGGCTAATGATGATGACGACGATGAAAGTGTACCTCTCAGAAATTATCATAGCAACATATTGTATTTAATGTATATGTAATACTGCCACTACATATGCAATTTAACTTTATCAATTTCTTTCTAGATTAACGATAAAGGAGCATGTTATTGCAAGGACTTCTGCTGGATTTTGGTCTGATCAAACTCGCACCATACATGAAGTATGTAACTCCACTCCATTTGTGCTAAATAATGGAAAGTACAATATTGAAGTTGTGGATGCACTGGCAGCTGAGCTATTGGGTAAGCTCTTAATGAAAAACAAAAGTAATATTAAGGAAATAAAATAATTCATCTTATAAGCATCAGCCTAAACATGTCCCACTGCTAGGCAACAGCAAAAGGACAAAAAGGATGGTTAAACACTCTGAATTGATCAAAATTATCTTTATAATGATTAGAATGAGCAATTCAAAGAGTATAACCATCCTTTAGGCAACTCAAATAAAATTTGAAAAGTCATTTGACAGCTGTTTAGTTGACATCTACGATGATCTGTCTTTCAGAAACCGGGTGTTAATCTATTGTTAATCTATTGACAAATGTAATGTTTGTAATTTTTTTTTTGTTAAATAAGCTTGGATTGCTGGTGATTGTTGGTCGCAATATGTCCTAAATTGTGATGAGTCAGTGGCTAAGTTGCTAAGCTATTGGCTTCGGCGCAGAGGGTCGTGGGTTCGATTCCCACACGGGACAAGTATATGTGTGTCCCAGATAATTTTTATGGATGTGGGTGTTAGGTTTCCTAGGAGGGATGACGTCAGGCAGCCGGTCGCAAAAAACATAGACAAAACTAATTAAAACATGATTCGCATGTCGCCCCATTAAGGTGGTATAAGGATGGGAAGATGATGTACTCAAAATGCTAATGCTTTACACGCTAGACCTGGACGTGATTTCGGACAAATTTGAGCCGATGTCTCCGGGCGTCATCGACCACGTGTGGGGTTTCTTCTCGGGCGTGAGACAACGGGGGCTTCAGACCATGGAGGAGATGCTGCGCGACGGCTCGTACATCACAGCCATCGGAGAACTGAGCAGGACGCAGTCGGGGGCGCTGAAAATACAACCGCCCAGGGACGGACTCCCACTGTACCTCACCACCGCTACAAAGTCAAGTTTGCTGAAAAGGCTCGCCAGCTCAAGGGACTTCCTACGGTTAGTTCATTTCACCTTCCTTCATCATCGACGTGCGGCGGTCACGATTTTTAAAATGTAAAACAGATTTTGATTAGAAAATACTAGAATAAGCGGGAAAGTTATATATCGGTTATAGCTAGCAGAGGCGCGAGTAAAAAGGCAGGCAGTCAGCCGCCCATCCTTTACAGTGTTTATTAAACCAACCTTGACCAGTTCCATGGAGAAATAAGAAACACTGTTTTATCAAAAATAATCTTAGTAGTATTTAACTGGGTGTCGAAAACGCAAGTCACTGTCCCATTATGCCCATTTCCATGGGTGCTGAGAGAGAATACTCATTGGCGCATTTTCCAGGAGACACGAGTTCGTGTTTCGATTAATTTAAGGTATAATTAACTAAAAATATAAGTTACAAGGTTCTTATACACTTAAAAGTAAATAAGAAACAATAACAATATGTAGAACCAGTTAAAAATTACTTTGTAAAATATAAAGCTCGTAAAAAGTAAGTATTTTAATGATTGTAAGATATTTTACTGCGCTGAAGTCACTACACATTCTTCTGTTAATATTATCAACAGATATAATTGTGTACTGCATTTTCGAATTCGCCGTCTTCGTAATGCGACCGTTGTTTGAATCAGTTTGAGATGATGCATTTAAGAAACGTATCGGGTTTTTTTTTTCCAATACATTTATCACAATATATTTTTTTAAGCATACACAAACATAACATGGCTACTTCGAGTTTAAAAAACAAAACAATTTCACTTGCCTCTATTACGGTATATGAATGTCCGTCGAACTCACTATAGGCGTCTGTTTGATAGCACTTTATTAAAGTGCCTTCCTCAAGTCAATCGATTGTATGTGGCCGTTTAATTGCACCGCGCCGAGTCCCAGTTTCGCGGCATGTTTGTGACGACGATGTGAGTTTTTCAGATACCGATTATGATTTTTCACAATAGTAGTGATCGACACCTTTTCACAACGGCTTAAAACTCTTCATTAAGGAATAATATATTGAAAGTGTTTAGACATATGTAACGTCATGTAAGCTTGAAGGTTGGTGATAAACTTTTATGAGCTGAAAAGGTATAATTTTATTAGTTTTTCTTATAAGTAATTAATTACTTTTTTATACGTTTTCGTGTGTTTCAAACTTGTTTAGCGTTTATCTCAGTTATATCGTATGCAACTATATCGGCTAGGAGTCGGCCTTTCTCTAGATTTTTGCTATAGCCTTGAAACATTTTTAACATGTTGCATTGCATGCATTACTCTCAAACTGCATCAATTAAATAACTACAGTATTACCTAAGACTGTTTTGTTTATGTTGTAATGCAAAGTGAAATTTCTTCCTTTTATGACTTAGTTTTCAAATTACATTCAATTTTTTTTATGTGAAAAAGTGGCAAACGATTTGGCGGTTCACCTGATGTTAAGTAATAACCACCGCCCATGGAAATTTGAAACACCCGTAGGGCTACGAATGCGCTGCCACCTTTAAATAAAGTGGGCCCCGGCTACCTCACTCACCAGACGAAAGTAACACTCCTACACTTAATTCTTTAGGTATCATTAACTTACAAACGAATATCGTTTCTTTTATTGCGATTTCAATGGCCAGTAACTGCTAACGTGCCGAACTATACACGAATCGATATCAATTTAAAAAAAAAACGAACAAGTGCGGGTCGTGCTCGCGCACGAAGGGTCCCGTACCATTATCTATAAAAACGGCAAAAAAAATCATGTCTGTTGTATGGGAGCCTCTTAAATAGTTTTCTATCCTGTTGTACTTACTTAAGTATTAATAATTACTTAAGTATTTGTTGTTATAACTGGAACAGAAATAGGTACATAAACTGTGAAAATTTCAACTGTCTAACTATCACGGTTCATCAGATACAGCCTGGTGACAGACGGACCCGATTTCCAGTTCGGGAACCCTAAAAAGAAGGTCCTTTGTAGAATCCTGCTGGTGGTGTTCGGCGCGGTCGCGGTGCTGGCGTCGGGCAGGGTGGCCTACAAGTACCTGCGCAGGCGCAGACGGCGCCAGCTCGAGGACTCCCTCAAGCGTCAGCTCGCAGCCGGACGCAAGGAGCGAAGGGCGCACGCGCGGGAGAAGAACCTCACCGACGTGCAGCTGTGCGTCGTCTGCTCGGAGAACCCCAAAGAGGTCGGTCCGACGGAGGTTCTATACATCCCATACGGCCCGTTGTAATATTCTATCTATAAGAAGAGTTTTGGCAACTAACGTCGTCGGAAACTAATGTCGTTTGTGTGCATCTTAATATTTGATTGTGATTTGGTAGATTTAAAGTCGTCCTACAGATATCTAAAAGTTAAAGTTAATTGTCTAATTCTAAATAATAGTTCAAGCGCACTCGTCATACAAACTACCGTTTGTTTTACTTTAACCACTAGTGCATACTTGTTTTGCAGGAAACTCTGTTCTGAATCGTAACTCTCATATATACAACACACCAAGTATTCGAAATATTTTTTCTGCCATACAATGCATTTAAAAAGTTAAAGGAAGATCTAAACATAATATAACAAAAGCGCTGATAGTAGTGTGGATGATTACATCATCATTGGTTAAAAATAAAAACTCCTTAACGAAAACGACATTACTTTCCGTACCCCTATAAGATAATCATATTATCGTGTTGATAAATCTGAGACCCTTATACAAATTGTACACGATTTTCGCTATACAAAACTAAGAAAATAATTTTAGCAAAATTTGTATGCGGCTATCTGGAGTATTGTGTAACCGAGGCTTACTTCTTTTAGGCAAAGCATATGGAACAAGTGAGGTCTTGTATATGTCCATAGGAGGCCATAATCACTCATCATTAGGTGAATCGCTTGCTTGCTTGCCAACTTGTCACCTAAAAGAAAAAAATTATTGTACCGTTATTTGAATAACGATCTAATTTGACATTTTCCAATGGCCAAATTATCTTATATGTGAAGCACATATAAGATAATTTAAGGTAAAAATGTTTTTGATTTTATTTTCATTGATCATTAAATTATCTCGAATTTTTCGAGAGTATTAATAATATACCTTTAATAATACTTTTATAATATATTTTTACCCAATATTCGCGAAAGTAATGTGACAATTTCTTAGGTTTCTACTGACCTCGCACCAAAAGAGTTTATATAATAATTTGTTGTATTTACGCGATTACACATGGTCACGGGACAGACTGAGGTGTTAGACGTCTAACACCTCAGTCTGTCCCGTGACCATGAACGCTGTAAAGGGTTCGAAACGTCGGGAATTAAAATTAAAAATAAACGCGATAAATCCGTAAAATTAGTTTCATTTATAAAAGAGTTTATTCTTTGTATATTTACATAAGATATAGATAGGGATAGGATAAGTAAGTGACGTCCATAAGTGTAGCGAGCTGAAGTGGCAGTGAGCTGGCCGCATTTCTCGTAGTACCGATGAACGTTGGAGGCGGGTTCTCGAATGGAGACCACCACTCCGAAAACGGAGTGTCGGTTTGTCGGACGTCCCTCTGCCAGGTGGACCGATGACCTGGCGAAGCTCGCTGAGTAGCTGGATGAGGAAAGCGGAAGATCGTGCACTATGGCATGCTCTTCGGCCCATGTTCGGGAGGCCTATGTCTAGGAGATTGAGAGATGTTCTTACATATATGACCATTGTTCAGCTTTTAACTATACCCTAATAATTGTATACTTGTTAATTTCCCAGATAATCCTGCTGCCGTGTGGTCATGTATGTCTCTGTGAGGACTGCTCAGATAACATAAAAGACAACTGTCCTATCTGTCGGGAACGGATAGAATCCAGAGCACCTGCCTTCATCACTTAGGGGGAGACTACATTAGCATGTTACATATTTATTAATACTGAACCCTAGATAGATCTATTTATAGCAGTTAAACTAGTATTACTTATAATTTTCAAGAAAATGGATCATATTAAATGAAATACCAGCTGCACTGCATATGAAAATAACTATGGGACTTACCCTGCCAGAGTATATTTATATGTCCACAAACAATTGTTGAATTACAAATCAAATAAATAAATTAATATTTTGTTAAAAAGGTTTTTATTAACATTTTTACCCATAGTAAAATAAGATCTTGGTCATAATTTAAATATAAACTTTTCTTTATATTCATTTATATACATTATTATACATAAATTCAAATATATGCTATTGTCAAAATCCTATATGTAAGGAACCCAATCTTCCGCAGGAAGAAGAACATGTTTCATCTTCCTCTTCTATGTTATGCTGTTCATCATCATCGGAACAGCCACCTATGTTGTTTTCCTCATTTTTAGTGTTGGGCCTTTCAATACCACTTTTATTTTCAAATAATGTAGATTCACTTATAACATACTTTTCTAGTAAAGAATTTACTTTAGAATTGTCATCATTTATCTTTGTCCTATCACAATTTTCTGAGCATTTGCTATTACATTGTCCTACATTGCTGGCATGTGTATCAATTTCTGAGGTTTTCATTAATCCATTACACTTATTTTTACATAGGCCCGAATTACATGTTTTAGAATTAACATTGCACTTATCTTGTTTATTATAACCATCATCCAAATCATTCACTGCTAATTCAAGTGATTCTTTGTTCATTTGATTTGCATTGAATTCTTCAATCATTTTTTTCGCTTTTGAGCTTTTACCAATTCCAAGCTTAGGCAGGCCTTTGTTTAAGCCTTCTAGAAGAACACATGCTTTACACACTTCTTGGGATGACACAAAATTACACCGAGTGCATGTCCTTTGGGTTGGGAGAATCACTTCATCTTTTACGGCCATTGTTTCACCTGCAAAACATTTAATTTCTTTAAAAAAAAATGGTATAAATTTTAAAGTTTTTTATAGTGCTAATCTCTGCACTTAAGATTGAACATTAAAACATGTAGAAAAAGTACGAAAAGATTGTCGTCGCTGTGGCTATCAGCCGTTTAGCTCAGTGGCTAGAGCGTCAGGCCGCGAATGCCGAAGACGTGGGTTCGATTCCCACAGCGGCGACAATCTTTTCGTACTTTTTCTACATGTTTTAATGTTCAATCTTAAGTGCAGAGATTAGCACTATAAAAAACTTTAAAATTTATAAAAAGCAATGGCGACATCTCTCGTTCGAATTATCGTTGTAAAACGATATTCGAAATTGTTTGTATGCTGGAAAGGATATAACAATAGATGCGCCAAGCATTGCTTCAAATGCTAAAATAACAATGTATGAAGAAGGCGTTAAGATTTTCGTCGCTGTGGGTATCAGCCGTTTAGCTCAGTGGCTAGAGCGTCAGGCCGCGAATGCCGAAGACGTGGGTTCGATTCCCACAGCGGCGACAATCTTTTCGTACTTTTTCTACATGTTTTAATGTTCAATCTTAAGTGCAGAGATTAGCACTATAAAAAACTTTAAAATTTATAAAAAGCAATGGCGACATCTCTCGTTCGAATTATCGTTGTAAAACGATATTCGAAATTGTTTGTATGCTGGAAAGGATATAACAATAGATGCGCCAAGCATTGCTTCAAATGCTAAAATAACAATGTATGAAGAAGGCGTTAAGATTTTCGTCGCTGTGGGTATCAGCCGTTTAGCTCAGTGGCTAGAGCGTCAGGCCGCGAATGCCGAAGACGTGGGTTCGATTCCCACAGCGGCGACAATCTTTTCGTACTTTTTCTACATGTTTTAATGTTCAATCTTAAGTGCAGAGATTAGCACTATAAAAAACTTTAAAATTTATAAAAAGCAATGGCGACATCTCTCGTTCGAATTATCGTTGTAAAACGATATTCGAAATTGTTTGTATGCTGGAAAGGATATAACAATAGATGCGCCAAGCATTGCTTCAAATGCTAAAATAACAATGTATGAAGAAGGCGTTAAGATTTTCGTCGCTGTGGGTATCAGCCGTTTAGCTCAGTGGCTAGAGCGTCAGGCCGCGAATGCCGAAGACGTGGGTTCGATTCCCACAGCGGCGACAATCTTTTCGTACTTTTTCTACATGTTTTAAAAAAATGGTATTATTCTTCATGAAAATCAGTCAAATAAAAGTTGTAAAATTTACACTTAAATTTTTTTTAAATATCACTTCCATTGTACAAAATTTTATTTTTATTTTTATTAAAACCCTTTTATGTTAAAAAAAACAATGATACTGAGCAATAATGCTAGTAGACAAACTGTTTTTATAGGTACAATATCTTAGTAAGCTTTAATTACATGATCTTACCTGAATATATAATATCCATAATACAACTTGGCCTTATCTTCTCCATATCTTTAAGAAGGGCTCTTGCATGTCCTCTATATGCATTAGGTGCAAAGACGCATTCGGTAGAGAAGTAAACCAATTTCTTATAATGTGCATACATCACTATTTCTTTCTCATATGCATACTTAAGCGGTTTCACTCTTGGTATTGTTCCCTCACTGCCCTGAACATAAAATAATTAAGTTGTAACAAAATTAAAAAATTGATTTAAAATTTAAGGATTTATGCTTTAAATAATTTAGTTATTTAAACTTACTCTCTAAAAACTTGATATATGGATTGAAAAAAAAAAGTCTAGCTTAAACATTATAGAACAGATCAGTTCTGATCGCATATTTTTTATAGATACAGAGTTCCAAAGGGAAATGGTAGTGGTACATCTTAGGGTCGTAGCCTATTACTCTTTATGATTAACATAAAATATTGGTAAATTTTCTCTGCAGCCTTTATAATTACCGAAGAGGATCTATGTATATTGAAAAAGAGTCTAGATAGATGCAAATATTATATTCAGATTATAAAGTAACATGTTTTTTTTATGGCAGAATACTACAGGTAAACATGTGTTTTCAGATATTCATGTAGTTTATGCATGCTTTTAATGATAATGTTAATAAAATCTTTATAATAAAATCTACTTACAGTACTTATAGCCGTGCATCTTTTTAACCTAGCAATATCTCCTCGCAGCACATTCATTAGGACAGTTTCTGCTATGTCATCAGCATTATGCCCTGTGGCTATACACTTAACCCCCAATAAAGCTGCTCCTCTATCCAAAGCTTGCCTCCTGAACACTCCACAAAATGTACAATTATTTTTTCTACCAATCTGAGCAACAATTTCATCCATAGTCCACCCATATAGATCTTTGTATGAAAGAATTTTTAAAGGCATTTCGTAATCGTCCCGGTTTCGTTTCACCGTCTCTAGACTATCGTCTCTGTATCCCGTGATGCCTTCATCTATTGACAGTAACATAAGATTTAATCCATAATTATAACGTTCATTAAGAGTTTTTAACACATGCGCGAGCACCGTCGAATCCTTTCCCCCTGATGCCGCCACAGCCACAGAGTCGCCCCGGTTAAACAATTCCGCTTTCGTTATAGTGAAATGAACTTCTGTTTCAAATGCACAAAAAAAGCAATCTTTGCATAAAGCATCACCAGTTTTCGGACGCTGAAAATACAACATAAGGTATAGTATACAACAAGAGCATTGTTTTGTGGTTAAAATTTTGGAAGAATTTATACCTTTAGCATGGCATTTTTTCCACAACCTGCTTTGCACGGTATTGGCATATTACTGAAAAGCTCTACCTATTATTTAACGAAAAGAACAGTTTATATATTATTCAGTAAACAGATGAAAGTGATCTAAAATACTAAAAAACTGATTTTAACCTTCCAGATAAAAAAATAAGTTAAAGAAAACTTTTAAGCTGGGGCAAATACGGTCTCATTTCGTTTGTATGTAAATTTTGACAGATTTCAACATATCCTAGTGCTGTTACATTTAAGCCGAAAGCGTATAAAACATACAACCACAAAATGTTATCGAAGTTTTTTTAAGAATTAAAACTCCTCATCCTCTGGTTTTGCATAAGTAATGCATTATTATTTTCACTTTTAATTCTTATAATAAATCCTTATTTCTTTCGAACTATGCTTAGTTATCTTTTTTAACTCATGACTACATCCAAGAATTTTTCCTACCACAATTACTTTCATCCTATATATAAGTCATACTATTTCTTATATATGTACGTGATATTACATACATTATTCTTAAAACTCTGTTATCTTATTCGGTGATTGATATGTTCTTCTTTTTTAATTGTTTACGCCAATATTATGAATGCAATCGTTTTTGTGAATGAACACACAAAGTTCATTGACTGATTGACATTTCGTACTATTCGCTCAATTCCTATCACCCAGTTTCGGAACGAAACTTACTTTTCATTTGTCTTGAGTTCTATTTCACAGTTAAATTATTTTAATTTGCATAACACTATAAAGAAAGCGCACTTGCAATCATTGATAAACAAATGAATAACTTTAGGCGAGTTAAAATGGGTTAAATCAAGTTCTCTGTAACTGCTTATGTTGTGTTGATGTGTCCATAACAGGTGTTTATTTCTCGAAGGCTATTTCAACTTCTTTTAAGGTTTTCAGTTAGCTCGAATTGGCAAAATGCACGAATTGCTCAAACATGTGCTTAATGAACGTGATTTGACTCGGGCAGGTGATTTATTCGCTATTCCGGACTCCGAAATTGTGGATGATATAAACGAAGTTGTAAGCACTTTATTATGTAGCATATTATCATGATATTTCTAAGGGGCAAACAGGTTGTTGTATTATTATTCCATACTGCTTGAAGACCTTATTGTTCTTAGATCAACATCCTAGCTTTTTATTTTGGTACATTGTTTTCATTCATAAAATTGAACTTGTATAGCAATGTATTAGAAATCAGAAAAGATTTGATATATGTTCTATCTTACATGTAATATTTAATTTGATATTTAAATTACTGTAATCTCTTACTAAATTAATTGCAATTTGAGCTTTTTTTTATTCCCATATAAAAACTATATTTCTACAATGTCTGATAAATTATTTCATATATAGTAAAAATGTTGTTTAAACAAATATAATCTGTAACAAATTTCTTATAGAACTTTGATACTAGTATATACTTTACAGTTGAAACAAATTACCGAAATATCTTCTCGACCTGATTATTGTCGGAATGACCGCGACCAGGCACTAATAGAAATATGTGTCACTCGTGCCACTTCATGCATAAAGGAGACTGGTACTTTGCCCAAATACTGTGGGGCCTTGGTTTCTCTACTTGAATCATGCCTTCACCACAACTTGATGCCTGTTGGTCATCTTAGAGATGATGACCCACCACATGCTAAAATTGCATCGGACATTATAGCTTGCATTGTACTGGTAAATATAAAAATACCTCCACTTGTGTTTGATGTTAGTGTTTTGTGTTATGTGAAATGTACTTTGTATTGTAAAATTCCAACAGGTTTCATTCCCATTGCAATCGGATAAAGAGACAAGTGGCAATAAGGAAGTGATGGAATTGTTCTTGCCAGTGGCTGTACAGTTTCTGCACAAAGGTAACAGGGAGATATCGCGTCACATGGCACGGTACCTTTCGCTGGCCGCAGTGCACCATGCACCACTACTCAAGCCACATGTACAAACCATTATGGACTCAATCATGTCAGGTGAGTTCTGAAAAGTCATGTATTTTATGTACTGTATCTACCAAGCCTTTCGGTCTTGAATCTCTAGGTAGAAAACTTGTATGTAATTAAATACACAAGCATAAAATAACAGTACTTGTTGGGAAGAAATCCATCAAAACTCTATGAAGCAAACTCAGCAGTTTGAATTCAATTGCAAGTCAATGCTTCAACAGATCAGATGCATGTTTTTTTAATAAGTTACATGTGTGTTTTTAGGCAACTATCCACTGTGTCGTATTCTTACTAATTTGTATGAAGTCTGTCCGGAACCACTAGAAGGCCATGTCACCGCACTTATTTCACTCTTGCCTCATGCTGAACAGGTCAGTTATAATTTTATTCAATCTTGTATCTTGTATCTTGTATTAACTGATGTTTTTGCTTTCGAGTCCCGAGACTATTAATTAAAGCTTCATCTGACGCAGAACCGGTGGGCTAGCCAGAACCCACGGGTTTGGGCCCTCCGCTGTCGGTAGGGCCACGCATGTGCTCATGCGTGCGTTTAAATATGGTGTGTCATCTAAGGGCCATCGAGGTTGCAGTTCGGACCGAAACCCCGATGGCCGTCGACTGTGCAATTAGCTAATCGCTGGCTGGGAGCGGTGAGAACCGCCCCGGAACGCGGGTGTACCTTGTGTACGCGTTGTGTGGGTCTCGCCGTGCTCGGAGGCGAGGGCGAACTAGTGTGTTTGTTGTTGCACTAACTGTGGGTGTAGTGTTGTCCGGCGGGACCGCCGGCGGTGGGTCCGGCGTATCTAAGTCCCCTTCGTCGACCGGGTCGATAAGGACGTTTCTCGGGCGACGCTTGTTGACGTTCGCGTTTGTGTCGGGTTGGTAATTTGCTGCGCTTACCACCAGAGGGTTGGAATGATGTTCGGCTCTATCGAAGAACCGTTTGGTCAGGTCTTTAAAATATTCGCGAATCGTCGGGAGTCTGCAATCGCTGTGCAGGTCGACTTTGCTTTGATACCACTGCGCACCGGTTGCGCGGCGGATGAACTTATTTTGTACTATTTACAACTTGTACAAGCGAGTAGGGTGCGTGTGGGCGAAGGTCATGCATGCGTAAGACATAATAGGTCGTACGCAGGTCTTATATAATAATAATTTGTGCCTTAAGGGCATTTTACTGTTAGTTAAATTGTGTAGCCGGCCGGAGACGAACGCGGCTCTATTGCGAACGTTATTAATGTGCGTAGTAAATAACATACGCGAGTCGAAAGTGACTCCTAAGTATTTGACCTTTTTCTCCCAGGGGAGCGGTTGGCCATAAAAGGATATTTGCCCCAACTTTCTGCATTGACGAGGGCCATTATAAAGATGTGACGGGTAAGTACTTCGTGTGAAGTGAATCGCCACTCTTTTCGGGATTTATTTCTATTCTCCATTTGCGGAACCAATCGCCGAGGCGGTCGGCAGCGCTTTGGAGTCGAGCGGTTAGTTGTCTAAGGTTGCGGTCTGAATAAAAAAGCGCCGTGTCATCCGCGAAAAGCGCGAGATTGACGTGGGGGTCTTTAGGTATATCGCTCGTGTAGAGCGTAAAGAGCAAATGTGAGAGGCACGAGCCTTGTGGTATGCCGGTGGTGAGGCGGCGGCTTGTGGAGAGGGTGCTTTCAACTCGATATCGAAAAGAGCGGTTCGACAGGAAGGCCTGGATGGTGTGTACGAGCCTATCTGGCACTTTGAGTGTGTACAGCTTGTAAAGCCGTTGTGCCAGACCTTGTCGAATGCTTTTGCGACATCGAAGAAAAGAGCCCCTGTACTAATATGTTTAGGGTGATTTAGGCCTTTTAGGATATGTTCCGTTAGGCGGAATAGTTGATCGGGACAGGAATGTCTAGCTCGAAAGCCGAATTGTTCCGCCGGCAGAAGGCCGTTGGAAAACACGTGCTCATTGAGCCTGTTTAATAAAAGCCGCTCGTAGAGCTTCCCCAGGCAACTGAGGAGGCTGATGGGACGATAACTAGAGGGCTGGTTGGCTGGTTTATTAGGCTTGCGAATGCCGATAACCCTGGCTTCTTTCCAGTCGTCTGGAAAGGAGCAACTGGAGAGTAAAGTATTGTAAATGGTCGCCAGTAAACAGATAAGCGGCCCAGGGAGAGCTTTAAGAATTTTGTTACTAATATTATCTGGGCCCGGGGCGGATTTGGGTTTTAAGTTTTTAATAATATCTTGAACCTCTTCGGGGGTCACTGAATTCAAAGGATCGCCTTCCGGTGGAAGCGCAGCCCTAATGTCGATTACGTCGGTCCACCTCCGTTAGGTGGGCTGTATCGATGTGTTCGCGCGACGGCGTATATTGCTGCTCTAGGTTGAACGCAAGGCATTCGGCTTTTTCGGAGTCATCTAGAGCTACTGAAGCGCTATTAGGTCTAACTAACGGCGGTAGAGATTCGCGGGGGTCTGCTTTCAGACTGCGGACCAACCGCCAGTAGGCGGTGTGCGATGGCTCGATGTCCTCTAGGAGAGTGTCCCACGTTGTATGTCGGTGTTCCGATACACGATCTTTGACTTCTAGCTGAAGGCGTCGAAGTAGGGTTCGGTTCGATTCCGATCGGTATCGGTCGAAAGCGCGTTTGGCTGCATTTTTCTGCCTAATTAGGGAGTCGCAGTTCGGGCGGAAAGTTAAACCGTCGATCGCCCGACAGTTTAACCGTCCGTTCCGAGTCTGCGACTGTGGAAGTGATGGTTTCTCGGAGACTTGCTATCGCTCGATTTGCGTCATCGAACGTAGCTATCGTCTCGGGTAGGTCGACTAAGTCCTGAGGGTCCAAGGCCTTGAGTTTGACCTCAAGACGATGCCAGTCCACTACGGATTTGGTCGGAGGGACCGCGCCGGCGTTCTGGCCCAGTTTACACAGGACGGGCCTGTGGTCTGAGTCTAGTTCATGGATTGTCTCTATCGACTCGATGTCGAGCGAGACCTCCCTGAATAACATGATGTCTAGGACACTCGGTGACGCGTGTTGGTAGTTGTCCACCGTAGGATACCTAGTGGGAGTCGCGGGAGCGACTATGCTAAAGTTTAAATTATCGGATAAGCTAAAGAGATGCTTTCCGTTGTTATTTGGGATGCTGTGGATGTCCCATGAACCGTGTTTGCAGTTTAGATCTCCTGCAATTATCACGGAAGGGCCTAAGTTGAGTAGCGTAACTAGGTCGCTTTGTAATAAGGTTTTATTCCCCGAGAGTTAGGCTGAGACTAGTACAAGCGGCCTGTGGCCGGTGAGCGCTAACCTACACGCGGATGCCTCTATTTGACTTAGCTCCGGAATGTCGAGCGGCCAACAGTGCAAGGACCGTTTATAGTAAATTAATGTGCCTCCCAGACGGTTTGCTAACCGGTCATGGCGGACAATGTTGTAATTTGCGATTCTGGGATCGGGTACACTAGGTTTTAAGAATGTCTCTTGCACTAGAAAAATATCTACGTTATAATCGCGAAGGAATTCTGCGATTTCGTCCCTTTGACCCTTTATGCCGTTTGCGTTGAAATACGAAACAACCAGAGCCCGAGGTTTTGTTCTACCTGCGGTTGTACTTCCCATTAAAGTTTGTATGGTTCTAATTAACGACGCGGCGGAGCGCGGTTTTATTGCGCGGACTATTATGTATTTTTATGGTTGGCTCGTAAAAGCCCATAGGGCTTCTACAAGCGTTTTGTGTTGGCTGATTGCTCTAAAGGCGCTCGTTGCCAGATGTGGCGGCCGCTATTTTAGCGGACAATACGGCGAGTTCCTGCCTATTGATTCGGTCTAATAGGCTGCAGATGTTGGCGATTTGCGCGAACGGGTCGTCCTTGTTTTCGGCGAAAACCGATGAAGTTGGCTGCACCTGCGGCGTCGGCGCCGTTTGATAGGCGGGAGCGATTGGTCGTGAGGCGACCGGGGGTGCAACTACCTGCGCGGCCACCTGGGGTTTCGCCCAGGCGTTTACGACGGGTACGGGCGCGGGAACGTATTTCACGGGCGCGGGTTTGGGCAAAGTAGATTTCGCGGGAGTTTTTGGGGCCTTAGCGCAGCCCTTGTAGCTAGCCGGGTGGCCGGTGGTATGACAGTTAACGCAGTCCGGTGGAACTGCGCAATCTTTTGGCCGCGTACAATCGGGCGTGCCGTGGTCACCGGTGCATTTGACGCACCTAGGGTGAGCGAAACAATTATTAGCCGTGTGGCCATAGTGTTGGCAGTTGTGGCACTGCGCCACAACTGCCGATTTTCGCGGGGGCTCGATCACGAGGTCGCTGAGCCCACAGACCCTCTTCAGGTTGAAGATGGGGGCAGACGGGCGCAGACGGTGCGGGCAATGGCGGCGACGCGAGTTCAGCTAATTGCCTATGCTCGGCTTCATAAGCGAGAAAACGTTCCCACATAGCGGGGCATTCTTTGCGTACGAACTCCTCGAAAAGGGAGCCCATCGCGACGTAAGTGCCTTTGGGGCTTGTAGCCCCGCCGGCGTGTGTGAGCTAAATAAGCCTCCCCACCTTGCGGCAGGGAGGAGTGTGCCTAGAAATAACAACAAATTTGCCTGCGCTTTAGGTGCGCTAGGATGGGTACCTAGCTGTCACCTATTGCAACAAGCACACAGTTAATAAATGAAACAATGCCGCCTCTGAGGCGAGAAGTGTGTGTAGGATTCTACTTACAAACAGAAAGCTGCCTACGAGCACAACACTAACACTAAACTACTGCACTATTGGCACAAGATTGAAATTGCAACCGAGGTTGCGAGTGGCGTCTAATTCGGGTGGCATGTGCCCTCCGTCTTAGAGAGACGTCCGTTCCGTACGAGAGCACGAAGCGGAATGATGATTTTATTCAAGAGACAATTATCAACCTATAAGTTGCATAGTAGTAATAATTTTACATAAAGTTTACAGATGTGCATTCAGGTTTTTTTTAGCATTTATTCGGTTCAGAATCAATTTTGTTTAAAACTTCTTCATTGAACATGAATTGGTTCTTCTCTGATACTTCAGCTTTTTACTAATTATTTAATTAATACCAAGCAGCCTTTTGGTTTAAAAAGTGCTCCAAGTAAAAACCAAAATGATACACATTCTTTAAAATAACGTGTTTAAAGAAAACCATTGTTAAATTTACTAATACTTTAGTGTATAATATTTTTTTCAGGAACTTGAATATATGACATTAATGTTATTTTGTGAACTAAGTTTATGGTAAAAAATCGTATTACAGGTTGAGAAGAACTCCCTGTTCGCTCTGTTCGAGCAAATCGCTGGGCGGAGGCCGGAGGCGCTTAAGACTTGCGTCCCCCAGTTACTCTCATACCTCTGTCCCAATACTGCCAGCCAGACAGACTCTGGCTGTATGTGCGTTGATCTACTACAGGTGCGCTATCACCAAGTTGTAAATTTATCTTGGACAATCCTTAATGCTAATGGAATATCAGTGGACATTGTTTATTGTACTTTTTTTAGTGCTCTCTTTGTTAAAAAATCTAGTCCATTAGTTTTGTTGTAGACTTCATACAGTGCATATTTTGATATTGGTTTTTCACGTTTTAAATCTAGTAAGTTCAATGTCCAGCGTAAATACATACCACGGTCTACCTCTTGTGAAATTGAGCTGGGGCTGTTTGATTTATATTGAATTAAATCGATCTTTTTCATTTGGAATCAAATATTTCGTAAGATATATGAAGTCCGCCAATCCGCAGTCGCGTGGTGAAGTATGCCCGAATTCCCTCTGTACAAAGCAGGCCTTTGCCCGACAGCGGGACGCATATAGGCGGTTATTTTACTTTTCCTTTTAATTATTTCTAATATATATATAATCTCTTTCATAATTCAATGCTTTCTTACAGCTGATGGTGTGCCTCAGTCGAAGTCGGGCATCGCTGGTGGTCGAGCACAGTGGAGCTATCCGGAGGGCGGCTAGGCCTCCGCATGCCACCGCTAAGGCCTCCGCCCTCGTGGCAACCATTTTGGCGCAGCTTGGACACACGAGTAGGGTAAGTGACCAATGTAGGGGCGGACTGATGAAATATTCTGTATACTGACTATTTGTATGTAGAACTCAGTGTGTGAGACTTATAACTTGTGGATATGACTACTGACAAATTTCGGAATGTTTGCATGGTTTGAGAAATATTATATTATGAAATTATTATTACATAATAATTACACTATAATTATTTAAGAGAAGCGAGTCTTCTACATTAGTCAGGTCTTTTTTAAAGAGATTGTGCAAAAGAAGAAAGACTTTCACTCAATGGTATGTGATCGCCGCGAAGCAGCGACAACCACAATCAGGACCGGATTCAACTTTCTTTGCGTAGGCACTGTAAAAAATACAACTCACGAACACTTTGCATATTTTTTTTTTATTTTGTTTTCAACTATGCCTATGAGTAGCTACTTAAGTCTCTAGTCGCATATTACATTATCTTTAGAGGATAGGAACAGTATTTTTGACGAGACTGCAATTTTGAAACTCTTAATACTGATGAAATTTTTTTTTTACCAAATACTGACTGTTCCATGTGATTTCATCCGCGAGAAACGTTTCTGATTCGCACCCTTAGGTCGTATCGTGTGTGCCCTTACTGTGGTATAATATTATCCTATGTTGTAAGGACGTTTTACATACATAAATTTCACGTGGACAAACACCCAGACCCGAAACAATCATCTGTGGGTTACGGAAATTGCTGTCCCGTATGGGATTCGAACCCGCGACCCCCGGTGCCGAAGCAAATATTTGGCAACAGCGATACGGAGTCATCGAATGTTAGTCTTGCGAGTAGGAAGGTTCGCGTCATACATGTTATCGGTCGCATGTCGGCAGGAGAGGGCGCAGGAAGCGCTGAACTTCGTGGTGGAGAGGCTGTGCGGGGCTGAGAGGGCGGAGCAGGCGGCCCTTCTTCGCGAAGCCACCGCCCTCTGCTCCGCCTACCCGGCCCTCTTCACCGACCGCCTTCTGGCCGCCCTGCGCGCGAACAACGCGTGCGTATCCGACATACAACCCTTACCCTACCCGTGCTCCATATCTCTTTACAAAATAAACAGTTTTAAAGTGAAGTACACGTGTAACATTTTTTTTATGTGAGAAAATGGCAAGCGCGCTAGCGGTTCACCTGATTTTGAGTGATAACCGCCGCCCATGGACATATTCAACATAAGTAGGGTTGCAGATTCGTTGCCATCTTCTAATAAAGTGGGCGTCTGGCTACCTCACTCACCAGACGAAACGCAGAAGAATAAAACTTCCACTTTAGCCGGTTTTCTGTGAGGTCGTGCTACCTCTCCGGACGGATCTGTCCATTCGTGAACTTGTCATGCAAACTCAAACATGGGTTTTCTATGAGTAATTGTAAGTATAAGGGAACTGTGCACACGTTTCAGTGGACGGCCGAAATCGACGATATCGCATAGCGAAGTGAACAGGACGCCGGGCGGCGTGACCATCGTTAAGCTGGGGGGCGCTACGGGCGCTACGCCGGGGACGATCTCGGCGCCCCCTATGTCTACGTCAGCCAGCAGTGCCCTAGCCACGCCCCCTACAAGCACAGCTAGCTCGGCGGCCCCGCCCCCCGTTGCTACGGGGGGCTACACGAGACGCGCCAAGTTGGGCGATTCGCGTAGCACTGGCCGCCTCCACCCCGGGCCAAACTCGCACAGGAGCATGACAAGGCTCAACGTCGCCGGTGCGCTCTTTGTTTCTCTATTTTTGTTTATTTGATTTATTAAGGTTCACGAGCAGCTGTTACACTAATAAAATTTACTAAGGATAGATGAAAAATTAAGCCTAAAGTACTGAATGCATAACTAATACAATCCATGCACAAGGGTCGCCAGAACCAAAACTAATTTATCAAACATACAATAAACTTATTGTTGTAAAGTACTTTGAAACCGTCTATTTTTAGTGAGTTGTTGGCTTTGGTATAATTTTCTTTAGTTAAAATAAGAGATTTAAATTTCTGACGTTGTTACGACTATTAAGCTTACTTAAATGTGCTACCGGACAAATTCGGACGATCTTTGAAAAGCATGTGCTTCTGTTTCGTCCACTTATGATTTGAGTATGGAAAATCTTGTCAAAACGTTTTACATGGAAAATGAGCAAAAATCATCACCAGCCGCAAGACGCCCGCTGTTGAACATAGGCCTCCCCCTTAGAACGCCACAAGGAAAAACACTGCCATTTGCATCCACAGGTTGCCCGATGATTATGATTATTAATGATAAAGCAGTACGGTGGTAGGGCCACGCAGCAACCTCGGCTGTTGCACGAATGGGCAGGCTCCTCCGGGTAAGTACCACGACCTCACAGAAGACCGGCGTAAAGTGGAAGTATAATACTTTCGCGTTTCGTCTGGTGAGTGAGTAGTCGGAGCCCAATTTTCAAAAGGTTGCCAACGCATCTGCCACTCTCGGGTGTAGCAGATGTCTATGGGCGGCGGTATTCACTTAATATCAGGTGAACCTGCTCGCTTGACAACTTTTCGCATTAAAAAGCAGTAATAGTAAAATTATCTTTTTACCGTATGATTGCTTTGGTTTTGCAGGAGGGTCTGTGGGCGGTCTACACAAGAGCATGACTCGTCTATCGTCCTCGCAACAGATTAACTTGCAACAGGGCGCTAATCAAACCGGAGTCGGTGAGTTTATTATACAGCGTGTCGTTACCATCGCGACAATAAATGAACACACGTCTAACGTTACTTGCCAATAATCATAAAAAATATTAACGTTAAACAAAATCCATAATTAAGAAAAATATTTTTCAAACAAACTAATTAAGTAAAAAGAAAACAAAATTTGTAACATCCTATACAACTCGCGCCACAGCGTCGTATTACAAGCCTCTCCTTCTAACAGTATGTTTTGTCTCTTTTAAATTTATTCAACCCATTCATATGCTTTGTGACCTTTACAAATGAACTTTACGTTACGCTTTTATAGAAGGGTGTTCTAAAATTCTTTGTTTTGGAAAATTTAATAACTCTGTAAATATTGATGTTTAAAGAATTTAAATGTTTAATACAACTTTAAAAAGTTATCCCCTATATGTGTGTTCATTTATTGTCGCGATGGTAACGACACGCTGTATATATATGCTTATAACAGGTATACGCAACATTGGTATAAATAATTAAATGCGCTTTTAAATATATTTCTAAACGAATAATATACTTATTATTATTAATTATTTTACATTAAACGACATGCAAGGAAAATTTTCTAAGGAAATTTCTTGCTAATTTGAATAGGATTTTCTAAGTTTTGCTGCGAATTCGACGATGTGTGTTTTTTTCAGCGGGAAACACTAAAGCAGGAAGCGGTGGGGTGGTGGGCGGGGCCTCGAGTACGGTGGTGGGCGGGGCATCCTGTGGGTCGGTGGGCGGGGCCTCGTGCGGCGTGACCGTGGCGGCACCACGCCCCGCCACCCGCCACCACCACCACAACATACTCATCGGACCTCCTGTCACCACGGTACCTTACTTCTTCCTTACGCTTTTTTAGTTGAAAACTATAGTCACGAATCGTGCGAACTGATTTTAAATTTGAAATTACAGACTATGTACATGCTTTTATTGAATAAATATAGGCGAAAAATAGATTTTTGTAAAAACATATGTTAAAACACATACGGTAAGTATTATTCGGTACTTATTATGAAGGAAATCCTTCCTTAATTCTAATTCCTTCCTTATAAAACGACACGATTTCAAATTTAGTTGTCATGCAACATTTATAACGTTAAAACTTACAACACATTGTAGAAAAAGTACCGGTAGAAGTAGAACTTTGACAATCGATATGTGAATGTAACGCTTTTTTCAATTTGACCATATGAACGCGAATCGAGCTGAGCATGGCCATAGGCCCATCCCGGCAGAGACACACCTCCTTGATGATTGGCACCGCCGTTGCGCAGGACACGAGGGCGGGCGGCGGCAAGGCGGCGGAGGCGCCGCCCGCCGTCTCCATCCAGCACTCGAACCCCGCCCTCGGCCAGGTGTCGGTGCTGGCCGCCGCCGGCCCGGTGACCGTCACCTCGCGCCGCAACAACACCAGCGTCACCATCATCGGCGCGAACGCGAGCGCTAGTGCGGGCGCGGACGCGAACGCGAACCACCGCATCAGCGTGTTCGAGCCGTACCCGATGCGGGACACCGTGCAGCACTTCTGCGAGAAGCACCTGGACAAGATCAAGGCGTATATGGACAACGTGTCGCTGAGGCTCCCGCCGCCCGCCAAGTGCACCATCGAAGGTACGACCCGCCTTTATCAACTCCGCCCTATAAGTTAATTGTTACGAACTTCACCCGTGCGAGGGATAATCTATATGTTATAAAATATTTAATGCATATACCCCGTACACTCCTTCACATGTACATAAATTTGAGATCAAATCTGGCAGGAGATCTGTTCCTCTTATGTTATGTGATAACCGTCGCCCATTGACATTCGCAACACTCGTAGCTTCGCAGATGCGTTGTAACCTTATTATTAAGTAGACTTCACTCATCAGACGTAACACAGAATTATGACACTTCCATTTCACGCCGGTCTTCCGTGACGGACCCGCCCATTCGTGCAACGGCGAACTGTTACCTATTGCGTGCCCCTACCACAGTTAAATGTAGTACGACAACTCGCCACCCCCGCAGAGCGGCGCTCGAAGAAGCTCGCGCGGCTGCAGTTCGCGTGCGGCCGCCGCGGGCCGCACTGCCTGTACGCGCGCGCCGCCTTCTCCATGCGAACGCGCGCGCCGCGCGTCTGGATCCACCTGATGTTCCTCGCGCTGCAAGCGCGCCACACGGCCGCCCTCTCGTCGCGGGACCCGACCGTGGCCAGCCTCAAGCACTGCTGGGACATCCTCAAGTGCGAGAACAGGACCTTCCTCACGCTGGTCACGGGCGCGTTCCCCGCCGCGAAGGAGCAGGAGATGCTGGCGGCGGAGCTCCGGGCGGCCGGCTTCTTCGACGTGTTCGAGCTGAGCGCGCGCCGCGGGACCGCCCCCACTCAGGCCACGTGGGGCTGCTTCCTCTGCACCAGGCCGGAGCGCGCGGTGGGCTTCCTCGCCGCGGAGACACCCGTCATCGAGGGCCAGCTCAAGGAGAAGAAGGGCCGCTGGCGGCTGTTCCGGCGCTGGCGCACGCGCTACTTCACCCTGTCCGGCGCGCACCTCTCCTGCAAGGGCGCGGTGAGGACGCCGCTCCATACTTAGGTCGGATCGCGGCCGGTACAGCTCTTGCAACTCCGTTCCGTGCGCAACCAGTGACAGCGACGCTGCGAAACGATCATCATTATAAAGTCCACTGTTAAACACGGACTGCCACAAAGCACAATCAAAAAGCCTAGTGGGGGGGAGACTGCAATCTTGTTCTGCAATAACTTTAATTGGAATTCTGCTGAGTTGCAAGAAACGCATCTGTGACCATGGCTTAGACATTATTTTTTTTATATAAGAGCATGAAGCAATCCTCAATGGATTGAGGATTTATTTTATTTTGACTGGCGAGCCAAAGCCTTAGGATCCACACAATGTTCTTAATGTTAAAATATTATAGGTTAACATTAGGTTAAATTATGATAATGAATGGTAAAATAAAATTTGTTTTTTCGGTAATGTCAGTCAACACGCGAGTAAGTTGTACACCGTCTGTATTTCAAATTTGTTGGCGTCTATAAAACCGTGATAGCTCAGTGTCCTGCGCTCGCCTTTAATTCAATATACCTGAGTTCGAACCCTGGTGTCGGCACCAATGAAATTGTTGATTTTGAGTGCTACCTAATCGCGTGCTTCACGTGCTTAAGACATTGTGAGTAAATCAGCATATTTTCGAAATAAACAAAAAAAATATTTCGAAGATATGTGAAGTCCGCCAATCCGCAGTGGGGCCGCGTGGTGGACTATGCCTTGATGTCCTCTGTATAGAGGAGTCATTTACCCAGCTGTGGGACATGTATAGGCTGTTACTTTACATCTTTTACTTTTTGGTGTCTATGTTCCAAATTTGTTGGTGTAGGTGCACATGAATGAGTACATAAGAGTGTTCGGTTACTTAACCCTAACAATATAGACACGTTGAACTAAATCGTTTGCACCGCTGCAGAGTGGTGGCGAGAGCATTGACATCAACCAGATCCGCTCGGTGAAGGTGTCACGGGGGGCGCGCAACATACCGAAGGCGTTCGAGATCTTCACCGGGGACCAAACGCTGATCCTCAAGCCGAAGGACGGAAAGAACGCCGAGGAGTGGGCGCAGTGCCTCAGCATCGCCGTGGCTCACTCGCAGGCGAGGGACGCCCCCGCCAAGGCCAACAGCCTGCCAGCACGCGGTCTCACCCTGAAGAGCTTCTGAGCGTAAGTCACGAAATCACAAACGAATATCGCTTTTATTATCATAGCAATAGAATCCTTCAGACTCGTGCAAATTGACATTACCTCTAAAGCATCTATTGTTATATGGCCGGTTTCAATATTCTATCTACTTTTTTTTCCCCCTACTATGGCTCCACTGATACGTCAGTGATTTTGCCAACAACTGGGTACTTGGAGATCGACTAATATTCTATCTACAGTTAGATTTGGTTATTAGCAATAGGTATTTGACATTAGCTCCATAATACTTAGGTCAAAAGTAACCAAATCTATCTGAAGATTGAATATTCAAACCGGCCGAAAGTCTATCAACAGTCTTGCAAATTACCGTTTCCATAGTGTAGACTAAGGAGTTGTATTTCAAAATTTAGAAAGCGTCCATAAAATATAATATACTACTATTGCCTTACTTCTAAGTTTTACATTTCAAAGAACCAATCTTAACTTAGCACCAAATTTGTTAGAACAGGAAAAAAGGTATTGATAACACATGATATCTTCTCTGTCAAGCACAATAACATTTGATTAATTATATAATAAAAAAAATTATACAATTATAATTAAGATAATACTTTGGCCATGTGGAGTAATCCATTTTAATATTGACAGCTGCATTACATTTGTTTTCTAATTTTGATACTGTACTTATTAACTTTGGCATACTGGTCATTTATTGAACCCTCATTATATATTATTGTGGACACCTGTTGAAATTAAAACATATTATACGGGATGCAATTAATTACCTCTACAATCTATAAGCGGATGTAACTAAACCGACGGAGACGAATTTTGGCCTGCATTGTTATTGTCCTTCTGTTTCTTAAAATTTCATTTGAGCAGACCAAAGAAACTGGCCCAGATGAATATAGCTTTTATTTATTTTGCTATAGTCAGTTTCTTGCAGCCATTGTAAAAGTATGATCTTTATTATAATAAACTTGCCAAATAACTTGCTTACAAATAAAATACTGCTAGTAGCTTTTATCTTGGCAATAAATATTAATTTATTTGATTAATAAAGTTCATTAAATTGAATTAAAATAATATATATAATGTATTTTCCTTCAATGTGGATGTAAGTGGTTTATCTTGATTATAAGCAAACCTATAACAAAGAATTAATTATCAATTTGTAAAATATAGTATAGAACAACACATTTTTGTAAAATGATAACTACTAAAACTACACTCTAATAGTAAAAGTAACTTATGTTTATGCTGCTGAGACTTACAAGCATTATTGCGTTATGTGTTTGTGACTTAAGTAACATTCACTTATTTAATTGAGAACTTAAATGATAGTATGTACTAAATACTTGTTATAGTTTACGGTATTATAAAGTTATAATATAACATAATGGCATTGTGCACTTAATATTGTCTAAACCTTAATCAAACTTAATCTGTAAGATGCATTATTTACTTTCCTACATTCCGTCCCCACATCACAAATTTACAATTTTAAATGTTAAGAAAAACAAATTGAAAATAACTGTACATTAATACGACAACTAAGTATGATATTGTTGCATGTACATTTTTATAATGTTGTAGTTCAATTCATATAGTTTTTTTTTATTGAAATATTCTCTTGTATGGACATGACACTTGAAATGTTATATCAATACAGACTTGGGGATACGATAATTGTATAAGTAAAGCTCAATGATGCATGTCAATTGTTGTTAAGCAGTTTAATATTAGAACTATGAAAACAATACATAAATAAACATGATAAAAATAGTCAAATTGAAAACAAAATGCTCATAATTTTCTTAAGTGAAAAAAATACAAATATCTTCTATTACATTCCTTTGTGCTAAGTCACCTTGCTAAGTTTAAGCAAAGCCTTTATTTAAGTACTTATTGATAAGGGTAATTACTGTATTAGTCAATCATAATAAAACCTAAATGGTATCATTAAAATGATTATTTTACAGATGAATTCAGAAGTTTCATAATGACATCTATTGGAACAGAGTTTTCAATTTGATTTAATCTTCAGATGCAAAAATCAATAGGTTAAATTTAATTTTTAAATAAACCCAGAACAAAAGTTTTAAGAAAAGAAATTTTATAAAGGACTCCCAAGTATTTAAAATAGTTACTTTTTGAGAACTGAAGTCTTTTTTAGTATTACTTGTCTAAAATTATCTATAAAGTAATAAAATCTACACATTTCTTAATGTTGTTAACCAGATTATTCTTTTGTGCTATTTCTGAAGATTTATTTGATTTAGTTCAAGAACACTGACTTTCTTGTTTAATAAATTGTAAAGACAGGTCTTTTATGAGGTTAGTATATAGGCTACATATCTATATTATCAGGTGTAATTTTGGACGAAGTACAATTACAGATGTTTAATAGTGAATTAGGTGTAATGCATGATTTAACATATAATGAAATTGCAGGCATTCAGTACTTAAATAGCTTGTTTACTTAGTATGAGAATATTATAATAGTTTTTTTGGTCTCTTAGAAATGTTATTTACTGTGAAATATTACCTAAGTCAGTTGTTGAAATTAGTCTTGTAATGTGCGTGGTCACCAGACTATTAGTATGGAATGAGTCAGTGAAGAAAAGGGTATACTATAAGTAATTTTGCTCCAAAATTTACATTCCTGTCTCTCAAACTGTTTTTGTAAATTAAATTTTGGTTTTATTTGCAGTTAAATCTTCTGTGTTGGTTGTTCAATATAAATGACAATAGGCGTAATAGGTATATTTTGTTTTATGCAAGTAAAATATACATTAATTATTAGTTATAGTTTATATTTAGTATGTGTTCAATAAATAATTATTGCCATTTGTTAATGTAAAAGTTTTTAGCCCATGTAGTTTTCTAATGTAAAATATTTTTCATACAGATGAAATACACAGTAAATGTAGTTTTAAGAATAAACATAAAAAAACATATTCTTTTCTAAATGCATGAAATTCTTATCTAACAAAAAAATGATGTCCTGGAAGCTCTTTACACTCATCATAAACCCACGTGATTTTTTAGATTATAGTATTAAATTTATAAATCTAAAGAAATCTATTTTACAGATTCACTATTTACATATCCGCAGTGGTGTTTGTAGTATTTTAATTGAATGATATTTAGAACAAGTGATGCATAATTTTTTCAGGCAAAATGCTTATTTTATAGATATTATACAAGCGATTTTCCGCCAAATTTTGTTACGAAAATAGTGCCAATATGATAATAGTCTATATTAAAACCACATATATTATTGTAATATTATATTTGTTTAAAACATTTACTATTACTGATTATACTGTACTATCATATTTTATGTTATAGAACCATGATTTGGGGTGTAAAAAAATTAAGCATTATATAACTTAATTGCCATGGCTTTTATTGAGTTTAAAAAATAAGTTACAATTAATTCTGCATATCAGGCATAGAGTAAATAGTGTTACTAGAAAATTTTGTAAATATACTAGTAACTTTTTGGTGGTATTTCTTTGTAAGTAATAATTTTTCATACATGCAAGGTGGAATTACTATTTAGTTGTAAGAGAAATACTAAATGTTTTTTTACAAGCTCATGACTTATGAATTGGTGCTACAGTTGTTTACAAATTGTACCTTATTAACTGATAGTGCTTCCAGATTTTAATTAGTGCAGTAAAATTATTATTTAACGACAAATTATAATATGTTATTGCTGCCGTAATGTACGATTTTTTGGCGCGCGTACTTAAGGTGTATTATTTATGAGTAAATAAAGTTGTTTCATTACAAAACCTTTTATTTAATGCCTTATTCACTGATATTACTTTGAGAATATTTATTGACTTAAATAGAAAGTATTTAAGTCAATAAATATTATTGTAATATTTTTTAGAGGATTGGTCAAACAAACATTTTACTCATATCACTTTACAAGACATTTTAGCACTCACTTTACAGACAGGTAAATACACTATGAAAGAGTAACTATCCTTATACCGATTGACTAAAATCTATAGCCCTTAATTGTCTTACAAAACCGGCGTTTGGTTGAATAGACGGTCTAACACCCTTCACCAAACTATAAGCATGCTCATACTCAACACCTATTGACTGTAAATACGCTATCGCCACCATAGAAGTCCTCGAGACGCCAGCATTGCAATGTACCAACACATTTTCTTTCTTGCTTACAGCAGCTCTAATGAAAGGCAAACAGTCCTTCAGCACTGGCACAATATCAGTCTCTGGTAGGTCTAAGCACTGCACGAATTTATGTGCGACGTTAGTAACGCCAACGTTTACACCTAAACTGAGGACGTTTTTTATATCGTAGCTCTTTAGGACATTGTCCACAGCGCAATCCTGTGAGCCTATGTACACGTAGTCTGCGATTAATACTGGCACGTCATCGGGTCTCGTGTCGACAACGAAACCGTATTTTAACGGTGATAACACCACTATTTCCTGTTTACCCTCAACATATCTCTTGCCGTCTGCACTAGTCACCACTGTCTCAGCCTGTTTCAACTTATTCTTTTTCCTCCGCAACTCTTCTAAGAAACTCATTATGGGTAGCAGTGTTTTTGCTCACTTGTAACTTCCTCTGTCGCGTCCAGTGATTTATAGATTAGATCCTCTGGGTTATATTCGACGTTGCAAAGGTACAGTCCGTCTGGTGGGCAGTTCTGAATGAATGTGTGCCAAGAGTGCTTTGAGGGAATCTGAAGCATTACCTTCACTTCCTCTGGTGGTATCTTTCCTATGGCTACGCATATTAAAGTGCCCATCATTCGACGAATCTGGAAATAATATCGATAGAAAAATATACGGAAAACAATATGAATAGTGATCGTCTAGCGAATGTTCGATATGAGGTCGTGGGTTTCTATCCGAGCCAGGAGTATAGTACTGAGTTTTCTCGTTCCTGCATTGTGTATTTCTTTTAACTTCTTTAGTGCATGTAATAAAAAATCTAATGATGCACTTTTTCGTTGCGAATTAAATTGGCTTTCGGGTTTAGGCATTATGCCAGCATCTTATGGCGCTATATGTAGTAAAAATAGGTTTTTGAAGGTGTTTTTAACAAACAATAAACATTATAAAGCAGCAAAAAAAGTTTATCCCACGACTCACCATTAGTTTCAGAACCAAGTTCTAAAACCACTGTCTAAATACTATTGATAAATTGCTATACATGTGTGTAATTGCTATAATAAAAAAATTGTATAGGAGTATATGCAACACTGGTGGAGTCACAAATTGTTGAAGATCCCTAAGTCGTAACGGTCCAGACATCACTGGAGCACTTGCAACAGCGGGTTCTACAGTATCTCGACCGTGGTTGAAAATTACAAGGTCGACTACCAACTATCCATGTGTACATACAGGGTAAGCCAAACTATTATAGCCATATAGATAACCCAATTTATAAAACCCTAAAAATTTGAGATGTCTTTTATACTCAATCTTGAGATTACATGGAGAACCTGATAAATAAAACAGTATACATACCTGATTATGTACAAAAGCTCTGCCCTTGATTTCAATGTCCCAATAATCAAATGAATCATTGTGTGAGCTAGTGAAGCTTGTGACCATGGGTCGTCCAGGACGCACCTCAATGGCATTTATTTCTCTACGATTGTGCTTGTACACATCTAGCTTATCAGCCTTCTTGAATGTAGTAAAATCATGGTAGCCTACCATATACTTTGAGCCTTCTTTTAGTTTTTCAATGTCAAAGCCATGATTCCTATAAGTCAAATTTAACTTCAGGCTATAGGGCCACACAACAGTTTGCTGTTGCATGAATGGGCAGGTCCATCCGGGAAAGTATCACAACCACACATAAGACGTGTTATACTTGAGAAAGTGTTATACTTCTGCATTTCGTCTGGTGAGTGAGGTAACTGGGGCCCACTTTATTAAAAGGCCACCTTTTAATAAAGTGGGCCCCGGTTACCCCATCTGCAAACCTACTGGTAGCACATGTCCATGGGCCGTGGTTATCACTTATCAGGTGAACTGCCAGTTTGTTGAAGTAATAGTAGTTTACTGTGTATAAACACATAACAGTTTTTATTTTACTGTACATATCCTTGAAATGATTCATCAATTTAAGAAAAAAAAAATATGAATAGTAAAGAATATTCACATTAAGTCTAGAAATGGTTTGAGTTTTAAGTATAGATTTAAATTATAGTTTTTTTTAAATAGATTTAAAACTATTCGAGACGGTAAAAAAAAGGATACAATGTGTGAACACATATGTGAAAAATGCAATCTGGTGACAGAAAATAAAATAAAAATAAAAATTTCATAACAACACCTTATAAAGTAACACTTTTTCCATTCTTCAATAGGCATATAGCATGAAATTACAGACTTTTCAGGCAATACAATGTCTTGTTTTAATACCGCTAATCTGAAAAATTAATATGATTTAATGACATACACCATGAAGAATTTAAACAAAAATTTTAATAATACTCAAATAGAGACAGACTTACATAAAAAATAATTAAGAATTTTAACATTGAAATATCAGTATGTTATGAGGAAGTCGATGGTTGCAGGTGGCTGTGGAGGAGGCCTGTGTTCTGCAGTGGACTCAAACAGGCTGAAGTGATGATGATGTTATAGGATTACAGTACATTTTATATACACTTTTGTTATTTTAATGATGGATTAAATCAGTCAATACCCTAGTTGTTATACAGTACAATTGAGATGTGAGCCTAACATTCACATTTCAATTAGCATGTTCATGGTTATTGGATTTATTATAAACAATATCCAATGTCTCTCATGCTTAGTTTGCAATGATATTCCTCAGAAATTTTAAAATTTTGTAGACTAGACTCGGGGAAACACATATAGCAAAAGCTATCTTTGTTAACCCTGGTGAATATGGTAAGGATTAAATCATTGAATTATCATGTACCTGTATAAGTATGTGCGTGATATTGCATTAAATCTGGCACTAAAGTCATCTGACACTCTTAAACACTTTTTAATATAAATACTTGCTTCATTCTTGTAGAAAAATTTATTCAATTCATACACAATATGCTCGGGATCATATATATTCGTACCATATCTCTCCAAATCAAAATGGGCACTTGCATTGATAGCATGCACTCCACCATCTGTACTGTAAAGTTTTGAAAATGTCAAGTCTCTGGAGTGAAGATAAACTTTGTATACGGTAGTACTAAATTTACATATTATAAATTACGATTAATTATAATAGCACTTACCGGCTGGATAAAGTGAGGTTAGGATAATTAAGACTCCTGAGTCTCGAAAGACCTATTTCAATTAAACCTTGAATACTTTCTGGGTCCGGGTAATTTTTTCCATTTTTAAACCATAGCTTTTCTGAAGATCTAGAGATAAATATAATTTCAAAAAAATAATATTACAAATATTATGTTTATTCTAAATTAAAGCGTACCTAAATTTAGTACCTAAATAGGAAAAGAAAGTGAGATATCTAGCTTTCATTGCGTAAGCATAAATATAAATTTCTATGTACTTTTATTTAATGAATTTCATTTCGCCATAGCTTAGCACTAGCAGTAATTTATTTACTAATTTAATTAATTACAAATTAAACATCCCATAGACTTAGCATCTAAGTACATTCTAAATCTATGATAGTAGTACCATGCTATGGCAACTTAAAACTACTTCAAGAAAATTTCGGAACATCGCCATCTGGAAGACAAATGAAATACTAAAATACATAGTGCTGCCACTATAAAATATAGTAATAAATCCTATGGAGATTTTACACATTAAATTAATATATAATAATGTTTTTTGAGATACAAAGAACTAAAAAAAAAGAGATATTTAAATAAATATTTATTTTCATCTACTTCATTTCTTATTTTAAAGCAAATTTAGGCAACTTTTGTTAATAAAACGTTTTAAATGCGGGGTGGTTGCTCTGTTTGATATGGCAGCATCACTTGAAAAATTAATGACAATTATTGTTGTTCACTGTTATTTTTTTTGATATTTCGAATCGTGCACACTGCACAATTTTATTATAAATTGTGATACCGTTCGTTAATTTTCTGAGAATGAAGTGAAACACAGCACGCCGCAGGTCTTGAGTCTTGAGTAAGTCGTGGTGTGGCGCTTGGATTCGTAGCAGGTATGCAAACTTGTATGTTAATGTTACAAATTGAATGAATCTCGTGTACGGTATAATACTGTTGTAGTGTGATTGAGTAAACAATATTATAATTGACGGGCATGTTGGTTTACGGGACCCAGACTACTACACCGCTGTTTGTCACTTAGATTCCCACCCAGGACAAACATTTGTGTGCTTGAAAATGTTTACTTTTTCTGAATTGGTTGTAAATATATACGTGTATGTATTATAACAGTATATGTTATACTTAATCATGTATGTCAGTAATCAACTTACCATTAGTAAAAGCTCTGCTCAGTTTCGTATCAGATGACCATGTGTAAAGAATGTCCCTGAATGTTATTATTGTATTATTGATAAAAAAAATAATTAAATTATATTTCTTTTCATTACAGAATGTGGAAAATTACCTAAGGAGAGCATTGAAACCATAACTTGTCAGTTTTATTTGATGACCTGTGCGATAGTGTAAATGGCAGCTTCAGTGAAGTTCAAAAAGGAAAACTTAATAGAGCAGCATTAACTGCCACGCCACATCACCATTTATGGAATAAATTACTATAGGTTTCAGAGTACTATTGAAATATTTAAATTCCAAGGATATAAGTTATTTATTGTTGTAAAACTTCAATTAGGATGCATTGGAGAACTCTTTTGAGAAATTACATTGAGAAAATTACATTTCGCAATATATTAAATTGATAATAAACACTAATTAAGATTTAAATTTTCTGTCTTGCTCACGTCATAAAGAAAGGCTGCTTAATTATTTACTAAACAAAAGTACAAAATCTTTTTCACAAATTGTGTAAAGATGTCAATTATGTTCTCACTGGAAAGATTGCCTTAAATGATGATATGAAAAATTCAGCCCACAATCATTTTTTGAAAAATAAAGAGAGGAAAAGAAAAAGATAAAAAGAAATATTGATAAAAGTTTAGTCAATTAAAACTTCAAAATATAATAAAAACTTATGGTTTGTCGCGATGGTAACGACACGCTGTAGATACTTAAAATGTCGATACGATACATATCGATATATTTTTTTTACTTATCATCCCTACCAACCAGTGTTACCAACTCTCGAAAATATTTTACCGATTTACATTGGTCAAAGACAGTGGCGAGTAGTGAGCATAGAGTAACTTTGTTTACTTGGTAGTGAGTACAAGTACAGAGGCCAAGGACAAGTGGCTGTTTAAACTGCAGCAAGTACAGTGGCATTTCTCTGTCGAAATGGATGAGGACGTCTAAAAATATGTGCAATTTTGTTGCCTATTGCCGGCCACTGTACTAATTTGACCTTACTCATCACTTGTCACCGTGTCGGTGACAAGTGATGAGTAAGGTGCCCCGCGGGGGTTAAGCGGGCTCGTGAGGGGTGCACTTTCACCCCTCACGAAAGTGATTTTGCTATTTGGGTCTACTTGCAACGCAGCCACAACTCGCCACTGTCCGACGGTTTACAGTATTGTACTTGTTCACTTTACTAAACACTTGACCAGTATTAATCGGGCTTTATAATAAAGACAATTCTTCAATAGCAAAATGATATTTCATTGCATCCAAAACTTAGTAATGTAAAAGCCAAAATTCGGATAATAACTAACCATAAACCAATAGGGTGGCCATAATTCTTTATTAATATCACAGAGCTAAGGGATGCTGTTTATTATTAAAAGATTATGTTCATTTATGATTGGTTAATTTAAATAGCTTAAATGGCGAAATATAACTTATGTTGGCCACTCTGCTCTTACCTCATTTATAAGTACATAATCTCGAGGACACCCGAGGGAGTCTAGGCTCGGGCCATCAATCTGTTACTATTATTAACGGGTTGGGGGGCCACCAAGCTTTTAGGTCGCTTTGGCGAACGCTTCATGGAGTAACTAGGCACCCCCGAGAGAATAAATCGGACTTGGGTTATTCTTGGACTTCATTATTACTTTCTATTAGAGAGTGCCCGAGAGGGCCAGACCTCGGCTCGATCGGTAGCTATTATCATACTAGAAGAGTTTTTAGAGCTATTAATACTTCACTCTGCATTTCGGAAAACATTAAATCTGGGAGAAGAAGTGGTGGAAGAAAATCCAGCAACGCTTCTATCGTTAATGGGGGAAAACCTGCAAGGTATATCGCGGAATCTAGTGTATGTTTGCCGCACTCAAGGCTGAGTTGCGGTCTGAAACTTTGAAATTATTTATCGTACGCGTTAATGTGAGGCTAGAATCGTCTATTACGTTTTTTTTGTGTTACGTCTAATGTTCAGTGATAACCACCACCCATTGATATTTACAACACCCTTGGGATGTGCAGTTGCGTTGCTACACTTTAATAAAGCGGGCCCTGGCTACCTCACTCAGTAGACGTAACACTTCCACTTCATACCAGTCTTGTGGGGTTGTGACTAGTTTTGATTACCCGGACGAACCTTCGGACGGTTGCTTGAGAAAGAAATCGCTTTTGGATCATTTAAAGCAGTTTTAAGTAATTATTGTGGTGCGGGGAACAGGCAGTCACATATGTCAAAATGTTTTCTATATATTAACTGTTGTGTGTTAGTGCTGTCATCTTACGAGATACACGCGTGAAGTGGTGCCGAGACATTATGTAATTCTGTTTATTGGCTTCAATACCAATGTGCAATTTGAATATGAGTGTCTTACCTAGCGTGACGCTTAGATATACTGCGCCTAGATTGCTGTGCTTTTCCACAGAATTGGTTGGCCGAATAGTTTGACTGAAGTATAAATATATATCCTTGACCATCATCATCATTAGCATCATTTTTAGGTTCTGTATTTAACATTTTTACTATCTTAAATTATTTAAAGGTTAACATTTGATAGTAGCAATATATTTTTTATTTAAAAATAAAATCTTCAAAAGTCTCAGAAAGTGTGACATTAATCATTGTTTCACAGTTTAATACTATTGTATAATATCTCGGTCACGAGACAGTCTGTCTCGTGACCATGAATGCTGGAAAGGGTTTGAAACGTCGGGTATTTCAAAATCAAAATTAAAACGCGATGAAATCCGTAAACTATTTTCATTTATTATGTATAATATTCGCGTAAAATCAAGAAATCAATATACAACTGTCTAATGTATAATAAAAAAAAAGTTTTGTTATTGGTTGATGTTTTGGGCTTTGGATGTTGTCATGTTGTCACTTGTGATTGTCACCATATCTTGTCACTGTCACCTTGTGTTGTAAAATGGCACAACGGACGTGGCATACGTTTTTCTTGTTATTGTTAATATTTACTGTTTTATCACTTGTTGGTGATGTATTTTCCACATCACCAGCACCATGGTACGAAAATTTGCCTGCGGTAACCATGGACTACAAAGTTCATATTGATGCTGGTAAAGAAGATTGTTACTTTCAATATGTGCAACCGGGTGCCACATTTTACGCAAGTTACCAGGTAATTAGCGCCCTTTTCTGTATAGGAACACGTCACCTTATGTATTAGTTATACATTTTACTAAGTATATCACTTAATTTTTCATTAATATTAGTTTTATTATGTTCGCTTTATGTCAAAAACTGGTTTTATTAATATTCATATACTTTGAAGGTGTTAAAAGGTGGCGATGGCATGTGTGGTTTTGCTGTACGCCATCCCAATGGACAAATTGTGCACCCATATGAATGGCGACAGAGTGCTGAATATGCGGACCAGACTAGTTCTGGTGGTTACTATGCAGTTTGCATTGACAATCAGTTCTCCAGGTTTGCAGGGAAATTGGTCAATTTATATTTATCAGTGATCAGATATGATATGTGGGAGAAATACGCCAAGGAAGTTGAGGAGCTTGATATGAATATTAAGAATTTTACAGTAAGTTTCAATGTTTTTTTTCTTTTTATTTTCAAATTTATTTTGCAATAAGGTAGTATGTAACTGCCTATTTTTTTCAGTAAAACTAGATAACAGCGGCGACAATCTTTTCGCACTTTTTCTACATATTTCAAAACTACATATTTTATAAAAAAATCGCTAATACCTCTGTAATCTCTTAAGTGATCTGTGTATTATGGCTTCGATGAAATACCTTAAATTTGTTTAATCATATGGCAAGGTATGATTATTGTCTCATGTCTAGGAAAAAAGCATTGAAATGTTGAAATGAAAAGAATAAAGTAAAAACCTCATTCCATAACCAATGTGCCTGTACTATCAATAGGTTATATAAAATTTGTTGGGTGTAGAATTTATATAAAGTAAATATGAGATTTCTACAAGCTTCATCATGGTCATTCCAGCCTGTTTGAGTCCACTGCTGAACATAGGCCTCCCCCACAGACTGCCATGAAGCACGATCCCGAGCAACCTTCAAACTTACTTCAAACTAATATCCTAAATGTAATGATAATTGTGTACAAGCATGAAGCACATGTTTAGATAGTGAAGATTAGTGATAGTATCTTGAGTATCCTTTTATTTATTGTTCATGTTTCAGCATTCCATTCAGTTTGTGGAGCGCAATATCAATGATATCCTCCAGTACCAATATCATTCCCGAGCAAGAGAATCCCGTGACTACAACTTACTACAGGACAACAATGCTTATGTTTTTAGGTAAGCACTTAGCTTAAGTATATAACGGTTTAAAAATAAAAAAGAGAGGTTATTGTATTATTCATCGGAGGTTGTCTAGGAAACAAGAATGTGCATCAATGTAATAATCTACCGCCAACATCCAAGCCCAATTGCTACCCCTTGTCCCATCAGATCTTGTTGACATGAAACTTTGATATAATAAGGGATTATTACAAAATAGTATTACTATTGCTTATATCAAAACTTTAACTTAATGTATTCAAACTGTTAAATATCAAGATGACCATACCACATATTATTGAATAGAAAAACCTTCATTATATTTTATAAAATGTCCTTTTTTCAGATGGTCATTTATTCAAATCCTAGCTATAGCAGCAACAGGAACTTTACAAGTGTACTTTGTAAGAAAACTTTTTGAGGTTAAGGATAACTCGTCCAAAACAAGAATTTGATTTTCTTTCTTGTGAATATTTGTAAGAATTTTTTTATTGTTACGCCTATCCATCGACTGAACCTGGTTACAATGTTAATTTGTCATCATTCTTATTCATGATCTCTTTTCTTGTTTATATTGTAAGCTTTTGTAATTTGAAACATTCTCAATTTGTCTCAGACCTAGTTGACAAAAAAGATTTTTTTATTTTTATAATTATTACCAATTTTACTTTGCTTGACATATTTTGTTATTTTGATATTCTATGAGATTCACATTTTATTTTAGTAAAAAGACATAGATTCATATTTTTATATACCTATATATTATAATACTACTATTTTAGTATACTGCAAACATGAATAATATTTTTACTTAATTCTATTTACAAGTAGTTAAAATAATGTGCCAATTACAAATTTGAGTAGCATAGAATTTCAGATAGATATGTACAAGTTGTTTGTGATGAATTGGCCTTAAATAATATAGCAGAAATAATAAACTGTTGAGTACTTATTCTCTGTTTTTTATTGATGTCATAAGATTTATATGTGAATACGCTCACATTTAGCCAAAACTAAGAGATTTTCACTGTAATCATTATCAAACCTCACCCTAATAAAATTTTATATGAAAGCTTTTTCTTATGAAAACGGTCTATTTTTCGTCAATAGCGTCAAACATAGTTTTTAAAATGATGTTTGAATCATTAAAAGATGAATTAGGGAAGTAATGACGTCCTTACAAAAAACACCTTTGAAAAAAATTAAAAATTTACAGTAATAGTCAAATACAGCGGTTTCTGTAAAAAAGTAAAATATTTTTCATTATAATCTCAATCTTGACTTATTTTGCTATTGCTTACCTGAATTCAATGCTATGGAAAAATGAGATTTATAAACAAGAAATAGGTAATATACTAAAAGAAATTATTTGATAGCAAAATTTTTATTTCATAATAACACCATATGGATAAGTCTCAGCGTGTTACGTTAATCGTAAGTGTAATTATATACAATTAAAATAATTTACTTAAGTAAGTACAATATGTTGCAAGTAGACAAAAATAACATTCACAAAGTTGTTATAAATATGAGAATTGAAACATTTTGTGCAAATAACACGGTTTTATTACAACATAAGTTATTTTGACTTTAGTAGTCATAACCAATTTCTCCGATATTTTTACATTGTAGAAGGTAACTGAAAGCCATGGTAATTTATTTGTATATAAAAAATTTGTACAATTCCTAACTCTATATGAAATATTGTATATGTTACTATATAATATAGAAATATTATGTATCTATTTAGTCGTCATAATGTAATCATGGGTTATTGATTATTAGTTACATTAAACTCAATCGCTTTTGTGGTAATATACACATTTGCACTTAATACTAAAATTAAACAAACATGTAAACATGCTATAGTTAAAATGTAATACAAACTAGGAATGTTCAATCGTTTAAAATATTTGGAGCAATCAAGGAATTTTTTACAGATTGTTTCATCGCTCGTCCGCTCATTGACTAGGTAATTTTTGTAGCGGGCAAGCAAAGCAAGTAAAAAATAATAGATATATAAAATTATTAATGAAGTATAGAACAATATGCATGCTTAAAATTACTATAGTGTGATTTAATACAATGATAAATACAACTGTACAATTAAACAATGTGAATCTCAGGCGTAACTGTCCATTACACAATACTATGGATAGCTTTAAAACTCTTTAAGAGAATCAACTCTATCTCCTAAAATGAATCACACAATAGCTTACATCTATGTGTTGTCAAAAATCATTCTAATATTAATATTACAATTAGGTAAGTATTTAAAACTATGTGTATTATTTTAAATTGACTTATGTTTAATGAAGAAATATAGTTTTCATATTGACTCTAGTATATGTTTTAGTGGCGTGTAGAATTGATGGATATATAAATTTGTATATGTAATATAGCATTGATCTTCTTTATTAAGCACCAAATAACCAAAATGAGCGCAGTGTCCCTTATCCATATTTAGGCAATTATTAGTTGGAACATGAAAGGCCTACAATAGCAATAAGGCGATGTGTGGACGGACAATCTATTGTGTATCAATTTTTGTAAGACATTAAAACAGTAGATTGTGATGATAAATATTGTGGATTAGTAAAATTTCAGATTTAATTACTTTAGTCGAAATTATATTTCAAGTGTGGTTACATGTCAGATCAGCATTCATTTTTAGGTAATTATTTTCCGAATTACAATAGTTTATCTCAGTAAGTGCAATTATTAAATTGGCCCCAGTCTATATGATATTTTATAGTCCTTTTAATGTATAAAAAAAACAGTATAGTGTTTTTAAATATGTTGATATTATTAGTGCTTGCTCGACTATTATGATTTGTTACTGTGTGTTGGTAGTTGGTTCTGGTTAGGTGAGGGGAGGGGACATTGTTGGGTGATATAGCGGAGTGCGGCGGAAAAGCATTGTGGGAAGATTCAAGGGGCGCGCTTGTGGCCGGGTAGGTAACGGAGAGTGGTAATTGGTTGAAGGAGAGGAGAGGCGGGAGTAGGAGTTTGAAGGGGGATCAGGGGTTGGAACGGGGGTTAGGGGTTCACCGATACGGCACCATTTGGCTGGACCGGGTGTCTAAAGAGCCGGAGAGAGGAGGCCTTAGAAGGCCATAGTCGCGCCGGGGTTCCCGTGTCCCCGGCAAAAGCGACGGCGCAGGTGCAACGTGGGTTATTTTAGCGGGGGTTAGGGGTTGGAAGGGGATTAAGAAGTTGGAAGGTGTGCGAGGGTTTGGGGTGGTGCGGGAGGGGAGCAAAGTCCAAAGTCAAGGGGCGCGCTTCCTGTGGCCGAGGTAGGTCCCGGAGAGCGCGAGCAGCCGGTATCGCTGGCGGAGGTTGCGCGCGCGCACGTGCGCCGACGCGATCTCCACCGTGTACGAGCCGGGGAACCAGCCCGCCTCGCCGTCGCGCGTCCGCTCGCCGTAGTACCAGCCTGCAATCGCGAGGCACGCATTTTCTCGATTACGTTGCTTCGCCTTTTACAAGTTATAAAGCAGAGTTGATCCTCGAATTAGTTGTCGCTTGTACAGATCTGGAGTTGTGAATCATTATGGTAAAAAAAGAGTTATTTTAGTAAGAGCCTAGACCTATGTCCCACTGCTGGGCAAAGGGTATTTATAGGGTATATATTCCACCACGCAACCCCACGGATTGGCAGATTTCACACATATCTGAAATATATAAAACCTAGTCCGATACGGCGATCCGTGATTATTAGACGACAAGTAGAGCCAGATCGATTCGGAGATCATTTCAAGTCGTGGAAAAAAAGCAAATCGTCTCTCGCTTCGCTAGTTCTGGGCTCTTGGAACGTTCCAACGTTCTTCATCTGACGGCGGCTGGGAATGTGAAGAGCCCGCGTCGCGTCCGAGGGGACGGGCTAGTGCTCACCCTCGCTGGTCTTGCGCGTGACGTTGACGACGTCGCCCTCGGCCAGGCCCAGCTCGTCGGGCTGCGCGGGCGCGTAGGCGTAGAGCGCCGCCACCTGGGGGCAGTCCCAGCCCGCGTACACCGCCTCGCCGGCGCCGCCACGCAGCGGCGCCAGCGCCTCGCCCCAGCGCGACGCGTCCGTCTCGCTCGGGCACGACATCAGCTGCCGGCGAAATCAATATCGAATATCGATATATCCAATAGAAAATATCGATATACCTACAGGGTGATTTTTAGACGAAGTACATACTTTGACATGATGTTAATTGAGCATTCAATGATTTAAAAAAAATATATTAATATTTTCATTTTGACAAGAAATAACCAGAAAAATATCAATTCAAACATTGTTTGTTTATCCCATTAAGAGTGGTCACCCTGAAGTATAACGCTTATACACAGAATATACAGATAAATCTTTAGGTACTAGAGACCCCGTTGTTAAAAAAAAATAATATTTGAAGTATTAAATATTTGACACATACGGACGCTGTGCCGTATTCGAATTTGAAAAGATATCGTTTTTAATATGATTTTTGATATTGAATATTTTGTATCCACGTATAGGATCCAAATATATGAGCTGAAAATATCGATATATAAAATCAAATATATCGATATTTTTGAACAGAGAGCAGTGGCGTTTTTTCGTGTCGGAGACCAAGATCCTCTTTGGGTTGCTGAGCCAGCCAAGTAAGTATTAATATTTTTAATTTTGGTACGGGTAAGGAGCTGTGTTCGGTACAGTTACGTAGAGGGCCGTGTGTGGGTGTGTGTGTGTGTGCGTGTGCGTGTCTCAGCATACGATTCAGGTTTTAAGCTTGTGTACGGGTACGCGGAGGGGCTGGGAGTGTGTGTGTGCGTATCTCAGCATACGGGTCAGATTTTAAGCATGCGATACGAGCACGTGGAGGTACGTGTATGCGTGATTGCGATAGGAGTACGTGGAGGGACGTGTGTGCGTGATCGCGGTACGAGTAAGTGGAGATGCGTGTGTGCGTGATTGCGATACGAGTACGTGGAGGTACGTGTGTGCGTGATCGCGGTACGAGTACGTGGAGATGCGTGTGTGCGTGATCGCGATACGAGTACGTGGAGATGCGTGTGTGCGTGATCGCGGTACGAGTGCGTGGAGGTACGTGTGTGCGTGATCGCGATACGAGTGCGTGGAGGGGCCGGGTGCGCGTGTGCGTGCGCGCGCGTCTCACCATCTCGACGGTGCGCGCGTGCCTGTTCTCGAGCAGCGTGAGCAGCAGCGCGTGCTTGGCGGCCGGCGGGGCCGAGTCGCCCGCGCACACCTCCAGCAGCGAGCGGGCGCACCAGTCCACCGCCGCGTACGAATCCTCGCTGCCGAACGCGCCGATTATACATAAGCTATAATGCCTAATACGCTGTTGAATAAAACTTTTACGGACGTCGTTCCACGGCCGTGTACGCCTCCTCGCTGACGTACGCATCAATAAATATATAAACTATAAGTTTTGCAATAAAACTATTTTTACAAAAACAAAAAATAATACTTCTTTTTTTTTTTTTTTGTTATTTTTCTTCATTTATACGTATCTTTTATGAGATTGCATCTTATTTGATTGTTACAATCTTTTTGTGCCTTAAAAAAGTTTCCTTACGGGTATACGAGCACACGCAAGAGACGTATATCTTGATATGACTGAACTACGATCTGAGTGTTATCATCAAATGTCTTTTCAATGAGCACATATAACTTTTTTTATTATTTGATTTAAAGCGTCCAGCGCGAAACCACTAGACGCGGGTTCGAATCCCGCAGCGCCGAAAGTTTATTTATTTATCTCTGTTAATTTATATCTATTAAAATTAACATTTAAAAAAAATAAAGTTGAACATTTTAATGATCACAAGTGCAAGTGAAGCACATAGTGATTAATTTTGCAAATCGATTGTTGTTTTCATAACTAGTACGATAAATACACACCCCCTTTTCTTTGTGATGACCAGTAGGTCATTGAACAGGAACAGGTGAAGGGGCACTTTGTGGAATTTCTTGCCGAACGTGAGCTTCATCTCATCGGTCTTCCATATCAGCTGGGTCATCTCGCCGGAGCGCACCAGCCATCTTATCGGTCTACAAGAACAATGCATAATAAAAATTATTACAAGTCTACTGTTGACGAAAGACCTCCCCGTATAAATAAATATTTTAGGACACATTATTACACAAAAATATTCATTTAATTTACTTTATTTTTTTCTGTAAATTATTGACATGTATTGAGATCAGGAATAATTACGAGTAGGTCATGCAAGTTGTTGACCGTCATATCTCAGTGTCCGGGCCCTCAATTCCATACCCTTGAGCAACCTGAGTTTCAATTCTGGCGCCGGCACCAAAAATGGTACTTTTCAAATTTTGTGTGCTGATTCATTGTGTGCTCATAGGAAGAGAAACTAGTATACTATGACTATACCCCGATGCGCTCTGTACACAGGATGTAAATAAGAAAAATCAAGAATCTTTTTACACACACTAATGCCCGGTTCCTATATTCAACGATCGGCCGTTAGTTACGTAACTTCGTAACTTTCATAACGTCTCGTTGTGACGACTTCATAATGACTATGTAACTAACGGCCGTTCGTTGAATATAGGAACCGGGCATAAGTCGTGTAAAACTAACTACTGAGTAATTGAATAAAAACATCCTTTATTTTTTAAATAATCAATGGCATATTATAAATATACTAGCTGCTACCCGCGACTACGTCTGCTTAGAAGGGTGAAAATTTAGGGTTGTATGTATTTTTGTATGCTGTATCATAAAAAATAAAAACAAAAACAATTTATATAAAAAATAAATTTAGAGGTGGACCACCCTTAACATTTAGGGGGATGAAAAATAGTTATATAAATTGTCCGATTCTCCACCCTGGCCGATATGCACACAAAATTTCACGAAAATCGGTCGAGCCGTTTCGGAGGAGTTCAATTACAAACACCGTGACACGAGAATTTTACATATTAGATCAACACCAAGACCCTGAAAGGTCCACTGTTCATCGCAAAACGTCATCGCGCGAAATTTCGCGGGTCCACCGTCCACTGCGCCAATCGAGTCGGTCCACGCTACGTACGGCCACCACGTAAATCCCATCCCGTGCGGAGTGTTCCCAAGACAAGAACGGTCTGCAATTCCATCGTCAGCGATGTCCAGCTCACCTTCGGTCGCGCCGCGAGCAAGCGGGCCCCAGCAGCGGGGCGTCGGCCGCCTGCGCCGGGAACTCTATGGCGGCCGCCAAACGGAACATCTCCTCCACGCGCTCCGTGTTGCGGGCGCCCTCGTTGCACTGCGACACGAACTGCGCACACGGAATAGGGGTGTGAAGAAACATATCGACGCATCGAAGTTTAATAGTGAAGGAAAGTATTTATTTATCCGATATTTACAACATTAACGCCCGGTTTCTGGAACACTGGTCATTGTAGCTATATTAACTGATCAGCTGTCAAATGGCTTTTCAAATGTCATTTGAGTTGCCAAGGATGGCAATTTGATGATGACGATGATCAATTCAAAGATTTAATCTTTGAATTGATCATTCTGATCATTAAGAACATGATTCTGACCGTTTCAGAGTGTTTCTGAAACGGGGCGTAAATCTATCTAAAATTACATATTATGTAATAAACCAAAAGCATAACTATTCAGCGAGGACATGCAGCTAGTGTTGCTTGCACTATGTCGCGTAGATTAGGTCAATGTATATAAAAATATCAATATCGGCCTGGATATATCGAAGAGACATTATAATTTCGATAATTATCGATGTATCGAAATACCGGAATTCGGATCTAAATATATGGGCTGAAAATATTGATACACAGAATTAAAGATATCCTATTTTCGAATTAAATTTTCGAAATCCCTACGGTAGAACAGTGTTACACATGGCAAGAAAGAGGTAATAAGCGGAAAGGGTTAATGCAAACCCAACGCGTGTTGCGACTGTCCATAGGCGGCGATTATAACTTAACATCAGGTGAACCGACAGCTCGCTCGCCACCTTGTCTTATAAAAAAATTATATTACAAAGGCTTATGTGGGCATCATAATACTGCTGTCTCTTTCACTCCATCATATTCCGAGTGGCGGCGAGGACTCACGTCGTTGAGCGTGGCGAGGGCGTGCATGCAGCCGTCGTACTCGCGGTCTTTGGGCTCGAGGTTCCTCAGCACGGCGTCGAGCAGCAGCGGCAGCCGCGTGACCCGCTGCATCGGCAGCATCAGGAACGAGTGCAGGGAGAGGCACTGGCACGCCGGGTGGCTCTCGAGCCTGAAGTCGACATTTTAAATATTGCGGATAAAACGGTCGCGAAATTGTTTCCAATGGCATTGTTTACGGATTTTTAAGCTTCACCCTAAGTACGCAGACTAACGCTTAAATAAATTTAAATCAATTGAGTATGTATAGACAAAATATCAAATAACAAGGTATCCGCAGAAAACCAGTGCCGTGGTATTGTCTGCCAGGGCTATATACTGAGCGGAGACCTTTTTGGTGCATACATTTTTACAATTCTAAAATTATTTCTTTTTTTTTCCTATAATGTAATGCGCCGAATAAATATTTCTTTCTTTCTTCTTTCTTTCTCTTTCTTTCTTACTTGTGTTACAATCTTGTTGTTGATATAAGTTACGTGCCAACGATACCAGGGTGTCAGAAATTCAATGGAATAAAAAAAAAGAAAGCTTGCTTCTGAGTAATTCACTATCAGGGATTATTAAACAGAAATGGTAGGTGTCTAGAGGTCATTATTATTTAAGATCTGACGACCGTACTGAGTCAGAAATACTTTTATTGCCAGCCGGGATTGAAGATGCGCGCAATTAGATTACTTTGACTAATGTATCAGAAACCAGATGGAGAATTTTTGTCAAAAGTGGATACGAGCGGAATAAAGTGATGTTACATTAATTACTTTGTAGTAATTAATGTAATTCTGAAGTTAGCCTTGTGGCTAACTTCAGAATTACACTGAGACCCTTAGATATAAATGTCAGGGAAGAAAGGATTGTCAAGCATGTATACGTGAGTTTGCTGACAATGGTACCAATTGCAACATGAAGTGACTTCGATCGAGGTGACGAGCAGGCCGTACAGGACACAATATTTAACCTGGACGTCAAGTACCAGGTAAGCATAACTTTTTAGGCGTATTAAAGTTGGTCGTGGTATCTGAATTGTTCCAAATCGACGTTTGTTAATCGTCGAAAGTTAACTTTATGGGTCGGGAGACGAGAGAAAAAGACCATGAGCTAAGGCTAAGCTTCCACTTCAAGTACCAGACACGCATAAGATTCAAGAGGGTGTATAGAAACTGTGAACAGACTGTGCTAAATCGACGTTCGTGAATCGCGTCATGAGTGATTTATATAATAAAAGGTTCGGGATACGAACAAAAAAAAAATCATGAGCCTAATAAGGCTAAGTTCGACTTCGGCGTCAAGTACCAGGCGCGCATATGTTGTCAAGGGTGTATAGAAACAGTGAACAGGCTGTGCCAGATAGACGTTCATGAAACGTCAAGAGTGTAATGGGGTCCTGGATACGAACAAAAAGGCCATGGGCTCTTTGACTCAGGCGTCAAGTACCCGGCACGCATAAGTCGTCAGGGGTGTATGTGCTGTGTGGGGTCTCTGACCTCTTGAGCGCTGCAGCGAAGGCCGGACGGTCGCGCAGCCGCTGCAGAGCGCGCACCATGAGCGCTTGATTCTCGCAGTACTTGACGTAGGCGTGGAACCGCGCCTCAGCGTGCCGCCTCACGATATCGCATATGTCCTGTAGAAGAATGTTCTCCTGCCAGCACTTCTCCAGGTCCGTCATCAGCAGCTGCGAGCATTTGCGCACTGGGGAACGGTAAAAATAATTTGCAGTGATGCTTGGAACTCCACGAAGAAACATTTCAGTCTCAATAAGTGAATTCTGAGTACCTAATCTAAATGTCTTTTGGAAACCTTCATGGTTCGCTCTCATATGCCTGAAACCTGCCGGTCAGTTAGGCATTGTCTTTTAAAAATGGTTTCTTCTTGGAATTTGATGAAAATAATAGAGGAAGCATTGCTGTCTCAATAAGTGAATTGTGAGTACCTAATATAAATGTCTTTCGGATACACCATATCATCCTATGTTCTCATATGGCTACATCATGCCGTGTCACATTTGGCCAATATTTAACAGGGCTTAGACATAGGAGTTTGTTTAGAATTGTCGAACCTGGCAATATCGTAGCGAAGAGAGTCTCCCAGTCTTGAGGTGGTAGCACATGTGGGTCGCGGAACGCCGGGTGCGAAATGAAGTGTGCCTCCAGGACGTTCAGCGAGTTAAGGTAAGATGCCTCTGAAGTCAGCACCTCGAATTTAGCCTCTTGCAGCCGCTTCTGAGCTGGTGCTAGGGAGCCTGTGAACAAGGAGCAGATGAAAAATTAAGTGGTGTTATAGTGTACGCTACTGAGGTTAAAACTTAACCTCAGAAGTAATACTTCCTGGCTATGATAACTATGAAATTATAAAGTCATTTTATATTATAACGTAAGTAATGATGCATACCATTCAAAATGAAATAAATTTCTATTCAATTACCACGGTATACTTATATAATCAATAAATAAAAACTAAATAATCACTTAAATCGTTGAAAATGTAATCAATGGAAAGTTTCTTGTAGCGACACATAACATTGTTCAGTACATAGTACATCTATGTACTGAACAATGTACTGAAATATACTAAGCTTGCATGCTCCAATCATCTTAATATTTATTTATATATTACACTATCATCATGTTATTTCCAAGATAAAAATTTGTAAGTCCAAAATTGTACATTGCTGGTCCTTCGAGCCGGATTCTTAATTACCTAATTCTAAGCGGTTCGACAGTTCCACGGCAGGGTCTGTGACCTCATTATAAGATAGAAGCGTACATTCTGTTGACTTACTAAGGACGGCCGAGTTGAGCACCTCTGGCACCTCGCACCAGAGGGTGCGCGCGGGCCCGCGGGGCGCCACCAGCGCCATGGCGGAGGGCCTCGCCGGCGTGGCGCCCGCCTCGCACCCGTCCGAGTCCGAGTCCCCGCTCTCTCGGCAGGCGGACTGCGAGTAGAGGATTTGTTTTTCAGTTACTAAACATACTTTAATAACAAACAATTACGCACGGTGTGGAAGGTCCTTATAGCAGTCTCGTCTGTTGCGTGATACTCTATAGGACGTCCTCACAGATGTGCAGCGTGGAGTAGGTAGAATTTTTTTTAAATTGACATCAGGTGAATCACCTACTCACTTGCTGAATTTTCACATTCAGATATGCGACTAAGACAATAAAAAGAATAAATGTTTTCATTGTTCTTGAAATTAAGCTTTTTTCATCAATAATTTGAATTATGACTGGCTCGCAGGCTGATGGTATTGCAACGTCATCAACGATGCAATTTCAGTATAATAAAGTAAACATGTTGTAGTAAAACAGATATCGCTAAGATCAAGTCTAGAAAGATCTGAGCGCTCTCCAATCAGCCCACTGGCAAGAAACAGCCCAGAATAGAGAGCAGTGGCGTCTTTTAGTGTCGAAGGCCATGATCTTCTTTGGGTTGCTGAGCCAGCGAAGTAAATAAGTAAATTAAACATGTTGTAATAGTAGTTCAATAGAAATTTGAATCAGAATTAAGTTTGATTAAAAAATACCAACAATAAAGATGGTATCTCTCAATATCAGCAACACGAGGGTCGAATCAATTAAAGGGGTTAATTGAAATGTTAATTAAAACAAACGTTCATAGTTCGACGCGTTGTGAGGCGCCGTGTAATTGTGTTAATAAATGTTATTATACACTTTACGGGCGCTTTATTTCATACATTCGCGGCTCATTAACAGCGTTGTAACGTTTTTCCGCCTTTATAATACGTCGTTAACACATGTTGTCTATAGATAAACTGATAATGATGACTTCGTAAACTGCTTTTCTTGTTAAATAAGTCATTATTACGTAAACCTATTGTTCCAGTTCTATAAGAAGTCCCGTGCCCCCCCGCAATTAAAAGACAGAAAACGTGACGCAATTTACTGGCGTTTTTTCCCCTTCTGCGTACCCTGTATTCTTCACGGCAAGAGTGAATAAGTTTTCATCGCTGACGCTTTTACTACCTAAGACTACATATTATCATAACATTAGATGGGATAGTTAGTCTTGACTGTATCAAGATCATCTTTCGCCAGTTCATTATAAAAAGTAAAGTTATATAGTCATAGACATGCCATCTTTACTATCGTTATGTAATAATGGAAGTGTATTCTTTAGTGTGATGCCACTACTGTTCCATGGTTCGTTATGTAATAAATATTCATGTCTCTTACAGTAAACATAATAAATATTGTAAAAAGGGCTATTTGAAATATTTTTTCCCATAGCTGTTGCTGTCATTAGTAATCTCACGGAAATTAACGTCAATTCTATAGAATCCCGCCTTTTTTGACGTAATGCCAGTCTGCGGTTTGTCCAATTTTACACGAATTGACAGATAATATTCCCTTGAAGGGCGCGTAAATTGCGACGGCAAAAATGTACGAGGTTCACAATGACCGCATTTTTCATTAAGCCAGTGTCAGAATGATATTATTTAATTATTGAAGGTATTCTTAACGCTGGAATAATGAAATTTTCGCGGAGAAAATATTAATAAGTAATTGTTTTAAATTCTTCCTTTCCTTATTTTGTATTTTATTTTATCCTTTCTATATGTTTGTATTATATTATTAGCCGTGATAGCTCAGTGTCCGGGCGCTCGCCTTTATTTCAATATACTCGAGCAACCTGAGTTCGATCCCCGGTGCCGGCACCAATGAAGTTTTTAACTTTAAGTGCTGACTTATCGCGTGCTCCGCGGTGAAGGAAAACATCGTACAAACCTGCATATTTTCGAAATAATAACAAAAAAAAAATATTTTTCGAAGATATGTGAAGTCCGCCAATCCGCAGTGGGGCCGCGTGGTGGACTATGCCCTGATACCGTCTGTACAGAGGAGGCCTTTGCCCAGCAGTGGGACATGTATAGGCTGTTACTTTACTTTTACTTTTTTACGACTAAAACTTTAATCGTTGACTACGTACAATCGCTTTTAACGAACCAATATATTAGCTGGGCGAACTAATTCGACGTAGTCTTTAAGAAACCGATCACAATTGCGTTGAAAACACATTATAACCGACTTGTGTTAAGCAAAATTGCGTAAAACGTAAGATGCGAATTATTCTTCAAAATTATATTACATATTGAAATTTATAATTGAATAAATTAATAGAATAAGTGAAACCGACTTAATTAACTGGAATTCGTTGAGAAGTAGGTTTTTAATGAATATAGCAGATTACATCAAATATAGCGTCGGTTTTATTGGAGAGGTTATTCAAGGCCGATTTACTAACAAGGACATAATGTTGCCGGAAATTAGCAAACAAGATTAAATATGAAGGTTGCACGTAATATCCACAAAGTAAAACTCATTTCTTTATGGTATATGTTACAAAGAAATGTTATATTGCGAATAATCAAGACGATCATGCTTGCTTTTGTGCTCGGTGATCCGACAAAGAGGTAATTATCAATATTTTTTTTGGACTATTTACTGTCGTACAAATACATGAACTCACTATACTGAAAGTAATTATATGTACTGATTCTTCAACACACAAATAATACATCTAAAATTTAACTCTATATTATGATGATAAGACACTTTTACTTCAATGTCGCAGGCGAGAATGCGATTATTCGAATTTACATTAGTTTTAAATCTCTTCGATATTCATAAAGTTTTATTTACGTTGGGATATCTATACGAAAACAGAACGCGTGAAATATTTCTTTTTAACTTATCATCTTTTAATTTATAAAATTCTCGTGTCACGGTGTTTGTAATTGAACTCCTCCGAAACGGCTCGACCAATTTTGTGTGCATATCGGCCAGGGTGGAGAATCGGACAATATCTATTTTTCATCCCCCTAAACGTTAAGGGTGGTTCACCCTAAACACTATTTTCTACCCTACAAATTCCCTAGAAATTATCTTTATGTGCAGAACAACGTTTGCCGGGACAGCTAGTTAGTATATAAAAAGCAGATTGAAACGTTATCTTTATAGCTAATATAACTAACCGTTAAAAATATAGCAGTACGTCGAACAAGAACAAACAAAAATAAAAAAAGGATTGTGTACATTGATACAATATAACAATGTATGGGGTAATTCCCTAATAGATAAGAATATACATAATTGTTTACTATTATCCGCATCCTGCCAATTAATCAACGTGATAGTGTCCAAAGCTTTGACTTTAGTTGCCTAACTTTATAATGTGGTTATTTAATTTGTTTAATTTTAGGAACGAATTGTTTTAGATGACTCGGTTCTGTGAATGCGGAAATTTCGTTTATCCTATGTTGTTCAGCTTTTCAAAATTCAGATCAGATAGATAGATATCTTGCGTGCTTGTTAAATAAAATTGTTTACATATCTTATCGCCCTGGACACTAGGGGGAGGTGTTCCTTCTCTTGGCAAAATACCCTCCCTCGTAACAATTCGAATAATAGATAACAGCCTCTGGTGACAGCCTCATGTAGGAGACCCCCCACTAGATGGAGTGATGACCTCTACAAATGCGCGGGAAGTCGATGGATGCAGGTGGTTCAGGATCGTACTTAGTGGCAGTCTATGGGGGACGCCTATGTTCAGCAGTGGGCTCAAAAAAGCTGAAATGATGATGATGAACGATTTCAATGGCGTACCTCTACTTTGGCTGCGTTGTAGAACTGGTACAAAGGCTCGTGGGTGAACAGCGAGTGGGGGAGGGGCGATGCTGGGTGGGAGCCAGAGGAGGCGCCGGAAGATGAAGACGCGTTGCCTGCTTGGTACAGGCCGGCCTCGGCGTACCTGTTAAAGTAATTGATATCATTAATCATTTTTTTTTCTACATGTTTTAATTATTAATCATATAAGATTAGGTGATGATCAGGTGGCGCAGGTTTTGCAGCTATCAACCGCGCCGTGTGTCTTGGCAAGCATGAAAAATATGTGTTTGACCCACAGATAATTATTTGAGAGGGTTACCGTCAGGCTGTCGGTCGAAAAACAACCAGCACAAACCACTTATTTCATGATTCACATTTGTGCCACCACGTAGGCGAGATTAGAGCACGAGGATGATGGTGATGATGACGGCATCTTAGAGGTGAAATTTGTATGCTTGCTGGAATTAATGAACCTATTTTGAAAATCACTGCACTATCCTTGCAATAGTTTCAACATCCATGAGTACCATCGGATGTATTTCATTTAATATAGCTAACTTGTGGCTTGGAATATTGATATTTGTCGATAGAATTAAGAAGCATGCCATACATTAACTATAAGACTGCCATTACATTCAAAAAACTTTAAGTTTGTCGCTAAGATTTATATAATCGTTACGGAAGTAGTACATAACATACTGAACACTATTATGTATAATATGTTTAATACCAACACAAATACTTCCTAATACAAGCTAATATACGTTTTTCAATCAGGGAGAATCAGAGGTGGTGATTAGTATCCATGCATAGTCACTACTTGTGTATGCATACCAAGCCAAGATAAAGTATGCCGCCTGAATGGTACAAACTTGAGCTGGTGATATTTGCTACCCAGCAATCTTTTCGTATTTCGCATCCCATATTTCGCCAGAATTAAATTACATTCAAAAATTTATTTTTTTTAATGTGAAAAGTTGCCAAGCGAGCAGACGGTTCACCTGATGTTAAGTGAATACCGCCGCCCATGGACATCTGCTACACCCGAGGGTTCAAGATGCGTTGACAACCTTTTGAAAATTGAGCTCCGGCCACCTCACTCACCAGAGGAAACGCGAAAGTATTATACTTCCACTTTACGCCGGTCTTCTGTGAGGGCGTGGTACTTACCCGGACGAGCCTGCCCATTCGTACAACAGCCGAGGCTGTTGCATGGCCCTACCACCGTCGAAATATTTAAACATCCAACTTTTTGCACTGTTATTACTACTGTGAGGGTTGCGTATCAGTTTCCGTTGTCACACGAATGCTCTGACTCGTCTGAGCAAGTACCGTGGACTCACAGATTAGAGAGAGATAGATATAAGTGAGGTTTCCGGGATCCACTGTTTTAAACGTCGACAACACATCTGCTCACGGATGCTGTAGATGTCTATTTATTTTATTTATTTGCTTTATTGCTAACTTTAAGAGAAATAAAACCGTTTAAAAACTTTTAAGTTAAACGGTTTTATTTTATGTGCACTGAAAACTAGAATATTGTATTGTCATCTAAATTAAATGTGTGTACCAAATTTCAGATCAATCTGACAACGGGAAGGTGCTTAAATTTCAATTTCTAATTTTGACCCAAATAAACAAATAAATTCCGTACGGGTCGAGCTAAATAAAACCGTTTAAAAAGGTAACAAAGGGTGGACTTAATCTCCAAAGGCATTCTCTACCAGTCAACCCAGGATGTAGTGAAAGCTTAAGGTAATCATTAAGACCACGTACTTCTATAAATTTTTTTATAGAATTACTCGCGAGGCGCCCCAGCTCCGCACAGTTTGCACTATTTATTTTAAAAAAATTAATGATCCGATCGCTCACTTCACAGAATCAGCTGGACTAATAGGAAGAATTCCTGAAAATTTCATCAAAATCGGTCCAGCCGTTTGGGAGTCGACAGTGCACATACACACATCAATTTATGTACATATAGATGAAGGGCAGTTGATCATTCTCGTCTTCTCGCTACTATCGTTAAAACTTTAGATGTTGCTTGTGTGATGGAAATGAACAATAAAACACCGTAAATTATACAAACCCCACTCAAAACGAGACAATAAAGAGCTTGTTGAAGAATGAGGTGTTACGTATTGGTTTGTAAAACCTTTATGCTCCGAAACTAATGTTCCAGTCGTCATTATGTTTGACAAAAACTTTTCGTATTTACAACACTCCTCCGCTCTACGAACAAACATCGCCCGTGAGTAACCGTGTAAACGCTTTAAATGTGACAAATGAACAATTCGTTACAGCGGCCTAAAAGGCGAGGAGCGTTTGCGGAAGTTGTTTTTTTTAATTAGATAACGGAGTAAATAGCCTCCATTAGACATTTATAGCAAGGTTCCCCGATAAGCATGTCCAATACTAATCTGTTGTAGTTCACGATCTCATCTCGTAGGTATTTGGCTTGTTTCTTACGAGACTAAAAGATGATGTTCCATATTCGAAAAGTATTATTTTTTATTTATTATTTTTATCGAAATTGAATTGAGAACACTATTTGTATGTCAGTTTAATATCGCCAATGTGTTCAACCGAGTGTTTTCGTTTTTAGCGAGAATTGACGCGACAATTATTAGCTTTTTTAAACAACTTAAATTAATTCTACATCAATTTTTATATTATTTTGTATCATTGTTAGTGTTAATCTTTATTGTTTCCCATAGGGAAGGTGAACGTGCTTTTCTGGAAGTAGAATTTCCGTTGCAATTTTAAACCTCTAGTGCTTACAGGCACAAATATACTGATTGTTTTAGTTTACCTACAACATTTGCATTAATACATCTCGGTTTGTACGGTTTCAAGGATCACCACTTCATGGCTACTTATATGTGGATTTATATTTACTATAATTACGTACATTAAATGCAAATGGTCGTGTAAGCTTGACAGTAAAGCGATTATCTGTAATCTGAATGAACACATGGCTATTTACCGCAATCTAAAATTAAAAACTACACATTTGGGTACATGGCATTTTTAAAATTATTATAATAATTTCTAGGATATATACACTATCACTCAGTCAGTTTTCATATTTTTCGGTTTAACTGATATATGAATGCATGTGTTCAACTTTTGTCTAGAAAGCACCTTTATAATCGTTTTTAAAAATTTACAAGCCTAACAAACTTGCCCTGTACTTAAAAAAGAATTATCTGTTAATTTTTTTTTTATTCTTTGCACTATTCACCATTTTACATACATAATGCTTAAACAAAAACGTACCTTCGAAATCACAGCCACAAATTTCCGCACTTATTAATTATCTGCATAAAAAAATATTTATTATCTATCCAACGAACTGCACGACGTGTAAAAATATTTAAAAGTTAACGAACAAGCAGAAGCGTTCGCGGCACAAAAACCTTTCCGACCGAATGCGAAACGACAGATATCCAGGCACCTATACGTATTACACAATGCACGTCGCTGCGACCTCGATGCTGTGCCAAGCGATGAGCGGAAGCGTTTTACTGTTAGCGACGACGCGCGACACCATTATAATGCGTACCTCTAAATTAAGCTCTGCACTTAAGTTGGAACAATAACTTTTCTTTTTCCTACATAATTTAATCGTTGCTTATCGTAAAACGCTACCGCTAATGTCATGGTACATAAGCGCATTAGTGACACTCATGAGTGTCCATGAGGTGCTCCTGAGTATAGTAGGCATTATTACTCACCGGACGAAGTGGTGACTTGTTCGGAACTTGTCCACGATAAAAAATAAGTAATTTACTTAATTTGATATAATTTTTATTTAAAAAGAAAAAAAAATCATTTGGTGTTTTTTCCGACATATGCAATCCATCTGAAGGTGCAAACAATATCATGTGGCTTTTTAGTGTTGGCGTGCTTGGGTTAAAGTTCATTAAGTACCTCTAGACCCAAAGCCGGTAAATACGAAAAACAATTGAAACTGAATTATCATCAGATAGTCGTTACAATCCCAAAGAATTATGAAAGGACTAGTGTCGGGTTTGGGTGCGATTAGTGAGGCAAGTAATTATTCTTAAACGCTTATATCCTAGTCAGGGGACAGTAATAGCTGGTCGCTTTTAAATCGGGCATCAGTTAACGGTGGTACGGCAAACTGGCTTGTGAGTCAGCACGGCTGGTAAACGGCTACGTCATGTGCACGTCGCTCCTGTTAGTCAGGAGGAGCACAGCTTCCCATTGACCAGAAGACAACAACACTACCACTACAAGATGAGCTATTTAAAGTTAAGAATGAAATGTTTTACATGCACATTGCACATAACCAGAAATAGAGAAGTATTCTATATTTCTGTCGTTCTAGTAATCAGCGTAGCATAGCTATGAATATATGCATCTACATAGACTTATTTTTTATGAGAGGGACTCAGAAATGCGAAGTCGCGGTTACCTCACTCACAGGATAAAATGTAAAAGTACAAATACTTCTGTTTAACGCCAGTGAGGTCCCGTATTAATTACCTGTGCACGAAAGGAACCCACGACGCGCAATCGTCGAGTCTACATTCACTACCAGGCAATCAGATTCGACGAGGACATCGGGGTAAAAACGCGAGGCGGGAACTAGGTAGCATTTGGCGCGTATAACGAATCAAAACGTACCGGTTTAACCGGCGGCGGGCGGCGTGTTTGCCCGGTATTATGATTTCATAAAAACCGGCATCGACCACCGCGGTAGCTGTGATGGACGGCCCCTATACAACGGAGTTTTTGTGATCGAAAGAGGTCATTGTTAAGCTCTCGCGTTAAACGTGAGAAGTTCTAATATCGAGGCTGTGCCTTTATGGTCGGTTTTATCAGTTGGGGCAGGGGATGCTGTTGAAATAAAGTTGAGTAGGATTTTTTTTGGTTCGTCGAGATTTTATAAAAGTGTAGGGTGTACTTGCTTTCTTGGGATATTCTCGTAAAAGGTTAATATAGAAATTATTTGAATTCATTTTATCAACAAATATTGATTCTTTTTATATAACAAGGGCATCCCTGTTGGATAAATGTACAGATGCCACAATTCCATTATAAAATATTTGCACAATACACAATGCGTTGTTTGAAAATCGCACGCAAGACAATATACAAAAATGTGTTAAAGTTATTTTATCCTTAATATAAATATTAGTGTTTAAAGGTAACTTGTACAAAAACGTATCGTTTGTCGTTTGTTTATATAAATAATAAAATTTAAAATAAAAATGCGATTAGTGTACAATACCACCGTTATCTTATTTACTTTTGCAAAACTTATGTCTTACAATTTTTTTTCTTACATTGTCGTTTAAGGAAAAAAACTGTGTTGCTTGTCGGCCTTGTAACACTAGATCAGTTAATTGTCTCAATGTCATAGAATCGTCTTCTTTCTAAAGAATATTCAGAAAGAGAATATACAGTGTTTAATTTTATTAAGCCCTCTTGTCACATCTTACTACTTTTCTTTCCTTATTTCCTCCCCTTTGTAACAGTATTAAAATTACGTAGACATTCTACGTTCATGTTTTAAAAAGTAGATGTAAGCGAGTTTCAATAAAACACTAAACACTCTTCCCATTATATCTATTTGCCCTCGTTTTGAACGTTCTCTCGTGGAGGGACCTTCGCGGGTTAAATTTTAACGAATCCAACTGCACGGGCGGTTGTGAAAGTGAAGCAAACTTGCCGCCAGTGTCGACTGCACTCTTGCACCACCCGAGTTATCTGGCGAGATCGACCTCCTGCCTTCTTTACTTTGAGAAACGACTAGTTTGTTAAACACTAACGTCAGGTTTCTGAAACAATGATCACCGTAGAAATTAACTAATCAGCTGTCAAATGGCTTTTACAATAATCTTCTTAATGATCAGAATGATCAATTCAAATAGTTTAACCATCCTTTTGGCAACTCAAATGACATTTGTAAAGCCATTTGACAGCTGGTTAGTTAACTTCTACGATGATCAGTGTTTCAGAAACAACTTCTCTTAATCGGCGATTTTCTAGTTCGTCAAGACGGTGAAAGGACCATTATGTAGGATCCGTAGCTCAAATGAAAGAAGTAGTGGACTGTATAAATGTTTTGCGATATTTTAAGATATAAAAGTATTTAGACCGAACAGTAGTGCGTATCGTCGCCGGTAGGTTGATGTAAGAAAAAACAAAAGTGGGGATCGTTATATCGATTCGCCGATGACGTTCCGGTTCGCGCGTGAACACCGGCGTTATATAACGTTCCCACGAGCTAGACCCTGTCTAAGTAAGCCACGCATGTGGACATGCGCGTATAATGTTAATGCACACATGGCGACATGCACACACAATAAATATTCGGCTACGGGCGGTGAAGGTCCAGTATGCGGACCATGAGTGACGGCCGTCGACTATGTTATTCGTAGCTGCTAGAACCGCCTCTGAATCAGGGTGTGCCTTGTGTTCGCTTGATGTTGGTATAGGCGAGCTCATAGTCGAGAAAGAACTACAGTTGAACTACAGTCTGTTGAACGCTACATGCGTGTGTAGTGTTGTCAGATGGGATCCCGTTGGTACGGAATACCGTCGTCCTCTTCCCCGAAGAAAGAGTTACGTCGAGAATGATATCTAAAGACGTCAGGCAGTAATTAGTGAAGCAATGTCGGGCAGTGATGTCTGCGTGTGAAAAATTCGAATCAAGAAAAACTCATCAATGCACGCTACCGGTTTTCGAATCTACGATCTCAGAAAAAATAAACTTTAGAAACCCTTCTATATTTCACCACAACTAGATTTGTTTGTGTGACCCAAAAGCCGACGTTGGGCAACGGTTCGCCGTCAATCATCCATCGAAAGAAATCGAACAATAGGTTTGATTGAAATTTTGTACATGTTTTGAAATACGAAATCTGTAGTCTAATCGGAGACTATACGTGTTTTAATTAACCTCTCGTCTACAGCTTCGTAATGCAAGGCCATTATTAATTTGTGAACAACCTACATGCTATAAATTATTACTAATCCTAGATCACGACTATCTATCTGAACCATAATTGGAAGTGTCGAGAGGTAATACGATACTTATTCTTCTGTTTATTACCCAACTGCCACTGAAGGAGGGTTATGTTTTTCGAGAGTATGCATGTATGTATAATTGTTCAGCACGCTCTGCAGCCTGAACGGCTTGATGGATTTTAGTCTGAGAGGTGTCGTCAGATTCGTACTTACTGTGAGAGTGAGACTGGGTGTATCAAAATCATTTCCAAATTACACAGACACGTCGTGTAATAATTTGGAAATGATTTTGATACACCCTTTTTGGTCGTGTCGGGTTTTTTAGTCTTTTAAACTATATTCCACTTGTCGCCAATCTATTTATACACAGAAGGAGTCGCGAATAAAGCGTTACACGAGGTAGTCAATAGTACACTCACCAGGATGAAGGCGTTGACAGCGTCTGCGTGGAGTCTGATCCACATTCGGCGTACCACGAGGTCCTGGCTCGCGGACTCTTGTCCTTCCTCGACAGGGTTGGCAGTAGCCGCTTCAGTTCTGTGCCAGAAACACTACATTGACGTCACTGAGAACTGGCAGAGTTGAATTTATTAGGATTGCCAGTTGTATAAGACGGAAACGAAACAAATAAATAATTCATATACTTCACAATGAGCATTTAATTTATAAAAGGATAAGCTTAAATACAATATAAATAAAGGATCGTATTGACTATGTGATGTTGATTATATTGAGTTGATATTGTTGATTATAGATTCATAATTACAAGAAACGAGTTGGTATTGAAATTTTAAATTCATTATCGTATTGTTTATATTTTTAACCGGCAATCCTTGTTTAAAGTATACACTGAGTGGCAAATAGGAGTGCGACAAGTATTAGCGAATAAATTAAAACAATAAACACAAGGACAGCAACAGGAATTACATAATATGTTTGTAAGAAATATAATGTAGGAAATGTGCGGAAAGGTACTATCTTGCAATGTACTGTTAACGTCATGCCATTCAGTGTATAATCACCTTTATAGTGGGTGCATCAAACATTTATTATCTACGGAGCATCAGCGGCAACATAAAATGCATGCAAATACTCTATTGTCAACTATGAGCGGTTGCGATGCATTGCGAGACAACATGCGACAATTATTTATATCAGTTTGACAGAGGCAACATTTGCACTGAACAACCTATCATAGAATTTCAAGACTAGCGGTCGCACTCAGGGATGTAAATTAGAGCTTAAATGTCATAAGGAAAGTCCTTAGTCAGGTTAATTAATTCAATGTGCATTTGTTCCAGTGTCACTGGTCATGGGTTCGATTCCAACTCGGGTGACTATTTGCGTGAACCACAGATATTTTGTATGTGGACGTTTCACCATGTCAAGTTTGTGTATGAATAACTTCCAATACATGATAATGTTCAATGATTGAGTTCAAGAATTTTAATGAAATAATTTACAAAAGAGGCCTTGCCTAGCAGTAGGACATGACACGCTTTACAAGCGTTAAACAAAGTCTCTGAGTGCACACACTAGTTTAAGGATCATTAGGTGTACGAAGTAATAATTGCTTATACATTCTTTTTATTATTCAATGTGGCATTATCAATAATGTCTTCGGCCAAAGAAGATATAAAAATAATACACCTATGTGAGAAATACAATCAAATCAATGTCATGCAATATTCCAATACTCCACACATATTTAAAAGTGAGTCAACCGATAGCGTCACTCGTAATTTTTTATTGTTAGCATGCTTTAACGAGAGTCGTTATGACTTTGGAACTATAGTCAAGAAGCTGAATTCGCAAAAAAAAATAACTGTAGCATTTGAATAGAAAAAGAAATCTTCATCTTTATGCGTCTTTGTTTTATAAGCATTTTGCGTAGACTGTAACGCTTTAGCGTCCTTGCACACGGTCGCGTAACGAAATGCGAACACTCACGCCCCATGTTGAACATGCAGAGTGGAGAATGTAGCACAGATAATAAATTCGAACAATTACTGCGAATATAAAAATGATACGCGCGACCGAGCGAACATCGCGTGTCAACGCGCGAGGACAAACTGACAACTGACAATGGGACGGTGTAATTGCGGCCCACGTGATTACTAATGGTTTTCATCTAAGATCAACAAGGCAAGTATGGTCGATTCGTTACTCAATGTGACGACGGCGATTTTGAAGACCCAGTGGCGTAGTGGATAGTGAACCTGTCTGCCAGAGGGTGGAGGTTCGGTCCCCACTACCGGAAAAAGATTGTGTGATGACCATTGTGTTTTTCTAATGTCTGGGTGTTTGATTTACAAAAGAAAAGTATGTTTATCAGTTAGATAGTACCCAAAGTACAAGCTTAGCTTAGTTTGCGACTATATAATGTTTTGTACAAATGTGTCCTTAACCTAATTTAAAATAATAAATAAAATAGTTTTTTTTAATTATAGCTTTTTTTTAATTATTTCAAGTTTTACCGATACCTTATTGTAACAGATTACATTTTTATTTAAGCAGCTTTTAGGTACGTATAAAAAAACCGCTTAAATTAATATGTCAATACTCATACAAGGCATTTAATGCTCACGGCCACTACAGAAATAGAAATCTACCTTACATTACATAGACATGCGATAAAATTTTCTACTACAAAAAAATTGCATAAATATTCTCAAAAAAAAAAAACTGAAAAATAATCAATTTAACAATGCCAAAAGTAACCATTAATGTGAAAGTCTGTTATTACGATAAGAAGAGAAGAACATAACAGAACGAAAAAGAAGAGAACAATAGGTACCGAAATAGAGTAAGAGAAACAAAGACAGTGCAAACATAGAGAACATTCACGAAGCGTTACGGCCCCAACCCGTTGCCTCCTTGACTGGAAATAACCAATATGTTTTTTCGACAAACTCCGACGATATTTGTTGGCTGCCATTGTCGAAAAAGTTACACCAATTGAATAAATAAAAAACAAACGAACAAACAGGACATAGGATTCATTGATATTGCGTTTTTATTAACCTTGGCTATTATTATTCATTCAAACAATCAAGTTTTATTACTTTTCATTGAAATCATTGATCCAAAGTAGTATCGCTTGAATTCATACTTTGTATTATAATATGTAATTTCATATTTGTTTTTACATTTGAAGAGCTTAAAATTTACAAATTTCAAAACTACAACGTCGGAATCAACAGCTCATATTATATAAGGTACCTATATACTATACTTAGTTGATAATAAGTTAAAAATAATTTTAGTCACTTTATTTTCTTTCGGAAAAATAAAAAATGCTTTTATACAAATAACATTTATTACAACAGTTCGATATACATAATTATATTCATATATATCGATATTTATGTTTATGTCCAAAATTAAAGAAGAATAAGAAACTAATAAAATAAAGAGATTTTAGAAATAGCTGTCAAAGTTTTTCTGAGTCGTCATTATTTATATATTAGTTATTTGCAGTATTCGGAGGATCTGACCTTCGTTTAGCGCTGTCTTCGCTCATTTCCTTTCAACGAGAATGAATAATTTGTAAACAGGCCAATTCAAGAACTTCCCATACGCGATACGAACAGACGTCAACTGAAATCTAAATTTATTAGTAATTATTAAAATTTGTGGTAAATAACTTAAAAAACGGTATATAGAATGGAGAAAGCACCATCATAACTAGAGAAATCTTGTATACAAGGTTGAAAGTTTATTTATAAAAATATTTATAATTATTTCCATACAAATTGGTGAACCAATATGTTATTCATCGAAGTATTTTGTATGATTGTTTTGAGTATTTAAGTGTATAAAAATGTATCCATAATTTCTAACATGACAAACAATAAATTATTTGCTATTTACCTAATTAATTTGCAAATCAAGTATTTATCAAATATTAAACGTGACCAATTTAACGACGATTTTAGTATAAATTATTTAGTTTATACTAAAATCGTAAAAGTAGATCAAAGAGAATTAGGAAATGAAGGCAGAAATAGCAGGTAATAGCCAGAATAAGGGCCACCATGAACTTATCCAAAAACTTTTAGAAAAGTAAAAAAAGAAGCCATTTGAGGCAATTTCATAACATAGAAATCTTCGACCAAAATGATAATGAAACACTCACAATTATGTAACTTATTTATAAATTAATACCCTATATATATGATGGGGTTACATTACATTAGCTGTGGCTTTTTTTTCGTTTCCGTTAGAACTTCCGAATAAAAATTTTGTATAAACCATTTCCTTTTTAATAGCTACTTTTAGAGTTTTGTGGACATAAACACACGGAAGCTAATCTTTTGTTAATAACATTTAAACGGATTAAAAAAAGAGAGGAGAGTTCTATACTCGATTTTATATTTTTAATGATACCTTTTCACCGCTTGCGACTGGCAGCTAATCGTTTGAAAAAGTAAAATATTTGCTGTATTAGCGGCCTGTTGCATTTGAGAAATATTTTCTTCTGCCGTCTTAGCAGCCTGTGTCATTAGGGAAAAAATAAAATATGTAATTTGAGCACCATTTAGATATTTTTTACTGCTAGCCGGCATGTCGTTTGGGCAAAATTAAAAAAAAGTGATATTTTTTCATCATGTCCTAGTGGCCTGTCATTTGAATAAAAGATAAAAAAATTCTGATACTATCTAGCATGCTATCATTAAAAATAAGCAACATGTGTCATTTAAAAAAAGTAAATTATTTTCCACCGCTGTCTTAGCGGCCTGTGTGATTTGAGACATAGTAAAAAAGTATTAATTATTTTTCAGCAGCATGTGAGATTTAAAAAAAAAGTAAAATATTTTCCACCGCTGTCTTAGCGGCCTGTGTGATTTGAGAGAAAGTAAAGAAGTATTAATTATTTTTGAGCAGCATGTGTCATTTAAAAAAAAAGTAAAATATTGTCCGACGCTGTCTTAGCGGCCAGTGTCATTTGAGAGAGAGTAAAAAGTATTAATCATTTTTCAGCAGCATGTGTCATTTAAAAAAAAAGTAAAATATTTTCCACTGCTGTCTTAGCGGCCTGTGTGATTTGAGAGATAGTAAAAAAGTATTAATTATTTTTAAGCAGCAGGTGTCATTTAAATTGTCCGAAGCTGTCTTAGCGACCAGTATCATTTGAGAGAGAGTAAAAAAGTATTAATCATTTTTCAGCAGCATGTAGTCATTTAAAAAAAGTAAAATATTTTCCGCTGCTTACTTAGCGGCCTGTGTCATTTGAGAGATAGAATGAAAAAGTATAAACTATTTTCCGGGCCTGTCCAGTTGACGCCTGCGCGTTACCTTCGTTGACAGCGCTAAGGTCGGTGTGCGCGTGGGGCGCGTGGGGCGCGGGCGGCGGGGGCGGCGCGGGGGGCGCGTGCGGGGCGTGCGGGGCGGCGGGGGGGCGGCGGCGGGGGCTGCGCGGGCCGCTCGAGCGCGGCGGGCGCGAGGCAGGGCGCGGACTCGGCCCACGCGCGCGTACCGTCGCGGCGGCGCGCCGACGCCGCGGCGGACAGCGCCTCCGCTCCGGCCGCGCCGCTGTCGCTGCTGTCATGCACCATGAAGAGTGGTATTTTAACGGCGAGCAAACCTTTTAACGTCACACAGGTCGACTGACGCGGAGATAGGCACATGCACTTTTAGGATTAATTTTTGTTTTTAATGCAGCTAAATATTATTACGTAGGTAGCATTTACTGGTATTTTATCCTCGAGCAGCGCTTTTAACATCGGATTGAGTGATGCAATAATAAGTCACATGTACCTTTTAGGACTCATTTTTAGGAATGGGTCGGGGCCCATTTTATTAAAAGGTGGCAACGCATCTGCAACCCTGATTTGGATTTGCAAATGTAAATGGGCGTCGGTGTCATGCACTGTAAATTATCATATTAATAGTATTTCGGTCCAATATTTAGTACTTTCTAAGGAATAATTCAGGTTAAAATCGAAACCCTTATTTTACTACGGCAAAGCCGCGCAACTGTTTCAGCTGATCCTCGAATTGGCAAACCCGTCCGGGTAAATATCGCCGATATTAAGAGCAAGTATTTGTGCTTTTGCATTTTGTCCGGTGAGTGAGGTAACTTGCCCATCATCTAAATGTTGGCAACGCTTTACATATCTTCAATCCCATAGGCATTGGAGCAATGCATGGCGGTAATTACACATTATTAGGCGGTCCGTCTCTCTTGCCATAACCTATTTGTATGAAAAAATAGTCTAAATTGGAAAGAAATTCGAACGGATTCAAGCGAAGTTCTCACCAGTTGCTGAATCCGGAGTCGCCGTCCATCGAGTCCGTGAGGTAGAACGTCGAGTTGGTGATCTTGAGGGCGCTCGGCACGTCCGAGTTGACGTCCGCCGCCATCGACGACGCCCTCCTGAAGCGGGACTTGAACGAGAAGTAGGTCTTCCTGGATAGGGTGCCCGAGTCCTTCTTCCCGTCGCTAGGGGGCGTCGTGGGCTTCTCCGGCAGTGGGGGCGCTTCTCCGCTGCCGCCCCTCTTCTCGCCGACGACGGTCCTCAACTCCTCTTTGAAGCCCGCCCTGGTCAAGGGAATCTCGACCTTGGCGGCCAAGCTCTTGGTGTCGTTGAAGCTCACATTCGCGTACACGTGCGCGTCCCTCTCGCAGTTCTCGTAGATCGGCGGCTTCCTGCCCTTCGGCGCGTCGTAAGTCCCGTTGGATTGGGCCTTCGCGAACGGCCTGCCGTCCATCGCGACTGGAACGGGGGATTCCGTTTGAGGATTTGAATTTGGAAGCTTAAACGACATCAGCACTGGATGCGCTTAAATTCCGTTGGGATATTTCATTTGAATTGCTGTGGTAGGGCCACGGAACAGTGTTGGCTGTTGCACGAATGGGCAGGCCCGTCCGGGTTATTACCAGGACCTAAGTAAAAACCGGTGTGAAGTATAAGTGTTATACCTACTTCTGCGTTTCGTCTGGTGAGTGAGGTAGCCGGAGACTGTTTTATTTAAAATCTCGAAGTTTTGAAACTTTCAACAGACTCTGAAGCCATAGGACAAATTTAATAATTTCTTTTGGTACAATCTCCGCAGCTGAGCTTACAGTATCCCGAGCCCGAGACTGAAGAGATTTCAGGTTTTTCGCGATCATGAATACCCGTGTGATCAAAAAGAAATCAATAATGTTATAATTAATTTTAAAATAAAAATAATGATAAAGAATGAAAGATAGAAGTTAATAATACTATAGGGGTATTTATTTCATTAGGAAATAGTTTTTTTAAATAATTATTTACGTATAACTTTTTATTGAACACTTGAACAGATATACAGCTGTTTTAACTCATAATAATATCATCCGATATGGTCTAGTGGCTAGGATACCTGGCTCTCACCCAGGAGGCTCGGGTTCGATTCCCGGTATCGGAATTATCTTTTTGTACATTTTTTTCCCCTTAATATTTTGAAATATTAACGGTTTCGAGCCCTCTCGTATCGGATTTGTTCTTTTTTTTATTTGTATATATTTTCATTCAAATTTTTATCATAAATTTTTCTCACCTGAATATCGTTTAGTTAGATTACGTTTGATTTGTCTCATTTTCTTCTGGGCCGCGCTTGCTATTTTCGTGAGGGTGTAGGGCCCACCCCCGTTGGGTGGTGAGGGGAGCCGCGTTGAGGCACAGGAGGGGCGGCCTGCGCAATCGACGACTGCAGTGAAACAAAAAAATATGTCAAGCTCTGCGTAAATTGTACCTAGTATAATTTAACTTTTCGCGTGGCAAGGATATCGACAAGTTAGCTTAGTGGTTAGACCAACTGGACGCGTTAAGGGGCAGATTTAAATCTTGATAGCGACGACAAAAAAAATCGACAAGTTATATAAACATTCTAAGAGCAGAGACTAGCATTTAAAAATTAAATTAATTACAACTTACACTTCTGATTTTGCTAAAGCCAATCGGTTATTTAAGTAAGGAGCGGTTTATTTTAAGTATTACGTTTTGAAACGTATAACGAGTGACTAGGCTAGTGGTTAGATGTAAAATCTATTCTTGCTTCATAAAATTAAATAATATAAAATCACAACACATTCTTGTACGTTTACTCGGTTATTGGTGTTTAACAATGCTTTCGCGAAAGGAGCTGTCATGTACAATTATATTGTAATGACCTCACGTAAACATGTCATCTCTGCTTTTGATGACCAATAAAGATGATGAATTACTTAAGAGGCAAATGAATTAGCATATTCACTCGCCTGAGTGGTTTTGCTTTTTTACTCATAATTTTTTTTTCCAGTCAATTAAATTTCCATAAAATCCCCTTCAAATTATGAATAGTAATTATCACACTTTCCAGTGAATACATTTGATGGGCGATATTTTTGAATATGAGGATGAAAAAAATCACCTGATCGTGATCTTCCGGGTCGCTGTCGCTGTCGAACGAGTCGAAGTCATCGTCGAGTGGTAGCGCGTGGGCAACGGGACTCGTGTGGGCAACGTGGGCCCCGTGGGCAAGGTGGGCGCCGGTGATGGGTGGCGGCTCAAGCGACTCGTACAAGTGGCCGGACTCGCTACTGTCTCCGTCTGGAAAATCATCACAACAGTTCAATGTTTGGGCGTAATCTATTTATTTTTATGTATTTATTTATTCTTACACCACAAAAAAGGGGGGTTATAAAGGGAGGTTCCCTGGCGTAAAACGTTGCAATCAAAAATTTATTAATAGATCAAAAATAAATTTATAGTTAAAACGTTTTTAGTTAAGAATTGACTCTAATAATGATTTTATTCGAGTGGATATTTAGACATATGAGTACTAGAGGCATTTTCAAAAGGGTTTATAATAAGCTTAATGAAAGGAGCTGTTTGTCTATGTTGAAATTTATTTATGCTCACTGTTTCAATAAAATAAACCCCGAAGGCACAGTAAATACTTCAGGTATCTGATATACAATTACGGTGTCTTTTCCTATTTTATTAAATGGTTATTATGTCGGAATTAATAATTAATAATTGACCCCTATAGATAATTATCTATAGGTTTAGAAGGCTTACGTCCGGTTTCTGAAACATTGATCATCGTACAAGTTAACTAATCAGCTGTCAAATTGCTTCTCAAATGTCATTTAAGTTGCCAAAAAGATGGTGTTTCAGAAACCGGGCGTTAGTTGTAAAGTATTCGATTCAGAGGAAACGGTTCAAGGGTTTCTTTTCAGCGATTTGACGGTACGAAATTGACGCACATGAACGTTATTAGTCACCGAATGGTATTATAATGTGTAAATAATTATTTATCAATGAAAGTTATCATAATTCACTATCAGTTAAACAAATTGTCAATAGATGGATGGCATTATAATACAATCTTTAGGAAATCATTAAATAAAAGTTTTTCTATGAAAACGTTACCTATATTCCACTTGTCTATTTTTCGTCAATATTGGCTAACCAGTTTTCAAATGGTGTTTTAATCATTCAATTTGATGAAGTAGAATGGAAGTTATGACCTACCGCCAAAAATACCTGTGTAAATGTATTATCCTATATTCATAAGGAAAGCAGTCGTAGAGTTAATTAACATTTATTGATATTAACTTTATTAATTTAAATCTATTAGAGTATATGCTAACTCGAAATGATCACCAGCTAAAAAGATAGTGTATATTATATGTATACAGTCTGGCCGGACAAGAATGGTCAAGCCTACATATAATTTAGTACAGTTTCAGCCAAAAATATTGGTTTTTGAAAATTCTGTTAATTAGTCAAATTTTAACCTTATTATTTTTACCAACACATAGAAAAACAACATTTGAAAAAAATGCTTGTTACTTAAAGCTAGACTATATTTTTTTGTATTTTATTACTAGCATCTAACAGCTCTGCTATGAGGTGAAAGACTTATGTATTCCTTCACACACACACTCCGTTTATATAGTGATTGGAACATTATTAAACAATAAGTAAATTCCATTTAGTGTTAACAATTGAATATTGTTAGTCGCGTAAAATACAACAATAAAACCACGCTAAAGCTGAACCACAACAATAGTACATCTAATGAACAATGATTTGTTGTTTTGATGTGATTTATATTTTTTTATAATTTGTGTAATGATAGATGTACTTTATATACTTATGTATTATTGTCTGTATTTTGACTTATGTATTATGTTTATTATAAATATTGAGAGTTACATAATTTTTATATTTCTTATCTTCCAACTAAGGCTTCACAAAAAAGGTTATATTCAATTATTTCAATATGACACGAGTACCAGTAACATTAAAATATTCGAATAACATATTATCGTCGTGACTATACGTATCACTAGGCCCTTAAATGTTAATTTATTAAATTGCACATAGACGTTGTACTCCGGCACCAATACTGGTAGAGCTTCATATTCATTGCATACCCATCTTAGGCCCAGAGTTGACTCTGTCGATTCAAAGTACGATTCCAGGATTATACTGTTTAAGATAACGTTTAAACTTCCTTGTTCGGCATAATATTACGTAGCGTTCGGTCCATTAACATATAAAAAAAGTAAAGTAACAGCCTATACAGCGTGTCGTTACCATCGCGACAATAAATGAACACACTTCTAACGCTACATGCCAATAATCATAAAAAAATATTAACGTTAAACAAAATCCATAATTAAAAAAAATATTTTTCAAACAAACTAATTAAGTAACAAAAGAAACAAAATTTGTAACATCCTATACAAAGCGCCACAGCGTCGTATTACAAGCCTCTCGTTCTAACAGTATGTGTCTCTTTTAAATTCATTCAACCTATTCATATGCTTTGTGACCTTTACAAATGAGCTTTACGTTACGCTTTTATAGGTAAGGGTGTTCTAAAATTCTTTGTTTTGGAAAATTTAATAACTCTGTAAATATTGATGTTTAAAGAATTTAAATGTTTAATACAAAAGTTATCCTCTATATGTGTGTTCATTAATTGTCGCGATGGTAACGACACGCTGTCCCACGGCTGGGCAAAGGCCTCCTCTGTACTATGCCTTAATAGCCTCTGTATTAGGGCATAGTCCACCACGCAGCCCCACTGCGGATTGGCGGATCTTTTTTTTGTTCGTTATAATGAAAATATGCAGGTTTCCTCACGATGTTTTCCTCCATCGCTGAAAACGTGATAAATCAGTACTTAAAATTAACCTTTTTAATTGGTATCGACATCGGGGATCGAACTCAGGGTGCTCAGCATATTGAATTAAAAGCGAGCGCCTGGATGGTAAGCTATCACGGCTCTATTAAACACTAGCGACCCCCCCGGCTTCGCACGGGTGCAATGTTTTATACATATGAACCTTCCTCTTGAATCACTTTCTCTAGTAAAAAAACCGCATCAAGATCCGTTGTGTAGTTTTAAAGATCTAAGCATACATAGGGACAGACAGACAGCGGGACGATATTGTTTTATACTATGTAGTGATGCACAGCAAGAGACGTTTACATTTCAAGTGACATTTTACCACAGTCACTCACTTGTTTTGCCTTCCCGGAACCCCTCCACTAACACTTAAACTTTATGGTATGGTATTAAAGTTCAAATTGACTTTTAAGTATTATTACGAATCTTTTGTACGGGAATATAGAAAAGTGTTGTTTAGAGACTTTTTCAGGCAATTTTTAAAATTTTTCTCACCGTAAAAACCATCTTCTTACTTCAAGGAATATTATAAAAAAAGAATTAACGAAATTGGTTTGAACATTCAGCGATTCATAGTCTCTTAAAGTATGAATCAGTCAGTTGTAGTTGTATAGGATGTTACAAATTTTGTTTCTTTTTTACTTAATTATTTTGTTTGAAAAATATTTTTTTCTAATTATGGATTTTGTTTAACGTTAATATTTTTTATGATTATTGGCAAGTAGCGTTAGACGTGTATTTATTGTCTCGATGGTAACGACACGCTGTATAGAAGATAAGACACAATAATAGGAGAGACTGAATAATCCTTTAATACTATAAGTTTATAAGTTGCGGAATTTTAGCTAGTCAGATTTTACTGTTTACAAAATCATAGTAGCTTTGGTTGTTGTGTGATTTTTTCTTACGTGAAAAGTTAAGAAAAAGCAAGAAAACGGGCGGTTCAACGGATATTCAGTGATTACTACCGCCCATAGACATTTACAACTGCAAACGCGTTACCAAAATTTGATTTGAAAACTTAACTTTGACTTTTGCCTTTGATAGTACATCCACTTCACGCCGATCTTACGTGAGGTCGTGGTATTTCCCCCAACGAGCCTGCATATCATTTTACACAACTATACCACAGAACTATGTATTGATCAGTTCATCTGTGGAACATAGACACGGGCGCACAAGACAGGTCTAAAGCAAATTTATACCTTTGCGTGTTCGGAAATTAATTAATTTTAAGCAAACCGCCTGTTCCCATGCTATCTCCGTCCAGCAAGAAAATTCACTTTCGATCAAAGTTCCGTTAAAACTTATCCCTGTACTAATTCGAAGGCTATATTTTTATGTAAAAGACAAGCAACACGCAGTATGACCGAAAGCAGGTGCATCAGAAATTCAAAAAATGTCAAGGACCGTGTAAACAGCCGCCATTACATAAGCGGCAACGTCGACGGTGGCGACATCGCGCGGCATGACGCAAGCGCCGCTTGCGGACGGAAACTACAAGACCACATGAATCAACACTAGCGGCTTATGGAAAGCGCGGGAATTTAAGTCATTATTGAGTCCGATATTAAACTATTAGAAAAAAGGTTATGACATATACATTGATTGTATTCCCTAAGTTTAACTTTGTCCAATTTCCGTAGTTATATCCTTGAAATTAATAAGTCATAAATCCTTACGGATGAATTGAAGGCACAAATGGTAAGCCGTCTGTTCCTGTACTAAGAGCACATACAACTTTAAATGTGGTTTCTTTTCTTTCTTTCAGTGATAGAATATAATGTAAGAGATAATGTAATGGAATATAGTATACGTATAGTCGCAGAATAGGAGCCGTGATAGCTCAGTATCCGGGCGCTCACCATTAATTTTATATGCTTGAGCAACTTGAGTTCGATCCCCGGTTCCCCCACCAATAAAATTGTTAATTTTAAGTGCTGACTCATCACGTGCTCAGAAATGAAGGCAAACATCGTGAAGAAACCTGTATATTTTCGAAATAATATGAAAAAAATGTATTTCGCACGCATGTGAAGTCCCCTTATCCGCAAGGGGTCGCGTGGTGGACTATGCCCATATCCCTCTGCAAAAAGGAGGCAGTGGGATATGTATAAGCTGTTACTTTACAGATTATATCACGCTAATAAAAACCTCCAAGGTAGATCGTGTTATGCATTTGGTACAATTTTATATAAACCGGTGTTAAATCTGGTCTGAGAAACAACGTATTATACATGTATACCCTATAATCACAAATTCAACAAATAGGTATTTTTATGTATTTGTAGCTACCTATCTAGATTTGTTAGATAAAACATGTTATTTACTTTTACAATTTTCGTGAATAGTGTAAACATTTTTGTAGTTTTTTCAGTTGTAAATAAAAGTTTTTAGTAATGTCAATCTACTATGCCGCCTAAACTATATTTAACTTTTTAAAATACACCTATGGTATTTGTTTTTTATTCATTTTCTGATCTCATTTATTTTTAATTCAACAATTTTTTTTAATTGAATGATCCCATCCTCCACTGAACATGCTTCCTTATCGAGTAGGATATAGAAACACTCTATACAATAAAAACAAAAGGTTTTTTTGTATAAAATTTTAAAAAGGAAGTTAAAAAATAATAATAAAAGGAACACTTTTAGGACTGGTAACTAACTGACAATACAATTACTGTAAAATGTAAATAAAATTAATATTTTGATTAAAACTAAACCTCTTTAGTATCGAGTATTAAACCAAAACTTTGAAAGCAAAAAAGATAAAAATAGAAATGTAGGCCATTGAAAATAAACTTGTTATAGAAAATATTATGGATTATAATTACGACAGAACACAAAAAACCAATTTGTTCGCTATTAAAGCTTTTGTGAACTGTTTGTGAAATGTGAATCTATGACGGTAAGGAATTAATAGACCATATCAGATTACAAATTTAAGATCAAATGATATTGTTATAATGTTATGATGTTGGTAAGCGGTGTTTAAGGCTTTTACCATTAAAAATATCCCGAAACGGCAGACTGGCGTAGGAAACCGAGACGTAAGCCGGGGGCTCGCTGCCGAGGCTTTTCAGGAGGCACCATTTGGTGATCGAGTCCTGTCCCTGGGCCGTGTAAACTATCTTCATGTTAGCTGCGGCTAATTCACACAAATACTACAGTTTCGTAATGTTTCTAACATCGACACGTGCACCCGATACCCTAACTCCACTGATACTGGCATACAATAAGCCAGCTTAATTCAATTGAGATATCTAAACAACAGCATTCAACATTATTCAGCGGCAGAAGAATTTAAAAGAACAACGGAAGAATATTATAATTAATGTAAACACACGGCAGTATCGAGGGCAAAGCCCTTTGTCTCTAGTCACCGTGATGGCATCGCGGCAACTAGAAGGCGGGTTTCTACGCACAAAGGTAGTCGTAGACACACTTTAAAAAAAATATAAATATAGGACAATGTGTCGCGTCGAAATAATTTTTTTTTTTATAGAAACTGAATATTTAACTTGAAAAAACTTGAGCTTTAGGATTATATTACTATTTTTTTTAATTATTTACGTTGAATACGAATAATTTGTTAGCTGACGTGTTATTTTGTTGGTACTTCATCATATTTTCATCAATATTTTAAATGTTTTTTACAAGCTTTTATTTTAGTTGTTGTTAATGAAATTATACAGAAAAAGACAGTAAAACGTGATTAATACCTCTTTTATGAAACTAATTTATATGGACAATTTCTTTGTCCGACTGCGAATAATGTTAATGCGAACATAAAAAAATATATTTCGAAAATATGTGCAGTCTGCTAATCCGCAGTGGGGTCGCGTGGTGGACTCTGCCCTGATACCGTCTTTACAGAGGAGGCCCTTGCCCAGCAGTGGGGCATTATAGGCTGTTGCTGCACATAATTACCGATGAACGCCACGAGATCCTGGACCTCGAACTCGCCGTCCAGCAGCACGGTTTTGACGCAGAGCCAACAGGTCTGCTCCAGCACCTTGATCAGTCTAACCCTCTCGTCCGAATCTTGGGGCTCCTGTACCAGCTTCCTCTTGGTGGACACATCGTTGAGGCTGTAGTGCGGCGACTTCGCGCTGGTCTCTATGTAGACCTTCGTCGGTGACGTAACTGACACTGAGGGAATCACGCCCGATCAAGGTTGGTTTTGTTGATTTACGTAGCGTTAGTGTACGAACTCATCCGGCCCAACCAAAAAAACTTTTTTTCTTGTTATGTATTTAATAAACACCGCCTTTACTTTAGGACAACTTTATCCTGTGTCGTAAGGACGTTTTACAAACATATATTTTACGTGTACAAACACCCAGATGCGAAACAATTCTCTATAGATCACACAAATATCCCGTGCGGGAATCGAACCCACGACCCCCCGATGCCATGCCCAATGCTTTGGCACCTTCGCCACGGACTCATCAAAAAATCTTTTAATTATGCATTAAAATTTAAGCGCTGCTGTGAGAATGTGTATCGTCTAAATAAAACAATAATCCAAAGGAATTTAAACTTTTTACTTTAAATGTTTCATAAAAATAAAGACCTTTTTAATCGTTCGATGTTGTTACTCAAAACCTAACTCGCATTGAAAGTTCAGTTCGGTTTGTGAATGTATTGTCGATGAATAACGCGTTCATTTGCGAACATTTTGCGGGAGGGCGCTAAAATGGGGAAAACTGGCCGGACGAGTTCGAACCACATTTATGTTTATGCACAATGACACTGAGTCACTTGAGCCGAAACACTTGCGACAGTCGCGTTTCGAGAATCAACAAAACGCACCTTGGTCGCCGCAATTCCGTCGGAAAGTGCGCGGCCTCGCGGGCAGCGGTGGCGGCGCGCTCTTCGGGGATCTCTCCATCACCATTGTTCACCATTTTTTTTACACTACACTGCACTACATCACCTGCACTTTCGCCTATTCTTTCCTTGAATCAACGCGGAAGTAGAAGCACGCGGCGGTCTGCGATGGAAACCGTCAGCCCATTATCTGTTCACGAACGTCCGAACGATAATCGATACAATCAAACAATACTTCCCCGAACGGCTTTATCGCTAAAGTCTGTGGGGAAATCGAATTTGGAACACTTTCTTCGTTCTTTTTGAACAGCCGTAGGCTTGGAGTATCAAATTATTTTATCGATTTTTATTACCAATTAAATTATCGATTAATTTCAACGAAGTTCGGAGCCGTTTCCGATGTCCGCATCGTACGCAACAATATCACCGACTATTCGTATCGTTGGCAAGTCCGGCAGCTGGCGGCTCATGGCCGACCGGTACCGCCGGTCGCCACTAAGCGAGAGCGCGGTTTTTTCTCGACATGCTCCGTGCAATAATTGTAAACGTACGAAACTAATCTGTTTTATTGACATTGAATTACTCTGTTGCACTTGAAAATTCTTAAATGTATAGCGTTATTCGTTTTTCCTATATGTTAAAACTTATATAACATAAATAACGTCAGGTACCAATTTTATTATGTAAGATAATTAAATTCTTGTTTACAAACGGATGGATTTATTATCTGTAGCTGGCTGCGTAAATTTAATTGGGAAGGATACATTCACTTTCGACCATAGACTAATTTGAATATTTTACGAACTCTGATGCAAGAAGACAAAAACAAAATTTTATTTCTTAACAGTAACACAGTGGCATTGCTAAAAATGGACATGGAGCAGAGTTCAGTTCGCGCCTAATATAAAATTTACAAATGTTAAGGGCAGATAGTTATTATGGACATCCGTCCTGACGTAGTGACAGGTTGAATGTAGTTTACCAAAGTTTTTAAATATGAAACAAACGTATTAGAAATCATACGTAGAAGGTTTATAGGAATATATATAACCGGGAAACAATCGAAAGTTTACTTACGTTCGAACTTTATAAAATAAACGATGACTTCCGCAATTATTTGAGATATGCAAATTTTATCCAATTGTAATTCGACATGCGTTGAGCGCGAGATAGTGAAACCAGAAACTGTTCTCCAATGCCGTAATAAGAACAATTAATGTAGCACTGTATCCACATTAAATCAGAATAACGCCAATGAGTCATTAGCCCGCTATTTGGCTCAGGACCGACGAGATTTGGAATAATTGGTGACGAGGTTTATTTGAATCTCATATCTTTCGGTTTAATAAATTTCTGCTCCAGCACGTTAGTTTGCCTTTAATTCTCATGAAAGAATAAATATAACATCTAGTTCTTCTAAAGATGACAATGTTTTTCTCCTAAAAAATAGATTTTAATATTCAACATTACTTTTGATCGCGCTATCTATAATAAAAGTATAATATATAATAAACGCTTTTATTTATATGTATAATATATAAATAAAAGCGTTTATTTACTTTTTATACCTTCAGCTTTGATTCCATACTTGACAAGTACAAAATCAAAGACCTTCAGTGAAGTTAAATGCAGACTTCATTACATACATGCATTCGGAAGATGGATTTGAATGAAATCAAACCCTTTTAGAGGGCTGAAATCGAAGGTAAATTGCTCTAGAGCACGAAATAGCGCGTTAGCTGTTAATAATAACTCGTAATATGTTTAAAAGAGGCGCGATTTACAGCAGAAAACATTTGAAACTGAAAGGTCGATCTGGATAAAAATGCCGTCACACACACGACGATTATCGTAGAGTTGTAAAAGCCTTGCCTGGCATAGGAAATAGTCTATCTCTATAAAAATATTATTAGTTACGTGCAAGGAAGAAAATTTCCTGAATAGCCCACAGCAGTGAACTGCCAAATAATATTACATTTCACAGTTCATCACACATTTTTTAGCAAAGAATAAAATACATTTTTTTACTTGAATTTATTGATTAAAGGTTTTTATTTTCTTACAAGGCACTGTCGTTGGCCGCTTTGTGCATTTCCTATTAAATCATTTTACGCCGTTGGGAAAGTTGTTCATTGCGAAACTGAGTAGAAAGTCAATAAGTGCATATTATAAATTTATATGCCTCTCAGAATTATCAAACAACACAATGTGGCACTCGATTTTAATATATTATGTTGGGTATATTAAAATGGCCCTAATTTTAGAATAGAATAAATCTATTGATTTCTTGTTTTTACGCGAACATTACATTAATGTTAAAATAGTTTCATTTATATTAAATCTGTTTTAGACAAAGCCTTATCCTTAATTTTTTTTAACGCGGTTAGGCATGCGCGTTAATGATATGGATCTAAAAATATTACATTAAGCATAGAATATACCATTCAAAGAAAAATAGCTCTCACGGGTCATAAGTGACCGAAATATAAGAGTAAATTTACATCAATATCTATTTTTCTAAAGAACCAAAAAATTTAAGCCTTCTTAAAATTGAAATAATATAGAAATTAAACATTTTGGAACACAAATATATCTCATTCTTATATATTCTGGATAACTTTGCCGTTACCGTTCTCATTATAATATATAAACAAGTACTATTGCATTTGAATGTACAATTTTGAACAGAACCGAATGAATATTAATCTGGCAAAACGTGTCGCCAATTCCGTTCGAATTCTCAGAGTGGTTCCGCCTTCCAAATTCTATGGATCGAGACCGTTTTGTGTTTACTCTCGTCTTTTTGCCATTTTTTTTTTAATTACAGCTAAATTTTTTTCCAAAACAATATCCTTCTCTTAGACGAAGCTTGGAAATGCAATGTAATATACATATGCCATGTCCGAACTGCCAATCGGATAGTGTCAATCTGATGACAATGTCCATGATTCTGATGTACGATGGATGAACTTACATTGCCGATATGACTTCATCGATAAAAATTATAACTTTTTTAAATATTGATAACAAATATATTGTCAGATTATACATAGGTACTACGAGACAAAATCAGCCTTACTGCCTACTAAGCCTTAACAGCAGGCCTAGGCACAGTTGGATTACTTAATCTGTATGTCGACTAAGAATTGTAACAAAGTTGACAGATTATTCCATACACCATTCAGATTAATCGTGTTACAAAAGAGTTGACATTAGTCCGTTAATTCTTGTAGTTCTTTACTTTAAACGTTGTTAAATTTCGATTTAACTATGTCGAGTCTAAACTGTAATAACGGTACAAGCCTTTAAATCGTGCGCACCATGAAAAAGAGATGATAATGCTCACGTCGAGAGCAAACATTGTAACTTTAATGGACCGAAGCGGAGCGTGACTGAAGACAACGTGCAATTGGTTGATAAAGAACGACACAGAGCCCCTTATCTGCTAAGCGATTCCAACTATCTATTTAAAAAATGTTAAATTCACTCCAAACGCGCATCGGAACACAGTAAACCACAGACGCTGACGATTTCCATAGCAAAACACCATTGAAGCACCTTTAATAATGTTTGTTTTGTCACTGTTTCATTGTTGACTGTACGCGGGGCGCTTTCACTGTCGTAGTGACGTCGAAAAGCACGTCCGTCACGCTGCGCCGGCGCAGGGCTAACTCGCGAGCGATCAGCGGAGCAAAACGCGAACTTCCCCTCCCCTTCCCCCGCGCCCTCGATCGCCAGAAGCCCGCGTGGGCTTGCCAGAAACCGCCATATTAGTCTCACCCCCTTCGAACTCGTTTCTACATCGCACATCTTTTGGAGTGCATAAATAATAAGCGTCATGATATCATTATGGTGTCATGGTGTCACTGTTGAGAGAGTTCAGTGTTGGTAACACAAATAACTAAACATTGTAATTTGAGGACTTACGGGAGACTGAGAGGGAGAGAGAAAGTGCAACGGTTATTTTCTGCCATCTTCATTGCATAATCAAAATATTCATTGGAATTTACATTTGTACATTTGCAGGTCCGCTTAATAACTCGGAACATTTTAGAAAACTGGTCAAACAACATTGCGGGATCGAATGCGATAAATCAGATTCCAATGAAGCCAATAAGTCAAGTAGGTATATGCAAGAAGGTATATGCAATTTTCGACGATGCTTAGTTTTAAATTTCCGACTAGTCCAAACAGATATAATCCATGTGTTAATGTCTGTCTTCATTGATGGCTGTATTATGGATATTTTTTTCATAGGTCAATAGCAATACAGGGTACTGTTCCAACCTATTGGAACCTACAAAGACATTAACTAATTAAAACTTGTTTTAGCTTTAGTCTTTGTATTCTAAAACCACGTTGTCTCACAAGCTAACCTGCTGCTGAAATTTTATACCATGAAGTTACCTATGTGAAAAGTATTACGATTTTGTTACACGGCCTTGTATTTTAACGGGGCACTGCGTTAGAACAAACGACTAGCAGACGTTTAACTCCGCATGTAACAAATCTGGGGCCGTGACGTAAGGTGCGCTGGCTGTAACTAGAGCGGCTGAATAATTGATCCCACGTTCGACTTCAGTCTGTTTGAGCCTAATCTAGGGTTGACAAACCCTGAATAACTCCCCGCACAGAACATCCCTAAAAACTTTATGCCTGGACAACAGCCGTTGATCTAGTAGCTTTCAGAGACTAGGCTGTATAATCATTCAAATTGAAACAAATCACAGGGCTGTCCATTGCCCGTTCGTAGTAAAATGGTAAATGCGTGATGCCAACCCTGGATTGGTCGAGTTGCGAGCAGTGTTTCCTCGCCTTACGACATTCTAATCAAGTTTTTCTTTGGTCGAGCGACAGCACCGATGTTCCTGTGTTACACTATGAAGGAAATTACGTGATTAACAATTCTGCTTCCTCGTTTACTGCTTTTACCGGTGTCTCGTTGCTTGGACATATATGAATAGGAGAAAACGAGATACAACATTGCAGCTTCTCTATTTAGAATATAATTCTCACTTTTTCACAACTACCGATAAACAGGTAAAAATATTTTACTGTAAATAAAAAAAAAAAAAAAGAAAAAACCCGCCCAGGTGCGATTCGGACTTGTGCACTAAACTGGTTCTGTACCATTATCCGTTGTATGGGTGCCCCACTGAAATAAATTTTTATTCTGTTTTTTTGGTATTTGTTGTTATAGCGGCAGCAGAAATACGGTTCATGAGATATATCCAGCCTAGTGACAGACGGACAGACAGCCAGGCATACAGACAGCGGTGTCTTAACAAGGGTCCCGTTTTACCCGTTGGGCACGGAACCCTAAAAACGAGATTTGATCAAATTCAATTCTCAATAAGATCCATTTGCATAGATTTCACTGGTGGTTGAAACGGTTTTTGTTATAGCTTCCTAAAACTGTTTCAAACGTTGCTTTGACTATTTCTCGCCTTTATTGCCGAGACTCAGATGAACCTCAAAAAGTTGACGTCGATTGATATGGTTTTAACCTTAAAAGCAAGAAAGCAAGCGGAAGGTAATCTATGGGATGGACATGAGACAATAACAATTTCATCGGGTGGGCCGTGCCCACCCCAGTATGGTCTAGTGCCCACCCCAGGATTTTGGGTTACCGATTCGAAATTCTAGGCTGGATATCTATCCTTCATCGCCAAAAGCAGATTGAAGCCGAGCGAGGCGAGCGAGGTGCAATGTAGATATTGAATTTCTCGAATATTCTCTACTATAATATGCATATATATTACATGTAAACCTTCCACTTGAATAATATCTATTGCTGAAACAGTGTTCGATTTCTTTTGTAGTAAGGGCCCAGGCCCACCCTGAAAAATAGCTATTGATACGCCAATGACCGGGGATCGAACTCAGGTTGCTCGATTATGTTGAGTTAAAGGCGAGCGCCCGGACAGTGAGCTATCACGGCCCAACTACGGATAGGAAATTCTCTTTCAAACAGTCAGAAAAATTGATGACAGACCAGCACTGTACACGACTTTCATCAGCACTAGAAGTTGGTAAACGACGACGAAGAAAGAAGTTATGACTGGTCAAATATTCAAACGTTTAAACAATTAAACGTTGGACATACTTTGTTGAAACATTTAAACTTTTTTGATAATTTATTTATTTATTTATTTATACTTTATTGTACACCAAAAATAAAAATATACAGCGTGTCGTTACCATCGCGACAATAAATGAACACACATATAGGGCATAACTTTATAAAGTTGCATTAAACATTTAAATTCTTTAAACATCAATATTTACAGAGTTATTAAATTTTCCAAAACAAAGAATTTTAGAACACCCTTACCTATAAAAGTGTAATGTAAAGTTCATTTGTAAAGGTCACAAAGCATATGAATGGGTTGAATGAATTTAAAAGAGACAAAACATACTGTTAGAAGGAGAGGCTTGTAATGCGACGCTGTGGCGCGAGTTGTATAGGATGTTACAAATTTTGTTTCTTTTTTACTTAATTAGTTTGTTAGAAAAATATTTTTTTTTAATTATGGATTTTGTTTAACGTTAATATTTTTTTATGATTATTGGCAAGTAACGTTAGACGTGTGTTCATTTATTGTCGCGATGGTAACGACACGCTGTATAAAAAGCAAATTACAAATGAATATAAAAGGAAGTACAATAGGCGGTCTTATCGCTCAGAAAGCGATTTCTTCCAGCAACCATTGTGAAAAGAATATTTGCTAATGAGACATAAAGAAGAGAGCAGAGGGAGGTGTACATGAATCACTTATGAACATCGGATGAAGGCATTTATACGTCATTGAGATAGTCAAAGATTTCGGGAAAAATAGGAAAGGAAAAAGGGAAGCGTGAATTCACAGTTCCAAGTAATGAGCTTTTAATTGGTTTTTAAAAGAAAGAAGTGACTTAGCTTGTCGAATGTGAAGGGGCAACGAATTCCACAAACGCACAGCTGTCACTGTAAAAGATTTATTGAAGAAGGAAGAGGAGTTGTACAGGATAATCTGTGTCTGTCTCGCGCTATAAACTTTGTCGTCGCCATTTTGGATACGTACGAGTGCGCTACATCAGTAAATGCATCAGTGCATACCGTTTCACTGCAATATTAGCTTTTTGATACGTCGTTTCGTTCATACACTCGTATTAACATAAACAAGCAAATTGTAAGGCCAGGACTCCACTACATTATATCACAAGATAATTATGAACAAAAAAAAACAGACTTCAAACAGAAAACTAAAAAAAAAACATTGTCAACGCCTATAACATTTGTGGATTGCCCTCGATTTCTCTGGGATGCCATCATCAGATCCGGATTTCCTTCATGGTACCACCCTTAGGATATCTCCTTTCCAACAAAAAAAGAATCATTAAATTCGGTTCATAAATGACGAAGTTATCCCCACACATAAAAATATATATATATATATACGGTCAAATTGAGAAACCTCCACCTTTTTGAAGTCGGTTAAAAATATACGAATGATTTTTCGCAGACGTGGAATGCAAAATTTGCAATTAAAAGCTGCCTATATAAATTCAATGTAGAGAAATCAAAAGGTCAAAATGATCGTGGTAAATCCACCATGATTATATAGACACAGTTGTTTACAACAGGCGGTGTTCACTCGGAGTTAATTAATTCAATATCACGTATAATAAAAATATAAAAGCCTTTAGTAGAAATTGTAATTTTAATTATCATTTATCGTATCGTTAAAAAATATTAATATTACGGAACGTTTTCTTACCGGTTCTAGTCCGTGATAAATACTAAATTTGTAAATTTGCCATAGACTAGACTATACAAATATATGAATGAAACAAGCTAGCATTGAAAACATATGACTTTAACAGTTGTGTCTGATAACGTATACTGTATATAGAGTTTTCTGCGATTAGGCGTATACTATATTCCATTACATTATCTCTTACATTATGTCCCATTTATACCTTACTGAATATATTACTTAACTGTTTTAGAAATACATATAAGTATTTAAAAATGATGAATCAAACTACTAGAAAGAGATTTTAGTGCTTTTTCTGATTATTGATGTTTGCCGCTTTCAAATGGTAGACTATATACAGACAAGTAATGCAACATCGGGGAGAGAATCCGTGGTAAAGCTAAGTGCACACTCTAAGCATACTCACTGTTTTAATGCACGTACATTCCATACGTGCTTAAATATGGGAGGATTGTCTACCGTTTATTATTGCGAGCCTTCGATGTCTGACATGTAGACCGTGACGTCATAAGCCATTGACTCATTCGTCGACTGAGTGCGGTGAGAACCGACCAGGAACGCTTGTATACGTGGTGGAAAATATGCAGTTTGGCAACAGTTCTCCCGTCTGTGTTAAACATAAATATTTCTTTACAAATGTTGACTTGGCGAACAGGGTAATAGATCATTGATTTATAGCTGCGATGTCTACCGCAGACTCTTTGTATTGATATTAATGTTGATGATCCCACTAATGCTATAAACGTATAGGGTTCTCCGTATGTCCCTTTTTCACGACACAACGGCCTAACGAATTCGGATGAATTTTGTGAAAGTTTCAGCCCATACACAGGAGAAGCATATTGTATAACTTTTTATCCCGTTGGAACTAAGTTTTATTTCGAATAGAACCACTTGCGTCGCGACGTCACGGGTAAGAGCTCAATACAATTCCAATGCAATATTCCGGAGAAATGTAAGAGCGTGCGATTAAAAACATCGTTCTGTCTTCGCACGGTGACATTTTCCCGCGCTTTTATTCGATATGATCGAACAGCGATGGCGGAACAGCTTTCATGAGATTACATAAACTTTATAGGTTACATCGAATCAACCACAATCTACTTTTATGTTGTTTTACGTCTAAACGTCATAGGTAAGCGTAACGCCTGGCGTCTGATATATTTATTTCTGTTAAATCTAGAAAAAAAGAGTTTCTTTACTGTATCTCATCTTACAGTGTCGAAGTCATCTTACAGCATCTTAGTTTTATAAATAAAAGAATCACCAGTTACCGGGAACGTCCAACAATCTTCAATAATCAAATAAGGATATTATTTATTTCAATATTAATGAATATCCTTAGTGGTTATTGGGCGATCATTTGTGAGGATTTGATAGACTGACGTTGAAGAATTTAGAATAGAATCCGCAAAATAGTTTTGCCGCTCAGAAGTCTTCAAACCATCGTCCAATAGACACAGTCTATTTAACATAATCGGAGCACAGTCGGGGCGTTTCGAAACGATCAGTTGTGCTGCATTGCGCAAATTTCTCGCGTCTGTGGCCATCGGGCGCCCAAACTGCGTTGACCTGTACTGTTGCCTCAATTCAATTGAGCCAGGGCACTTCACGCATCATCCAACACTGGACTTGTAACGTATACGCAAGTATTCGCAATGCTTATCGGCCCATAGTTCAAGGATGTGCAGTAACTACTCTGCAGCAATTCGAAAAGCAATGCAAGGTCGCGATTATGGTCCTTATTCAAAGGGCACACGTGGCACTTTGCCGTACACGGAACTGGCTGCATACTTTAAGATAGCGCCACACTTAGTACAGTATATACGATATGAAACAAGGTTCAATTTCATTATGTAAATTATGAGAGGGCGACAACAGATTTGAAATTCGCTTGTGATGGAAGTGATTACCGGCGTTTGCAATAACCGTGGGACAATTTTGCTAATTTTTAGGGTTGCGTACCCAAAGGGTAAAACGGGACCCTTTTATTAAGACTCCGCTGCCTGTCTGTCCGTCTGCCACCAGGTTGTATCTCATGAACCGTGATAGATAGTTGAAATTTTCACAGATGATGAATTTCTGTTGCCGCTATAACAACAAATACTAAAACACAGAATAAAATAATATTTAAATGGGGCTCTTATACAAGAGCGATGTTTTTTTCCCCTTTGTATAGATAAAGGACTTTTAGCGCTTGGTCTACCACCCGCCTTACATGGCACGAAGGAAACGTGAGAAGTCGCGTCATGTATGTATGTTTTGCGTTGAATGATAATTTGTTTTTTTCTTTAAAAAAACCTCTTTGTTATGAGATTTTACCGATTGTTCAAAACCTTGGCTGTTTTGTTAAATAATATCTATTCTTTAGCATGTATTATTACTTTATAAGATTAGATGTGCATTCATGCCATAGCAGTGTAACTTGCGGTAAAGGATGATAATAACAATAAGTATAATTTTTAACAAAAAAAAGCGACTTCAATCCGAAAATTAATACCTATAACATTCAATGATGACCCTCGCTTTCTCTGGGATGCATCAGGATGCATCAGGATGCATCAGTCTCATCATCAGATCCTGTTTCCCTTATTATCTTACCACCCTTGGGATATCTCCTTTCCAACAAAAAAGAATCATCGAAATCGGTTCATAAACGACAAAGTTATTCACGAACACACATAAAAAAATATATATATATATATATGGTCGAATTGAGAAACCTCCTCCTTTTTTGAAGTCGGTTAATAATAATAAAATTAACCATTTAAATATACCATAAAATTGATGACTGTTATGTCGAAAAATTTTAAACCTAGCCATGTGCAATATTAAGAACAAAAAGAGTTTCTTTTTTAAAAATCTTCAATTTCATTTTAACTCATAATAATCTTCAATTAATTTAAAATTAGTGTTGACATATTTGTACGACTTTTGGGGTTTTACGATATTGGATGTTAATAATATGAATATGAAAGCGAGAACTATAATTGTTATTAAATTAAAAGAACAATATAGCACGTGAATAACAATAGTTATCTATTTGCTTTTTTATAATAACTTTTTTAATTCTTTCATATTTCATTGGCTCCTTACTCCGTAAACTTATACACGTATAGGTCATTAGGTCAAGTGTCGCCAAACCACAGTGACAGATGCTATACTATACTTAAGTTGTTTGTTCTAACTGTATATTTGTAAGCAGAATATTTCACAGTAATGGTGTATAAACGCTCAACTTTACCCAAGTTTGCTCAAATCAAGTTTTAATTATATCATCCGGCGAGGCGTTAAAAAAATATATCTATTTTAAAACTTCCGGGTGCCTTAACAGTACTCATTTTAACAATGATTATAGGAAGCTTTGTTACAAAATTTTATAACTCCCAAAATACCCAATGATCAAAGTAGTAATAAAACATATCATATAGAAAGAAGATTGCCGTTACAAACGTCAGAAATACACCTCAACGGAGTCCATGTTTCATTTGTGTCTGTAAATTATTATTTCTAGGAAAAGAGCGGAACCGATCGAGCGGTCCATCTGATTAAATTGCCTCCATGGAACTCTAAAACCTGGCGCTTTCGATTGCGCTGCCACCTTAAGTGTGTGTCACGGCTACGTCACTTACCAGCTGAAATGTAGAAGTATGAATCCTTTCACTTTACACCGGTCCTCTGGCGGCGTGGTTCTTCCCCGGTTGGACCAGCTCATTTGTAATGTAAGAATAGAAGTTGCTGAGCGACTACCTAAGTATAAACACACTTGTCTGGACAATACCAGGATATACATGAAGATGTAATATGGTTTTTTTTGTTTAAACAATGAACCATGAAACGTCTAAGATGTTTTGTATAAGTATAGATGCTTTGATTATACATATAGATGCAATTCTTGCGCTTTGTTGGCAATATTAAAGAGAGTTATTTGCCTGACGTTCACTTGGTTACGTACCGTTCATGCAGTTAATAACAATACAAAAAGTTTTATTCATCCCTTTCTAATAACAGGAACAGCGTATGAATGAATGAATGAAATATGCTTACTTGAGTACACCAGACAAAAATTACATAAAGGTATATTTGCGGCCTTAACTCTTAGAAGCGATTTTTTCCAGGCAACCACGTTACAGAGGATACAATGACCAGTTTGAGGATGAGGTGTACGCTATTGTAAATATAATTCGAATAAGTATAATGGCTTTTCAGATATATTTCTGCCACTTTTTAATTGTTTGCGTTAATATTACACACTTTTATTTTCGTTTTAGTGCGTATGACGGATCCATAGACAAAAATTTATTGGTATATCTAACGTCGAAAGGCAAATATAAAATCAATGAACCGAAATGACAATACCAAAATATATATGTTTAAAACTACAGTTTGTAAATAGAGGAACGATCTGGTTCAAGAGCTCTGAAGATCGGTTGTGTGGAGCGCGAAGTTATTATACTGTTTTTTTTTTTTATTATATTAGTTGTTATTACATAAAATGTTGGCAAGCATATTGCGTGTGTTAGACAAGTAATCGTGTTGTTAAGTTAAATCTATGTGGGCCATCTGGTTCGCAATCGATACTAATTGCGAGGTTACTCTCTTTGGACATTTTGAAGACCTTACATTGCGTGTGTATGAGCAGATTTTTGTATGTATGATTGATTTACGGTGGTAGAGTCACGTAGTATATGCTGCCGGGGAAGTAAATTCACAGAAGACTACGTTAAAATAAATATTTATACTATTTCGTTTCCACGGGTAAGCGAGGAGGATATTTTTTTATTCTTTTCAGTAACGAATTTAGGTTTAAGTACTAGAAACCCGCAATCCGCGTCTCCAAAGGGTATTGCCAGCTATTTCTGTTTACTCAATAAGATATCTGGTTAAGATAACGTATGTCATAAATATGTTGTCAACCTATCCTTCTTTAATAATTGTTTGATGCCCAAAAGAGTTGATCGACGGTAAACTCTTCACTGATGGTAGAGATACAAACCATAATTTTAACCAAATTTCCTAGTGCAGGAGGTTTTTTTTAACTTAAAATAGAACCCAACCTGGCAGCACAGCAACATGCAGTATTAGATCATTACTTTCCTTATTTCGGCAATTCTTGAAGTGTATGATGTGATATTCGATAAGCATCCTGTTGTACATTTTTAGGGTATTATATTGTTATTGTGTAGTAAAAGAATTTTACGTACATTTATTCAAATATTCAGATAAAATACAATATTTCTTAGATCATACAAAATACATGAAAAACCTGTCGCGTAACAATTAAGCCAAGCGATCTCTAAAAATTCCTTGTAACAGACTTTAATCGCCGCTTTCATCTTTGTGTGCTTTGAGCCTCGATTGACAAACACACAGTACAGCCTCGGGCACGCTCTAAGTTATACAAGGGGCAATCTAAATGGATCTAGGCGCCGCTGGAATCCGGCAACAAATGGCGAGCACCCACGCTGACCTGAGCCCACACTTTGAAATTCCACGTCGCCAAGTACGATGAACTTTGTTACACTAAACAACTTGTACACACTTTACATAGGCAGGAAAGTAGCTTTAAGAAATAATTTCACGAAAGTATCTGATATCTCAGAGAGAGATTCTCTCTTAGTACCGGATGATTTTTTCGTTTTCAGTCATGCAAAGCTACATTGTTCACGTGGCACGCGAAATTACTAACAATTTTGCGGGCTAAATAAAGTCATGGATTTGTGTCATCGGAAGATCAACACAGTGAACGGTTTGTACTAAATCTTACTCTGGGAAACTAGCTTATTTTATGCGGCAAAGTGTTCGAAACAAAGATAAATGGTAAAAAAAGTTTAATTTAATAACGTAGAGGGTCACTCACTCTCAGCACATTTGAAAACGTATAATGAAGTAATGTAATACGTATAATGAGTTACGGTGGTAGGGCCACGCAGCAGCCTCGGCTGTTGCACAAATGGGCAGGCTCGTCCGGGTAAGTACCACGACCTTAAAGAAGAAAGGCATAAAGTGGAAGTATAATACTTTCGCGTTTCGTCTGGTAAGTGAGGTGGCCGGAGCCCAATTTTTAAAAGGTTGACAACCTTCCTCATCTGGAATCCTCGGATGTAGCAGATTAACGTGAGTGGCATTATTCACTTAACATCAGGTGAGCCGCCTGCTCTCTTGGCAACTTTCACATAAAAAAAAATGTTTAGGAAATACATAAACAGATTTTCAGATCCAGGATTTGCTTTAGCTTTAAAAGTATTCATTTATTAAAATGATTGTATATATTTCAATCCCTTCTTGATGTTATTTCATCATGAAATACTATGATTTTTAATGATAAAATAATAATAATAATATTTAATAACTTACATAATATCATTGATGAAATATGTCTATAAAGATTTTTGTTTCTCTTCTTTTGTCAAATTGACATACCATGATAAACCCGTAATGGGATAAAATGAATAGTTAATTTCGACAAATAGTCACTACCCGGTTGTTGAATTTTAAGTTATCGCATCACAACTAGAGTACTCTTGTTTTCTAATAACGACTACATTCGATGCATGGTGCGTAAAATGGACATGGTTTATTCACAGGCACTGCGTGTGAACCAAAGTCACGCAACGGATGTGCAAAGGAATGTTATAAGTTACAATCGACATGACCGACGTAATGTCGACCGACAGAAACTGACGAAACATTTTTCGCAATACTCCATCTGACGTTTTCGCAATAACAGTTTATTACAGGCGCTCGTGCCGTGTCGTGTATATTTTGTATTGTTTTAATTAATAGATGCATACGAATTGTCGACAATCTTGTCGATTACTTGAGATTTTTATTTTATAATACTAGGAGTCATTTTTAAAGAATTCGTCGAATAAAAAAAAATAAGGAAAAATAAATTAGAGATCAATCTGATTACATAGTTGGTTTTCTTGTAAAGTGGACGACATGTTTAGATTTAAAAAAATCGAAAGTATGTAGAATAATAAAATAAAAAATATGATCCAAATCACACTTACCTTGTGATTTTCATAAAAGAAACAAACGTAGATTCAGCGCCATCTAGTATTACGACTTAGCAATTACCCACGTCAGAAGGTGTAAACAAAAATACATGTAAAAACTTTGTAGACATAGATGGCGCTGTAGTTATTGGAGAAAATACTTCAAATATTGTGCAAAAATATATAAAAAATAGAAACCAACCTTTTTCGTCGCTCTTCTGCTTTGGCGTCTTCTGCCATTGGTGCCGAACTTTTTGTGACCAGCTAAGTGGACTTTTCCTTCCCCGGCTCCTCTCACGCACACTGAGAGCAATTATTTCCATTTTATTACAAATAAGTTTAAAGATTAAGAAGGTATTTGTTATTTAAAAAATGTAAAGATATTCGCTTATAAAAACACATTGTTATACTTTGACTGGTTCTCTAAAACTGAGCCGCCCGTAATCTTACTTTTAGTAAAACTCGCACGGCCATAATATCGAAATCAGATAGTGATGTTTGCTTTTCTCTCAGAAAGCAGGTTTCATTTACCGTTAGAGGTTATAACATGAGTATGTGAAAATGACATTATACTATCTTCTTCTTATATATAAAAATGGTTTGCTGTTCGTTAGTCTCGCTAAAACTCGAGAACGGCTGGACCGATTTGGCTAATTTTGGTTTTGAAATATTTGTGGCAGCCCAGGGAAGGTTTAAACGATGAGAAATTATGGAAAAATTGCTTGGAAAATCGAAATAGCAACAATTTTATTTTCCCATACAAACTGTACCTGTCAACTATGTCTGTCAAACACTTCCAAATTCCCTAGAAATAATTTATATGGCAAAACAACGTTTGCCGAGTCAGCTAGTAAATTATAAATGACAGTGAAGTAGTGTAAAAGTATACTTTTATTAAGGGCTGCTTGTACTACAAGATAATATCAGTAAAACAAAACAAGTTAAAATACGCTTTTTCTTTCGCTAACGGCTTTTATAAACAGTGTACCGTGAAAAAGGGTGAAATTTTGTATGGTTTTGACGTACAAGTGTACAATCACATCGATCGTTTTAGTACTTGCAATCCGTACAGTAAAACTAGCATAGTGCCCAAACACCGCATGACCTAATGTTTGGAATTTAAGCAACTAAATAAGAATTATCATCACTCACATGACAATTTTCTGCTCATCTCCCTTCTCCTCGTCGGATACGTCCACCCAGTCGTCGCTGCGATCGCTCCTGTCGCTCACGCTGGTGCTGCTGCTTGGCACTTGGAAGGCGATCTCCTGACCATTGTAGCTGAGAACGGATCGCTGCCCGTAGATGCTGTTAGTCTTTTGCTCGCTGGACAGCGTGGACTGGCTCACGTTGGACATATTGTCGAACGACAGCCGCTTCTGGACCGCGCTGGCCAGCTGGCTCTTCAGGCTCCGCCTCAGCTTCACCATGCTCGGGCTGTTCGGTATACTCTCGTAGCAGTGAGAGAGCGAGGTGCCATCGGCCTGTTTGATAGTGTCGTAGATGTTCTCGCCGTCGTCGTAGCCGGCGTAGTCGGACACCGTCGAGTGTCTACCGCTGTAGGTCGGGCTGCTCTCTTTAGACTTCGCGGGTATCTTCTCGTAGATCCTCTCGGGACCGATTTTTTCGTAGCTCACAGTGGAGGCGCCGCTCACGGACTTGGTGATCGCGTAGTTCTTGCTCTGTGCGCCGTAAGGCTGGTAGTCTTCGGCTATTTGGATGCCCGAGCTGGACGTCAGGCAATAGGGCTTCACGGGCGACTTGCAGTATTCGTAACCGTCATCGCTGTCCCCATCGCCTCTTGTCCTCTCTTCCAATTGTCCGAAGCACAACTCGTAATTGTGCAAGCTGCTTTCATCCCCTTCTGGGTGCGATCTCGCCTCTAAAAGTGATTGGTATATATTCTCTTCCTTAGGCGTCACCGACGGTGAAGGCTCCTTTGGTATTTCTGGTAAAGGACAGTTTATTTTCGACGATCTATCGCTACTTTTCACGGGAATTATGACTATGTTTTCGGTATCCCTCGGTTCCAGCACTTCGTAGTCGTCTTCTATCAAATCTTCCTTTTCCGGTTTCGATGTGAAGCCTACAAGCACCTCTTTGTTGTAGGCCTCAACTAAATTGCTTTCAAAGTCAGAGTTTGAGTCGCCTTTGATATTAATGGTGGACGTGCCACGATGAGATTCATTTTGATCATCCGTTTGAGATTCCTTCGTTGCATCTACCACTTGTTCGTAACCTGATGTGATGTCATTGACCGTCACGCAAACAAAACCGTAAGGACCTTCAGAAACAGTCCTCTCACAATCTGAGTAAATCTGGTTGCTACTTTTTCGTCGCCACAGGAAAGATTCGTTAGGAGTAATATTTGACTTGGCTTCATCCTCATTTTCTACGTTATGTGTAACAACGACAGTTTGTTCGTGGACATCTGTATTATAAGCAGTAGTTTCACCGAGATCCTCTTGGATAATTTCAACGGGGTGCAATGTCAATTTTTCGGGATGTATGTAATTTGTTTTGAATTTCTTCTTGTCATAAATGGGTTCTCTTTTTTTGGTACTTTCGTGAATAGTTATTTTACTGTCATTTGTATTTCTGCTAGTTAAATCTCCCGAAATCGGTCTGATCGTCTTGATTTTCGGGACACCGTCCTTGACTACAAGATTCTTCGTTAAAACTAATGTTGATTTCTTTTCAGGTACTTTGGGTTTTTCCTTTCGCGGTTCGCCACTTGTAGAGTTGCTGTTCTGTGTGTTCAGTTGTTTCTTAAGAGTGTTGGTAGAGTTTGAGTGGGCACTAATTTCAAATTCGAATTTTTTGATAACATTTTTAACATTCAACTCCTGGTGTGGTTTTTCATCTGACGTAGTGTCAGCAGCCTTTGATTTGGTGGGCGTGCCGTCGATGGAATCAGAGCCACTTTGCTGTTCGCTGGAATCTTGATATTTCAATCGTTTCTTCGGTGACTTTGGAATCCTCATACCGTCCGACTTAGATCGTATCACTCTTATTTTACCTGAAGTGCCTTCGGTTAAAATTAATTTATCTATGGAGTCCATACTGGAGCACCTTTTCTTAGGGTGCCTCTTTTTCGAGCTCCTTCTATGTCGAACGACGATTTTAATATTAGGACTAGAACTTAACGTAGAAGACGGAGTGGAGCTATTGCTGACCGAGCACTTAGACGCCGTCTGCAAATCCTCTATTGTTTTCGCGAGCTTTGATTGCTTAATAGGACTCTTGTTTGGCTCTTTCATTAAATCGTTGAACTTTTTGGTGAGCTCCGATACTTTGTTGCTGGTTATTGTCATTGTGGTTTTTGTCGCCAGCGGGGGCCTTTTGTAATTGGATGTTACGTTTTTTATTTTAAAGCTCACTTTCCTTTGCTGTTGTTCGACTTTTCTCCTGACGTTACTAGAGAGCTCTGTCGGTACATAGGTAGGAGTCTCTTTGCTGATCTTTGGGTCGCGCGATGTCTGCTCCGGCAATTTCCCCCCGCCAGTACTCCTCGTGTCATCGCTTTCCGTCGTAATAGCTATTTGTGCGTAATATAGCTCTTTGCTGAGATTCCTTTGTGGGTTAACGGTAGATTTTATGAATGCTTGCTTCGCGCCGTCCATTGTCTGAGGCCTCGCGTTTTTCGGGGACAGCGAGGACTGTATCGGTATTGTGTACACGCACCTCTCGTCATCTCTTTTCCCCTTGACGGCCATGTCCGTCGCAGTGTCTGGCAGGATGAAGTTCTTAAGGAGGGCCTTGATTGCTCCGTGCTCCCTCTCGTCGCTGTTGAATCTCTTGATCGACGACAGCAGATCGCCCGCGCTCACAGATTCCCCGTCCATCAGTTTGTCCAATAGCATTTGCGTCGGTTACTCCCGGCTGGTTCTCTACGCCATCTGGAACAGTTATATCTTTATGAGACATCCGTCGCTTTACCCAAACAGGTAAGTCATTAGCATTTGACGCTAACGAAGCAATTACACGCTGGAAGCAATTAGATGACATTAACGGAGTAAGGGAGACGGGGTTCTTACATCGAACGAAAGTACAATTCAACAAGAGAAATGCGTTTTTAACTAGCCTCATTGAAATTCATTTTTGCGGACTCATTGTTAACGCGGCATTCTCACGGGATCGTTTGCGATCCGATCTGGAAATATGCACGGACGATTAGCTAAAGTACGACAAAGCACAAAGGAATTTCCCACCGTACTTATACAGTCGTTGCAAGCGAGAATAAACCTACAGACCAATATGAAGGTAAAAATATCTTTCATTTATTGTGTTTGTTTTTTTTTTTATATATTTCTTTGCTTTTGTTTGTAATGTTCTTGTGTTGGAAATATCAATATTCTTAATAAAAATACTGATGTAATAGTCAAGCTAATAATACGTTATCAAAGCAGATAAAACAGTTAGATCTTAGGACTAAATAATATTTATAAATAGTTAGCACGTCAGTGTTTACTGAACCTATTTAGTAATAAAACGTGACGATGATTCTGTTGTGATGTGACTTTCGTGACACGATTGTGACAATCCCACTTAGGACGGATCGGAGTCCGGAGATCTTGTTGTTAATGAGGAACAAAGAGCAAAATCGGTAACAACTATCTGTGGGTCACACATATACCTGTCCCGTACTGGAATAGAAGCTACGACCTCCGGGTCCGAAGTCAATGGGTTGTCAGCTGCGTAACCGAGTCATCGTGATTTTCTATTATAATTTTTAAATTATTAAATCAAAGTACTTCCACTCCGCTGAGGATTGAACTTGCGTTAGATCGCAAGTCAAAATCCCCAAGCCCTAACGAGTAGTTAGGTACGATAGTATTAGTCATTGTTCGAGCCGTTTGTTTTCACATCATAAGATAACCTTTTTGTTGCTTATAATTTTTAAATCGAACCTATCATCAATGACTTTTCTTTCTTTTTTCTATTGACTTTTTGTCTTGTCAATCTAATTCACTCATCTTAGAAGCGTCCATTTGCACATATTATATATTGTTAAAAACCTATATTATTATAATTTCTACAAAAACACACAAATAATGTTTTATTTTTGTGCCCTTATCGAACAAAAAGTGGCGACCGTGACAGGACATATGACCGTTAATACACGTAATGATTAATTATTTATCCTAATTATCTCCTTGCAATGTATCTTTATAAATCTGGCTAATTTTAGTTCATTAGGACCAACGGAATGATCTATTCTAAATGTACAAGTATTTATCGCTGATACCGTTATTACGTGATAGCTAATTTAACGTAAGCTTTATTACCTTAGACATTATTTATCTGAAGTAATAACCGATAACCGTTGGGGAAGAAAGGTTCTCGAGTGGCAGCCTCGTACTGGCCATCGCAGTGTGGGACGACCCCCCACTAGATGGAGTGACGACCTGTGCAAATGTGCGGGAAGTCGATGGATGCAGGTGGCTCAGGATCGTACTTCGTGGCAGTCTATGGGGGAGGCCTATGTTCAGCAGTGGACTCAAACAGGCTGAAATGATGATGATGATGAATAACCGACATCACAGAAAACGTGGCTGTCGTTCAGACTTTACAAGTTTTACAGGATTATATTTATGATTACAATTTCGCAATTGATTCTTATTACTTTACATAAATGTATTTAGACCTTTGTACACCTGTGAGCTTCGAAATAAAAGGCTTCCAGAAAAGTTTCTAATCGTGAATTAAATTTTAGTGGAAGTGCATCGCTAGCTAAGAAGAGTTCCTTATACTTTTTTTTAGATAGATCTAAGTTTATTTCTTTGTTCATAATAAAATGATTCACCGTATTTTTCGACAATATCGTATGCCGAGCGAAACTTGCTTTAAATTCCTTAAGCAATACGATATCCGTTTACGGGCTAGTGCTCTTAGACGAAACGGTTGTACATTTATATGATACGAGCACTTCGGAATTGCTCAATTCGAAAGCAATTCGGACCGCGTCGAAGAACTTATTTGAACAGAGACTTTTTCGACCATTCGCAAACAATAGGTGGTAAGGTCGTAGCGAGTGACAATTGAGGCGGTTTGAACTTCAACGAGCAATCGTTTGACTAATCCGGAAATGTGTTAACCAGTTCATATCTTCTTAGTACAAATATCATATGGGAAATGTAAAACGTTTTGGACAAATGCATGTCTTTGTCAACCATTTTAGTTTACTTCCAAGCAAGAATAAATCGAATTTTGCAGTGAAATTTAGTTTTTAGTTGAAGCAGAATAGCCTTAGTGATACTAAGGGAAACTTGTGATAAAATTTCAAAGAATAACGCTTTGAGATCCATTATATAAACAAAACTGTTATTGAAACGTTATCATAATATTTTTTATGTTATTACCATTGTTCTAATACATTCTAAGAAATATAAATCAACTTCCGGAACTGTAATTAAAATAGTACGAAGATGTCGGAACTTAAACCTTTTTCTTAAAAAATGTAGCCACGCGGTTACTGATATAAACTTAAATATATATTCAATGGATATTCTAATTGAGTCTTAAGTTCAGATTCAATTAATTCCAGTCGTTAAATAACATTTGCGCTCCCCCGCTAACTTTAAATGGATAACGGACTAAGCGGCCTTAGACTATTTCTGTAACAGCTGCCCATATGCGAATTGTATACGATACGTTGTCAGAAAATAACCCTATTTCCGTTATAATTGAAGTTGAAACAACACCACCGTATTACTCGTCGATGCACGTGTGTGTTAGAGAGCAGTCATTTGTCGTTTTTTTTTATTCGCTAAGAAATATTTTTTTCTTATTTTTGTACTTGTTTCAATGTCACTTAATGCATGTCACTTAGTGAAGGGTCAATAAAAAAATATATATTCTTGTCTTTGGTGAAAATACTTGTAATTTTTGATTATTTAATATTAAACCCAAAAGCTTGCTGATGGAAGCTGATTACAAAAACATAAGTCTCTTTTGCAAATTGACATAAAAACTGCACGCGATATCCCTTTTGCACGAATTTTATACACTAATTGGGTTCGCCCGAAGCACTTTATTTAAATTTGGTAGGCAGATATTTAAATTTGGACTGATAAATTTCATTTTAATAATTGTCTACTAAAATAAACATATCACAACTTCTACACAATGTCTCTACTTTAATGCGTTTGAAAATTTGCCACAGATATTTTTCGTTTTTAAAGGATATTAATTTTAATAGTGCTATTCCCTGCACTTAATATAAAATGTAATAATTTGTAGATAAACTTTTCATACATTTTTGTACAGTTTTTTTTTTAATATTTCATGTAAGTTCATGTTCCAGTCATGGCTTTTGTAATTCTAAAACCATGACTGTGTGTGCATGAGACGCACTCGACAGCGTCGATCGCACAATAAACCGAATAAAAGAAGTTTGACGGTCGCGATGGGAATTGTGTTGCGTCATACGGGAAGCACAGCTTTCCGGTTTCATAAATCAGCCATGAAACGTGCGTTAAACACCCTTAGTGGGAGTTTAGACACGAAGCGATAGCGACTCAGTTAAGACCCATTTACACGGGGCAAGTTTCTTGCCTGTTGTATACAATTAAATTGAAGCAATAAATGAGTTGCATGGTCTAAACAACAAATGGTCTAACAAATTATTGCGCGCAATTTATTGCATTCAATTATTGCTCTTGTATGTACAAGAAAATGGCATCGTGTAAATGGGCCTTTATGGTCGCGGATTGAAAGGTCCCTCGGAGGTCTATAGCGTCGTAACGTCTATAAGTCTTGCAGGGGCCCGCTTTCTCCGCATTTGTATAACATGGATTGAACATAAACGTATTAGCATAAACATAGAAACGATACGTGTTGAAAATGAAACCTCTTTTGGCCGACTGAGTTTTATTCGACACATATTTGTACGATTTAACCGTGGCAGTGCCACCCGACATTCTTCTCTGTTGCACGAATGGGCCGTTCCGTCCGCTAAAGTACTACGACCTCACAGAAGACCGGCGTGAAGTGGCAGTGTTATACTGTTGCGTTTCGTCTGGTGAGTCAGATAGCCGGGGCAGACTTTATTAAAAGGTGGCAACGCATCTGCCACCGTACGGGTGTTGCAAATGTCCATGGGCGGCGGTTGTCTTACGGCGGTTACCTTTTGCACATAAAAAACGACAGTGAGATTAGTCCGCCATTGTGTTTAAGTCGACAGTGTGCGTTGTGTCAGTTTGTGGTGTACGCGATCATGTCCGACATTCCTGCAGCACAATGCCAGATGTTGAGTGCCAGTCGCGAATATTCTTGGAACAAACTTCTCCGTATCTCAATCGCCAAAATAGTAGGCCAGACACGTGTGAACGGCAAATTAAGTTCGAATAAGCGTAAATGAGCAAACGTAACTATATTCGTATATTTCTCCATTTACTATATAATAGGTTGAAAGGGGTAGAGTATTAGAGATATAAAAATGCCGAGCAATCCGATGCCTATTGTTTGGAAGGAGGTTTGACTTCTTGTGGTATACATCGACTAATGTTTAATCTTTTTTGGAGGTTGCTAATACAGCTGTATTAATTACATCACATGGATTTAAATAGGACTTTAGCATGTATTACGATTAATTTTCCTCATGAACAAGAATTGTTAATTTCCTGAATTGTTTTATTGTATTTAGTCTAAATCGATACAAAGTTAAATAAAAATGTTTTACCGTTTTAATCACATGCCATAGACGCTGCCTTTCGACAGAATTGCCGATAATTTTTTTTTTACTATTTTAGAATATTTTTATTTGCCATATACAGTAACTGGACGTCGCTTCTTTAATTGCGACGAGATAGATCCATGGTAGGTTCATGTTTTGACGATCTCCAGAAAAGAAAGGGGTAAG